CCCAACAAATTTCATTTTATCATGGATACTGGAATGTAAGGAGTTTGAAAACAGAACAGTTGACTTTCAGTCTTTCAATTATCTGCTGGATTTAAATGTTAGTAAAAACAGCAAAAGTTCTTAGTGCTGTTTGTTTGAGGGAGGTCAAAAGGACCCGTGAATCTTTATAACACAATTCTTTCTGCCTTTTCGTCACCACAAGTCATTGGGGGCAAGGTGTTGGCTGGCACGCCGCTCGGATCCTTTTTCCTCGCCTCCCGTTTCCATGTTGGCACCGTCCTAACGGAGTGTTTTCAACTCTGTCACACTGGGGCCTGGAGTGGAGCTGGTTTGTTGTTGCTGTCCATTTTGGGCCTCAGGGATTGAAGGTCTCATTGTGCAGTGCTGGCCCCCTCCTCCACCTCATCCTAGTGAAACCTCAGCTAATGAGATAAAAGGCCCTGGTATTTCTGCATCAGGTCTTCATGTGATCCTACTGTACTTTGGACAAACAGCAACACGAGACGTCTGTCAGAACCTGACTGGTGTTACTTGGACCAGACTAGTGGGATGAGAGTTCAGAGACATTTTAAAAAATAAAGTGTAAGCAGTCAGGAACAGAGCTAAGTCCAACTGCCCAGCACAAAAAACCCCATTGATTTCTTGTTGTTAAGCGATTATACAAACGGATGATAAAGTGTGGAAATGCTGACAAGACCCAACTCAAACACACAAACCAGTCAAAAAAAAAGTCAACCTCAAAGCATTCCAGCTTTAAGCTGAATTATAATGATAATAAAGAATGTGAGCAGGTACTTAAAGATTTGCATGTTTTAAGTAAAGAATGACAAATTCCCTCCAACATCCTCCTCCGTCTCAGGGATCAAAGTGGGCTTGGTTTGACCCCCATCTCACAGGTCCTTGGGGTCTCAACCCTGAAAATATTTCTGACAAGCAAACAAGACACAAGTCTATCTCCTTCAGTGTGGTCACTGTTGTTATTACTGGAGCTTCTATGATGGGCTGACGATGAATAATTGCAGAAATGGTTTCCACTCTTGGAATGGTGTCAAGTCAGCTGCTGGTGAAGTGAACCGTGCAAGTTTTCTGGAAAGTTGAGGGATTGTTTTTGTACTTCTATGAAGTTACTTACTTGCTTGTTCCAACTCCTACTCCAAAGATCCAATATTTGTGAATCTCATTTAAGAAGCTATTTCTCGCAGTTTAATTGCTTAGTCATGTTTTATTTGTGCTTCAATTAAACCTTAGTTATCAATCCAAACAGCTGTCGGCTGTTTATATCGACCAGTAATTTTAATGCAATTTAACAGTGTTGAAAATAATGCGTGCATGGCTTCAAATCAAGGCTTTTGTTTTTTGCTGCCCAAAACATAAACTGAGTCTGAATTTTTACTTTCGTGTTAGATCAGAGGTTTAAAACATAAGTGGGGAAATGCTTTTCCACTCTAATAAAGGATTGTAAACTAAATGACATTTCTGTTGCAAATTGATGTTTTGTATAAACCACATATGAATCTAAAAGTTAAACATTTTGACAGTTGTTTGTGGTGTTTCAACTTGGATGAAAAAGCTTCCGTCGAATCTGTAAGAAACACATTTTCTCAACGCGATGACAGATGATCAGTCTCCTGAGGCGCTGAGTGCCACACGACAACACTGTGATTGCTTCAACATGAGTTTGTTCCTTTTCCTGCAGAACGCAAAAGGGAATTTTTTGTCTCAAACACAAACCTGCATAATGATCATGAAACCAAATCCAGTAATGTGAGCAGCTTGTGATTTAGCTCAGTGAGGGGTTGTAGTAAAGACGTGCAGCTTGCTCTCACTCGACTGGGACATATCCCCATGGGTCTCATTGTTTTTTTTGTTTTTTTTTTTTTGGGTTTTTTTTGCTTAGCTTTTGCTCTGTGGCGGTAAAAGGGGAATACAAAGGGTTAAACTGTTTGCTTGTCTTCCTTGGAGATGGGAGAGGCCAGTTGAATGGCTAGCTTTAACAGCTAGTCAACACATTGGCTAAGGCTGAGGGTGGATCTGCTGCTGGGACTGTGCTGTGGCATGGAGCCGCGCTGCAGGATCGGGAGTCGGTGAGAGCAAAGCTTTTGTGTGTGTACGTGTGTGTATGAGATGAATGTGTGAGAACATGCTTGTGGGGATAAGCTGAAGGGCGGTATTTCAAACAAACACTAGATGAAAGGGAAGCAACAACATGAGGCAACGTTCTCTAGGTGACTGTTGCTCCGTGGGGATTTTTTTTTTGTCAAGATTACTGATGTAGATTAATGGTGGTTATATCATTTGTTCTCACAGCACACCAGCCCATCTAGCTTCTTTTTGTGTGTTCTTCTGTCCTCAAAACCCTTCTGCACGTCACACTCGCCTCTGGTAATTCAAGAGGACAGCAGGTTCATGTTTTATTTGTTCAATGGCCGAGTTTATGACTCTAAAGCTTATTTTGGACATGCACAACACAGGAAATTACTTTAAGCTAAACTCTGACCATCTACTCACACATTTATTACCTTTGCACACCCCATTTCATTTCCCTCCACCCTCCTGGTTTCTGCGTTTGAGACACCCATTCTCACCTTGATGATCTGACATGTTGGCCGTCTCTCTGGCCTCATTGACTCATTATCCCCGAAGCTGCAGAACGGATTTAATCTGGCTTTGACGGACGAGAGCTTAACCTCAGTGTTTAAGTTAGTCTGAAGCATTGGTCGCTGCTGGCACAGTTTGTCCTCACCTGCGTTCACACACAAACGTGGGTACACTCACAGCTGCCAGTCAGCCCAGAGTAACGTTATGCAATGGGAGGATTTCCGGCCACGCTTGCGTACTCACAAACTATCCAAGGAAAAATAACTCTTTATTTTTCAGTAAAGGATATTTCATTGTACATAGTTTGTTTTTTCCAGAAACTGATGATGACATTTTTATGGACCTTCTTTAATAAGTGAATAAAGCTAGAATATTTTTCAGAGCCTGTTGTTACTTAAAATGACTATGTGTATTTCCCCTGGTGATAGGGGGCAGTACATACCTAAGTCATTGCAAGCAAGTGGTATTTTTGTGTTCAAGTAAGACTTTTGGTCAAAAATCCCTGGTAGTGCAACCTCCAGCAAAATGACCAGCCCATTAGATTCTCTTTCATCACTGGCAACAAGTGAAGAGGTAAATGTGTAAAACAATGTTTTTGAATGGCAAAAGTTTTGAAACCATTTGTTACAAATCAGTAAATGCATTTTGCCCTCATGGGCTCCTGTAGAAGGAAACATGGTGTATAATATGGCGTCGTCCAGAGACTTAGACCAGCTCCCATCTATTTTAGATCTGATTTTTATGGTTATATGTTCCGAAGCCACTAGTATTTTCAACAACTGGGCATCATTAAATTCAATTTCAATTTCAATGGATATTTTCTGAGATTAATGGTAAAAACTACACATTGTCTCTTTAAAGCAGCTTTAGCAAATTTACAGAACAAGCTAGGTTTTGAACACAAACACCATAAACATGAAAATGTAGGCACCCCATTGGGCGCTGGAGAGCGTAACAGTGTCGCCGCCATATCGGATGGGTCTCCTCACTCTCCAAAGTCAATGCAGAGTGAGCAACTATGGCTGTTATTGTGCAATAACCTGCGTACTACTGAAAACAGATCTTGTGGGATCGCTTTTGACTTTTCTAGGCTAACTAATGGGATTTTATATTTAAACTTATTTTGTCTTATTATATTTATAATTTAATTATCATGTCATTCCATGTGTCTGATTTTGTGAAAAAGCTCGATAAAGTGTGTTTTTTAGTTGGGTAAGCACCTTCCTCGGCAGAAATTAATGCATTGTGGGTGTTTTGGAGACCCATCTAAAATGGCAGCCGGCCACTACAGCAGTGCCAATCCACGGGGCATCTATGTATAAATGGCTGTGGCAAACACGGTCATGGAACACACACCGCTCCCCTTGGATATCTTCCCTGAGACGCTTCTGCCGGACCTGAGGAAACGAGACAGTGCTAAACACCAGTCGCTATTTTCTAGGTTCAAACCTGTTGTCCGTGACTTCATTTTTCTTTTTGGGACTCTGGCAGTTTGTCCTAAAGTTGAAGTGGGAGCAGCCGGCTTTTTGTCCTTCTCTGATGTTATTGAGTTGAGAACCTCTCACACCAGCGGTGTTCTGTCACTAAATACGCGAGTGCATTATGAGTGGAGGATGCAGGGAAATGCAGCGGTTAGGCAAGACAGACAACCGAATGGTCCAGTAGTTGCTATCGGTTTGAAATATGTTATTGGTGGAGAGGACTGCTTTATTAAATTTTCACTGTGTTTATTTTTTTCCCCAATATATATTTATAGCTTTCCTGTGTTAGAACGTTGTTAAGAGGCACAAAAAATGTTTTAAGCTAATTTGTTTTCCAAATTACCCATTGTAGCTTTAAGAACTGCTATTTATGGTTGCTAAAAACAAATAGCTGCCTGATTATTCAATTTCTTTATTTTCTTTTGATTCACCAACAGCAAACTCCCTGTTTTGACTTATCAGTCAAGGTCTTCAGGTGCCGTTTTTCAGTTTGTTGAATCAGAGTTGTCCTAATTAGAGCAGAAACAACACCAAGTCAGGCTGATTTGCATGTTTAGCTTGTAAATTTCCATTTGCTGCACATGCCAGATTTTGTGTTTTGGTTTTTAAAGAGCCTTCTGGACATGTTTCTGTCTTTTGTCAACTAGTGTTGCACCCTGCTGTTTGTATTCAGTTATCTTGTTGGCCAGTGACAGATGATCCTCGTTGTTATATCGAGGGATTTCCCATCTGCTGACAGCAAGATTGCACCATGTCACATTTCTGTGGAATTTAAAACATCAAAATGTTGTTTTATTGAAAGAATCCTGTTGTTTAAGAATATAAATAAGAATTTATTGCTTTCAGTGTTTAAAACATTCCTCAACTTTAATGAGATCCCTCACTAACCCATTATTGTTGTTTTTTTTCTGTTTCCCTCAGTGTGCCCATCTCAGTGTAAACACCGAGCTTGCACCAGAGATGACCAGTGCTGCCATGAGCAGTGTCTGGGTGGCTGCACGCAGCCAAACTCAGCCGGTCACTGCGTGGCGTGCCGTGGTCTCCAGCATGAAGGCACATGTGTAGAACGCTGCCCAAAGAACAGCTTCATCTACAAGGGCTGGCGCTGCGTTTCCAATGCCTTCTGCCAGGACCTGCACAACAGGTGCAAGCAGGAGAAAGAGAAGAACAAGAACTCAGATTGCCACGACTACGTCATCCACAACGGTGCCTGCATCCCTGAGTGTCCCTCTGGCTACTCAATAGGCAACTCCTCGTAAGTGGAAACTCAGATTGGTCTGATGGGTTCCTGATGACGTGCAGGAAAGATGATTGATCAGCGCTTCATTTTCTTTACTTTTATACTGGTGCTTTTGATCATTTGAGTCTGCGTTTCATTGGTTGATAGAAAATTTGTTTTAGGATTTTGATTTACAGCAAAGCACAGAAAAGATGAAGATTTGCGAACTTCTAATGAAACTTCTAGTTAAGAGAAAATACAGATAAACATATTTAGCTTGGTTGTTACTAAAACACTCACTCAACCTCCATCTTTGGCTTGTTTCTTTTCTCTGTTGAGTTGAGTGATTGCTCTGCATGTGCAAACACAAAACCCCTTTTTTGCCTCTTTGTGAGAAACAGCTAGGTGAAAGTGGTGCAGCGCAGTGAGAAGGCTGACACATCTGCGTTTTTGAATTCGACTCAGTATCCCACATTTTAGTGTCACTCTCTTGTTTACCAGGTGCTGGTTTTTCTGCATTGCAGTGACGGAGCTTTATGCAAACCCAGGTGCTGAGGCATGAAGTGTGCTTTGTTTTTTGTTCTAGATCTGTAAATTGTTGACGTGCTTAGAAATGTTTCTCCCTCTTTGGCCATAACAGAGCTGATTGAAAACTTGGGCAAATCGCAGAGATTTTAAGGACCCTGACTCCCTTCACCTGCTGCAAAATAAAGAGTGTTTGTTTTAACAAAGATGGCAGCTAAGTCCAGACACCCCGTCGTTGACAAACGGTGCAAACAAGGAAAAGCAGTTGTGCTCCTGCAGAGGTGTTTTGCAGCGTTGCGTGTGTTTAACCTTTAATAATCCACAGAGGATTTGCCAAGTGCGTAATCTCCATTCGAACAACGTGCGGCTTCACATTTAGAGTCACATGCTGTGCATTCACACCTGACCGATGACTGGAGAGCAGATGGAGCTCCAGTGGAGCAGTTCAGGGAGAGAAGTGGCCTTGCTCTTTTCCAGAAAGAAACTAAGGATTTTTCATTCATTAAAAAGGGCTTTAAGTTTGTGTTTTAATCCTTTAGGTTGGCCAGCGCTTTAAAAATAACAAATTTGATTACATTTCAACTGTTGTCAGGTGTATGTTCTTGCTTCAGTAAACTTTAGATCAGGGGTTGGCAAGCCTGGACCCCGAGTATCGCTATCCAGCATGTTTTAGTTGTTTTCCTGTATCAAAACACCTGATTCAATCACCTCTTCAGCAGCTCATCAAGCTCTGCAGAAGCCTGTTAATCATCTGCTGATACAATCAGCTGTGTTTGAGAAGGAAAACAACTAAAACACGCTGGATAGCAGCACTCGATAACCAGGGTTGCCCACACTTGCTTTAGATTAAGAGTTAATGACTTACATGGAATAAAGCCTCAGTGACATGTTTCATTACACAATAATACACTTTTGTTTTTATTTCATAAGCAAGATTTTTATCATATATTCATATTTTAAGGGAATTAGTATTTCTAAAATATTGGATATAATATTTTCATCTATGTGTGTAGAAGATTTTATCAGGTGGAGAGCCTTGTAGCTGCAGTAAATTGAACCAAAGGTAGGATTTTATCCCTTTTCTTGTTGAGCAGCGAAATGAATGTATAAATCCTGCACATCTAAACCTTGTGGCTACCGTCAACCAGCGGTGAACCCATTTGCTCTCACATCTCAGGCTTTTCACACTAACTCTCTCTGTTCCCTCAATTTGGCTCATCTCAGCTCTTTGGCATCCTCCTTCCCATCGTCGGATTTAAACTAAGCTGTGGAAATGAAAGTGCTCTTAGGATAAGCGGTGCTCTCTTCAGAGTTATGAGTGTCTGGGCTAAAAGTGCAGATGTGGCATCAGAGAGCAAAACAAAGGTCACTCTTCAGGGAAGTGAGGCATAAAACAGTTTATTTGCAAGATGAAGTTGCCCCCCTCCCACACACACACACACACACACACAGAGCTTTTCGGGTCTTAAAGGAAGTGTGTCACACGAGATGCTTGTTTTGCTTTGGCTGCTGTTTGTTTATCTCATCTACTGTTACAACATCGGAGATCAGTCAGTGCTACAAAACTTGAAGCTCAATAGCCGACACTTCATTCTATTGTCAAGACGACACATTCCTCTTTAGCCTCCCCGCTAACTAACAAAAGGTTAATTTTTTTTGGGTGCAATAAAAATAAAAAGCTTTAGATCTGAGTTATAGATTAAAATCAGTGAAGTTCATGAATCCTTTCTTAAATCTGTCCCTTTTTTTTGTTTTTGTTTTGAAGGCTCCATTGCACACCTTGTGCAGGACCCTGTCCCAAAGTGTGCAGAGGTCTGAAGACGGTGGACTCTGTAACTGCAGCCCAGGCTCTGAGAGGCTGCACCGTTTTAAATGGGAGCTTGGTCATTAACCTGCGAGGAGGAAGTGAGTGTTTGTGGTTTGTGTGGTTGAATCAGATTACGGTGTGAAACCCAGCGGCACACCAGAACAATAAACAAAGAGCTGTTGACATTACACAAACCAGGAAGGCGCATTGAGCACGTACGGCCAACGATATTGTAATTTCAGCAGGAAATCAGGCATGAATGGATGAGTGAAACGGTAAAATACTGGTATTACAGCATCATTGGGAATCTTATTGGAAGCTAGATGATCATATTTATAAGATCCACTAAAACCAAAATCAAGCTGTAATTTTGGGAAAGTGGTTTTAGATAAACAGAGCTATTTGTCAGCTTTCCTTTTTCCACTTTTTAAATCCCTTTTAGACAACATTGCCGCTGAGCTGGAGGCCAGTCTGGGCCAGCTGGAGGAGATCACTGGCTACCTGACAGTGCGCCGGTCCTACGCCCTTGTTTCCCTCTCATTTTTCCGTAAACTCCGTGTTATTCGTGGAGAAGAACAGGAAGTCGGGTGAGATTCTATCTTCCTAGTCCTCTCTGATCCTTGCCATGTCACAGCCTCCTCCTGTAATTATGAGTTAAAAGCAGACTGACTGACCTTTTGAAAACGTCTTTCTGCGGCAGCTGCTTTTGGTTTGACTTTCTGAAGGCACAAAGTTTGATTCGGGGGGGTACACCCAGAGCAAGAACAGTGAAAGCGTGCTGATTCAAATTGAAGGCTGCCTAAATGTTACCTCTCAGGGTACTCGGGAGGCTTTTTTTTTCTTCCCGAGCCAAAGGGCATGCATCATAACAAATATGTTTTTTTGTTTTTACCAGAAATTACTCGTTTTATGCCCTGGACAACCAGAACCTACGGCAGCTCTGGGACTGGTCCAAACACAAGCTAAGCATCCTGAAGGGGCGCATTTTCTTCCACTACAACTCCAAACTCTGTATGTCCGAGATCCTAAAGATGGAGAACGTGACAGGAACCAAAGGGCGGCAAAGCCCGAACGATATCACCCCCAAGACCAACGGAGACCAGGCCTCATGTAAGAAATCGCTAGACTTTGTTGCAGCAGTTACTATGGCAACAGGCAACATAAAGCCAGGCTCCGTACAGATTCAATCATAGTTAATTTTAGAATGGTTACCTGTCGTGTATTTGCAGATAACGTCCTGTAGACCTTTATTCTAGTACTGTGTAAATAAAAATCAGCAGAGTAAAGTTCTCATTATGAACATAGACGTGATGAAGCTGAGACAGAGGCTCTTCCTTTTTTTGTTCTCGAGCTAAAACATAACCCTCAGACTTGTGCCATGATTGTCCACCGAGATGCGCCAGGACTGAGACAGTAAAGCTTTTATGACCTATAACTCTCCACCGAATGCATGGACAAATATAATAAAAACACACACGAGCATAGCTGCAGAGCGCTGACCCAGAGGAGACCTTTGAGAAAAGCAGATATAGTAAATATATTTACAGGAAGGATTTCATCATAAGTAAATATTGTGCCATTTATTAACTCACACCTAGCTTTTTGACAAACACTTTCTTTTTCTTAAGGACGTTAAAACAATCAGATTTTCATTTGGCACTGTGGAAGAAACGCGAACAATCAGGTGAAATTTGCTGATTTTAATAATCTGCCTGTTTCCCCTCCAGTTTATTTTCATCAAGATGCTTTAAAAGCTTGTACTTTAATCTTTTAAGATTATGAGTGTGGATTTCTCTTCTGTGTACTCAGGTGAGAACCATTTATTGAAGTTTGTCCAGGTTCGAACCATGAGCGATAAGATAATGATCAAGTGGGAATCCTTCTGGCCTTCAGACTTCAGAGACCTGCTGGGTTTCATGGTCCTCTACAAGGAAGCGTAAGTTCGTCTGGACTGACAGAGATGTGGATCTCTGACAGGTTGATGCTGGTGTTTGATCTAGTTAACTAGACCAAACTGTTGCTTTGCCAAGTTTGATCTAGGAGCACTCCATTGGAACCTCGGCGGACCGCTAGCATTGTTGTAGCGGGCCAATCACAGCTCTCTATCTGGGTTTCAATTCGATAGAGCACTGTGATTGATCCACAATGGTAGGCCAATCACAGCGCTCTATCGTCTTCGTGGGCCAATCAAGGCGCGCTAATGGTTTGGTGGGTGGGATGATGCGATGGAGAGGAACAAGATGGCATCAGCTCATTTGAAATGGCTTTTATATCAGTTTTGGACTATTTGGACTTGGGCTTTATTAGAATCAGGAGCAGATATGTATTTAAGTCTATTATTTAGAAAAAGGATGTATTTTCACCAGCTTGGACAGCGGACTGCCTCGATCAACATTTGTTGCTGTGAGTATTTCACGTTGTTTTGTGGTCCAGTAGCATGCGGAAATTATTTGAAAGACAATGGTAGAACCCGTCCCACGACCGAGAACCCTCAATGGACTAAATAATATATTTATTTTGTCTGGTTTGCCAGGCAAGCTGGTTTAAGCTTTACGAGGTGAATTATGGTCCATCTTTGCCGTCTCGAATTGCTGGAGCATAGATAATTCTAAATCCTTTGGTCACATAGATGTTTTGTGAAAATTGTCTAGCGTCAAAATGGCAAAGACCAGATCAAAGAGCATAAAAGAACGGTACTTTTTCTTCATGATTTCCTTTTTTAACTGTTCACATGCCTTTGATCTGATCTCTAACTCATCCCACCGTCTTTTGTTGACAAACCATCAGATAAATCCTGGCATTTCCTTCATTTGAGGGTCTCTAAATGCATTCTAGGCTCATTTCCTTTTCTGAATGCTCCTTTAAATTGAATGATAAATAATATTAAAGTATATGAAACTGAACACTGAGTCCTTTATCAGGTAAAGTACAATTTAGTCCCATTGTTCATCTGGATATTGTTATTGTTTTCCATCTCTGTAGACCTTTCCAGAACGTAACCGAGTTTGATGGGCAGGACGCCTGTGGCTCTAACAGCTGGGTGATCGCCGATGTTGACCCTCCGCGTCGACCTACTGATGGAGACAAAGAGCGTATTGAACCGGGCCACCTCATCATGCCCCTGAAGCCCTGGACGCAGTATGCCATCATGGTAAAAACCCAGCTGTCAGCATCTGATGAGCACAAGGTCCACGGAGCCAAGAGCAACATCATCTACGTCCGCACCAATGCCACCAGTAAGACCAATAGAGAACTAGATCAATCAGTCAAAATGTGAAACACAAGTTTTGAAAAAGTGCAGTGTTTTAATCTTAGGTGAGAATATTTATGATTCCATTTGAAATGGCTCTAGGTTAAAAATGTATTCAGATGAAATAATTTGTCAGAAGCCTCATCAGGCTGCATGGAGATGATGAGATAAACAGGAAGTCAATCACGGAATGACATTAGTTGATTTGGTTTGAAAATAAAACTACAAACCTAATGTTCCATCACTACATCGACAAAGCATGCAAAAATTATCTGCAACTACAAGGTGTTGGATACGAGAAAGTTGTGTTGTTTTTCAGATTAGTTTTGGGTTTTAGTTCAGATTGAGGCATTTGGTGATGGGAATTTGCATGTTTAAACTACAGGTTTTCTAAATCTGAAAAACTAAATTTCTTTGCAGATTTAAACATTTGAGCTTGTTGTAGTTGCAGGATTTAATTTGATCAAAGCCAGGGTTAATATATAGCTGCTAAAATTTCCTAGTCACAATAGTAAAGAAAAGGAAGTCAGATGGTTAGATTTGCATCACGATAGCGGTACTTCCTTAGTACGTTGTGTACTAGGCCACCCACTGAATGTGCAGTTTAGGTCAATCAGAAACACGAAGACCTGTCTAGCTGACTTCCTTTCAGACGTGTAGTATTTCAATCCCTTGCCCACACAAAACCAGCTTCCAGCAGAGGTGCACCCTTCAAGGGAGGGTTGTTTTCTGTCAAGTCTGGCAGACGCTCTGGGTTCCTGGTCTGCGTCTCACCAACATACCTCATCAGAAGGGCAAAGCTGTCATTACACATAACCTACTGGTGCCAAAGCGTAGTCTGACAATGCTGTCGGACCAGTCCGTGCCATCGCCACGAAGCGATGAGAACACCATCAGGCGTCTCTTACTTCCCATCTTTCAATCAAACACACGTACTCAGCTGCCCACACACACTTTCTACAGCTCACATCTGAAACTTTTGATTCCTAGCAGCGATTCTCCGTTACAGCCCCTTTTCTCGTGTATTTTATTCTATAAATGTGTTTAAGGTTTATATTTGCTTGTGGCAACAATACATGCAACTGAAAGTTATGCTATTACTGTACACACTAAAAACATCAACACAGCGTGACGGCCAAAAGGTGATGGGGAAAACCCAGAGCAGCGGCAGCCATGTGTCTCAGAGCAAGTTTGTGCCAGTAAGTGTTACCTTGCTGCCATCTGATATGCAAAGTAGAATAAAGCAACATTTCTCATCTATAAACAAGAGACAATGATTTTATTTTTTCTAAAGATCTGAGCCTCTATGCAAGTAATGGTTTCAGTTTTAATTACGGATTTCTTTATTTACCTAAAAGAAATTTATTTTCTTAAGACGTTTGACAGTTGTTTATGATTGAGATGAAAGCGAAATCGGTTGTTGATGAGCCCATTACGCCAGACATCGACTGACTCACACTCACAACCATTGATCTTTATCTATAATGGCAGAAAATGACCATGTGCCCGGATTTTATCCAAGTATGTTACCTTCAAGTCTGCAGAAGGACTGGAAGTTTAGGATCATCCCTCCCCTACTTTCGAGATGTATCTAACTCAGGGGTCGGCAACCTGTTCCCATCAAAGAGCCATTCGTTTCCCACAGTAAAGAAAACACTGGGAGCCACAGCAGCCGCGGCGTTGTGGGCGGGGCCTACCCTCAGACAGCAGAGAGCTGCTTTAACCAATCACAACAGGTGACAGCAGCCGGTACCGGTCACTCATGTACGTCAAAGTTATCTTTCATAAGAAGATAATCAATAAAACGATTTATATAAAGTGGATCCAGAAGTTGTAGCCCGTCTCTGCCTACAGTATTTTGATATTTTTCACCCTGTTGATGGTTTTACTGAGCAGGTGCCACTTTTGTCATACGTTTCTTTTTAAAACATGTTTAGACTGTTCAGAATACAAATCCAGGCTCTGTCACGTTTGATTGTTGTAATTAAACTTTGTAGGTGGGGAAGGTCAGAAAAGGATCCGATCATTTTGTTTTTCCCTCATTTACAGTGACGGAGATAACGGCGCAGTGCGCCTGGCTCTGGTGTTAATCAAGTTGAATTATATCTCTTTGCAACAATTTTCACAAGAAAACAGAACAGTTAAAAGCAGGGTTCGTGTTGTGTTGACCGGATAAATCCCGTATTTCACCGTTTATTTTGACTGAGAAAGAATAGAAAGAATTACCCCGATGCATGGAGACGAACTGACACTTTATTCTACGCACATCGCAGATGTAGCTAAATCACTCAAGAAAAGATTCCCATCTGAACATCTGAGCTGGACACTGCTCAGCACAGCTCACCGTCAGCGTGTACATAAGGTACACAGCGAGCTGAAGATGTGGAGAGGGTGTTGCAGAACCAGAGCGCATGCGGGAAGATTCCTCCGACTGAAGCGAGTGTTTTCCAAACCCTGTCTCTCAGAGAGACTTGTCACTTAGAAAATGTTCCCTGATTATGAAACTTTGGCTGAATAGCGCTTGTTCCTGCCTCCAATGTGGCGACACATCCAGGAGCCGTCTGAGGAGAAGCCCAGAATCTCACATCCTCTTCAGCTCAGAATGCGCCTTTATGATTACGCACAAGCGTGACGCATCAACCCGGTCTCACAGTAAGACCGGGTTGGAACTGTTCAGGTTCACGCAGACAATCTTTACATTTAGAATTGGCATACAGATGTAAAATTAATGCAGTAAAATATAAAGCATTTTATCTAAATATCCATTCATTATTTTACAAGCACAGAGAGCCGCATCAGATGGATGGAAGAGCCGCATGCGGCTCCAGAGCCGCGGGTTGCCGGCCCCTGATCTAACTGTTTTCTTTATGATTGCAGAATTATTATTCCTCCAAAAATTATTTTGAGCATTACCAGCCTAATTTCTCTGAAAAGCTAAATAAATTTTGAATCATGGTTGTTGATCATTTTAAAGGCATGCTATGCAACTTTTTCATATTTTTAAATTGTTTTTGAGCCAATATGTGCTAAAATGACCCTTTACAGGGTTAGTGAAATGTCACTCAGACCCCACTGACACCTGTGGCCAGAATACCACACTTGGAAGTGCTACTTGGGTCCTACTTTAGTCTTAAAGGGATTTTCCACCTCTAAGGGAAATTTAGACTTTTTCTGTAGTCCCCAGAGTTAGATAAGTGAGAAAAAAGCATTTGGAAGCAACCTGTCTGCTTTAGCTTAGCATAAACAATCGACATGAATAGCAGAAACTAGCATTTTGTGAGCAAAGGTGATTAAAATTACTCAATAATGCTACCAATTATTCCTGGTGAGCTCAGTAATGATGTTGACTGCAAATGAAAAGTAAAAAGTAACATGAAGGATTTCCGGGAGCCGGTTTAGACTTGGGACTACATTACGACAAAGCACAAAGTGCAGCTCGACCCCGACCACAGTTTCCAAGGCCATGGTTCCGTATTTTCCCTCTACTTTCTCCCCTATTTTTAGTCCCTGCTTCGTTGAGGTACCTGGCAAGGCTGAGTTGGGCCGGTATCGTGATTCTGACCGCTGATTGGCTAGGAGACCGAGTCATTGGTTGCTCTGGAGTTTTCTGCCTTCTGTTTCACTGCCTGCAGCCATTTCCTGGTTCAGAGTTTGACAATAAGCCATGAAACTGAGCAGAATGTCCAACACCACCATTTTGTTTCTGTGGAGCATACAAGTTACCTTACACTGTTTACTGATCACCTCATGCTATTTTGTCAAATCCCCCTAACGAAACTAATGAAGGCTGAGAAGACATTTCAGCAGTTAGACTGAGTTGTTAAAAAGGTGAAGGTACAGCGAGGAGATATGTTTCACTTTTGCTTTTACAACAGTGAACAAATAATTGACTCTAGGGGCTTCTAAAAGCAAGTCAGAACTGTTTCCCTTCGAGCTCTGACAGTTGCGTTTTATACATCCATGCATCTGCTGAGAAGTCATTTTAGTATTTCTGTAATTTCTCTGCAGAACCGTCAGTCCCACTGGACCCCATCTCCTCATCCAATTCCTCCTCTCAGATCATTCTGAAGTGGAAACCTCCCAACGATCCCAATGGCATCATCACTCACTACCTGGTTTTCTACCAGCGGCAGCCTGAAGCCAGCGAGCTCTACAAGTTTGACTACTGCCAGAAGGGTGAGGGGGATTTTAACTTGACGTTACTCAATTATTCACCTTCTAACATTAAGATCTTTCAAAGACAGGGTAGGACAAATGCGCATTTTACCCATTCAAGCGTGTTGAAGTGACATTCAAGTCCCGTGTTTTCTAATTGGTCATCTGTTTAATGATGGGAGCAACAGTTGGGTTTTTTCATTCTGAGGTGTGAAAAAACAGCCTCAAAGCAGTAATTATTCAAACTAGATGTAGATTAGTGAGGAAACTGAAGCCAGTCTGACATTTCAAGTAGCTAAGCATTAGTAGTTATCTGTGTGGCTTTGCAAGTGGTTTACATGTTAATCTGCATGTACATTACCTCTGGCTGTTTCAGTTTGTAGCTCGCTCTGATGCTAAAATGAGAGTTTCATCTGTTGATTGACTTCAACAAACTAGAAACAACACTAGTTCGCTTAAAACACAGAACTCCTGGCAACCTCTAAACCTGTTTACTTGTTTGAGTAATTTGAGTGACCTGACTGGTATCGGTTTTCCCTGAACACATGCGAGCTGCTCACTAACAGAACATGTGTAGTGGAAAATTATGAGGCGGTCAAGACTCCACCAGCACTTACTCCATCTTCTCTGACGACGACCCCGACGAAGGTCACCAACCAAACGGTGTTGCTCAAATATTAGTTATTTTCTGTAAACGTGTTATGTCACTTAGGAAGTCTCCGTGAGTGTTTTGGAAAAACAGTTTGCAGTTGAGTCATTCCGAATGCTCAGAACTTTAAAGGAGTAAAAGAGATTAGCGTTTGGATATTTATGTAATTTAGTTAGTTTTGATCATTCAGACTGAAGCTTAGCTTCTAACAGGTTGCTTGGATGTTGGTAAAGTTGAGTCAGAAACTTTAAATGACTAGAATCCATTTCCAGAATCATCAAATAGATGTTAAAGATAGAAATTGCCTCCTACTGTTAGATGTTTCTTGTATTTTTCTGATTTTAATGAAGCTGCATCATAATCAAGATATACAGCTAAATACAGAAAGATTTATTTGCTGCTGAGATGTTTAATCAGCATTTTGCAAAGTCCTCTGGCATCATCGTTGTTGTTAAGCACTCCAGATTGGCTCCATGCCATTTCCCAAGCCGTGAACCTGGTAGTTGGGAGTTTCACTCCATTACATGCAGGACTATCATCCAGATGCCCCGCTCAGGGCTGGCTGCATGCCTAGCCAGCATCCTCTTTACCCACAACAATATGATGTAATCATAAACAGTGTTGGGAAAGTTTGTTTTAAATCTGAACTAGTTCAAAGTTTAGGTCACACATTTTTAAAATGAACTAGTTAAGTTATTTTATTTTTTCCAATATGTAGTGGTGAGCTTTAACCCTCACAATGATGGCATTTTCCTATTGTTGCCACGTGTTCAGTCCATACTGGTACCCAGCTGCAGCTTTTACCCCTACAGTATAGACTTGCTACTTGAATACGGTTTTTAAAAAGAGGGATTGTTAAATAATCTGAGGGAAGAACCAGGCTGAGATAGAAAACAATGATGTACTTTGAAGAGCAGAACATTTAAACAATAATTTAAGTCACTTTTCAAGTTTTGTGAATGGATTTCTCACTTGTTTGCCCGAATTTAAAGAAAGGTTATAGAACTTGGATCATACAATGCAACAATTAGCTCCAAATTAATAAGAATAAAAAAATAAAATAACTGGTGCGACTCAGTGACTAGTGTTTCCAGATCTGATGTTCCCCCTGGGTTAACGGTGCATTCCGTTTGTACTCAGTACTCTGAAATGCCTGAGTAGGCAGAAACATGTGGGGATGTTGAATGTCTACCAGAATGAAACCTGTCTCGGTCTGCTTCAGCTTCAGATGAAGTTCAAAGATTTATTTTGACTGAATTATTTTGGTTCCATCCCGGCTCACGTCAGTCTTTAGCCACCGGTGCCCGTCTGTGTGAGGACCGAGTCAGACCACGAGCTCCTGTATTACCCGAGTCTGCAAGGAGAACTTGTCAGTGATAATTAATCTCCACCAGAAGGGTTGATGACCTGGAGATGACAATGACAGACATGCCCTGCAGGCGCATACATGTGTGTGTGCTGGTTTGGGATACTGTGCTCAAATCTTTGTATAACACCTGTCATCTGTATCTCTCCATTGTTTCTCCTCCCTTCTCTGGATTTCATGTCTGACTCGCTGTTCACCAGGGATGAAGTTGCCATCACGGGTGTCCACTCAGGTGGATAGTGATGAGGAGCAGAAATGGAACCAGACTGAGGAGCTGGGCCAGGGGACGAGATGCTGCGCCTGTCCCAAAACTGACAAGGAGCTCAAGAAGGAGAAGGAAGACTCGGAGTACCGGAAAACCTTTGAGAATTACCTCCACAATGAAGTTTTTGAGATAAAGTAGGTCTCCTCTACCTTTAAGTTAATTTAGGTAATAAGTTCTTAATGAAGATAAACTTAAAGCCCTTGTCAGTAGTTCTCACAAAAGCGGTCAGCTGTCCAAAAACTTGTATTATTAAAAGGTCTAAATACAAACATTTCCTACAGCTTCAATTGTTACAAACTGATGTTTCTGAATTAGGTTTTTCATAAATTCTCCCAAGTTCTGGACATTTTTACATCTTTTAAACATCTTCTCCAGACGCTCGAGGCAGCGACGAGCCGTGATGGGCGTGGCCAACAAAACACTCCCGTTCTTCCCCACCGCCTCGAGCCTGCCCAGGGGCACAGGTGTCCCCGAAGGTGAAGATGAGGAAAACTTCGAAGGCACCAAGACGATGGTGGTCGTTCATTCCAAGGAGTCCACAGTCATCTCCAACTTGCGCCACTTTACCAGCTACCAGATCGAGATCCACGCCTGCAACCACCCGACAGATCAGACCCGCTGTAGCATGGCGGCGTACGTCAGCGCTCGCACGATGCCCGAAGGTAGAACACGTCTCACATTTGATAATTATCTTGAATAAAAGCGAAAACCCCAGATGTTTTTGGTTACTCTGTTTTAGCTGGTTCTCATTTGGTAGCTAAACACTATGTGTTTGGGCCAAATATGATTTAAATACGATCCAAACAATCTATAGGGTGTATGACTGCAACATTTGAACTCTCTGAAATAAGTTATTGAGGATGTATGAAGAAATGAACAAAACTTTCTGCAAACTGCTGCATGCACCACACTTCAAGTCATAGTGCGATGTTTTGTGAAATCTGTCACCTTGTTCTTTGCAGATAAAGCTGATGATGTCTTGCCTCCTATCACCCACGATGTGACGGAAAACACGGTGCACATAAGTTGGCAGGAACCTGCAGCCCCTAACGGCATCATCATCCTATATGAGGTGAACTACAAGAGACTGGGCGACACTGAGGTAAAAACTCTTCCACTCACACTTATTACTTCAGTACTGAAACACACTGTGTGTGCTGTAGGGATTAAATTCAAAATTCAATTCAATTCAAAAATACTTTATTATTCCCAGAGGGAAATTAGAGTTTCAATACACACAATTCTGAGATCATACATACACACATGACAAGAATTGGTGACTGTGGTCATTCGCAACCCGAGTCGCGCTACCGTAATAGATCAAGAGGGTTTATATGAGGATAGAATCAGGGGGAGTGAAAAAAAGGAACTTCAGAGTTACCCTCCACAGAGAGGGCAGCTTTGCTATGCAAAAAAAAAACCCCACCTCAGACAGATATGCACACAGACTTCAGACATTACACAACAAGTGTCCACTAGGTGGGGAGGTAGGGTTGGGACTCTCCTCACTTCAGTGCATGCAGCCGCATGGAGCAGCGCTCATCACCTCCGTTTGGACAGGGGAGGGAGATAATGGGTTAGAGTTCTGTTGGTCTTCAGCCCCTCTAGATCCAATAATGGTGTAATTAATCCATCCCAATCCGTGCTGATCCATCAACTCTCTCCTTGATGGAATCCACCTTCTGTGCCAGAGCCTGAATCTCAGCCAAAGTTCCAAGCTTACGACTCATCTCGACAATTATATGAGGTTGTGTGTTCACAGCACGGTGTAATCCATCCCTGAGCTCCGGGATTGAGCCAAAATTCCTCGAAAGCTCCTTAATTTTCTGGTATGCCAGGTAACTGCTCAGGCCAAACAGCAGGAATCCCGACACCAAAACGACGAATATCCAGACATCTTCAGAATCCTCTACAGACACTTGAGAGAGGCAGATCAGGTTCCACTGTTTCCAGGAGTCCATGATATACCCAGCTGGCTCTGTCCCAGAGGGGCATACGGGAGCCCGTTCTCCCGTTCTCATCGTTGACAAAATGTTGTCATCGCGTTGAGACCAACTGACCAGATCCATTTTTAATCCTTTCTAGTTTCCAGAAAATATGCAAAAAGCGTTGTGCACAGAAAGACAGGACAAAAAGCCTTGGGATGAGGATGGAGAGGAGAGGAGAAAAAAAAGCGTCTGTACTCTCCAAGAGCCGGAAGAAGAAAAAGCCAGAGTTGCAGAGCAACAATGTCTACATTTTCACTAAAGCACAGAGAGAAACGGTTAATCTGTTGCCATTAAAATCAATGACTTTACTATGTGTAAACACTGGAACATGGCATCTAGATGAGGTCATTTCTATCATGTGACTTTTTTTTCTGTTACTTGTTTGATAGCACTAACGGCAGAGTAATTGTGGCACTGCTCTGTGTTTTAGTTGTCATGGAAACTGGTTACAAATCAAACATTTATTTAATCTAATTGATTGAAAACGATAATTTTCTGTGGACGAAAACAATATTTTTTCTCAGCCACTCATGTGTTTTTCTCCACTGCAAAGCTAAGTAATTTAATTGGTGTAAATAATCCTGCATAAATTAGTATAAAAACATCCAGTGTGTGAACATTGGTGTGTTCTTTCTGCAGGAGCTGCATTACTGTGTGTCGAGGAACATGTACAAAGTGTCCCGTGGCTGCAAACTGAAAGTGATGCATCCTGGGAACTACACTGTCAGGATCCGAGCCACCTCGTTGGCTGGGAACGGATCATGGACCGAACCTACTTACTTCTATGTTCAGGATGCAAGTAAGTGTTGAAAGACAAGCAGATCCCAGGTGTGCGTGTGTGCAGGGTTCTGCTAATAAAAGCCTTTGAACGTAGCCCATCAATCAGAATAAATGTTAATAAAACCAGAATAACATCCTGCATGTACCTTGTATGACTCGGTCATCGTCAGATCACACAAGGTCTCTAATTGTACCTGAATGGGGTGACGTTCACTCAGCAGCAGAAGCATCATATTTAAGTGGGTTTGTTCTGTGCAGCTTATTTTTGTTTTCAACCTGAAATGTGACACGCTTTGGGCGGATGTTTTTTCTGCGACAGGCGATCCCCTCTACATTGTGAAGATCATCATCGGGCCAATCATCTGCGTGGTTCTGGTGCTGTTTATGGCCGTTGTGGGATTTTTCATGTTCAAGAAAAAGTATGCAGCCGTTGCATCCCACTGAATACTAAGTTTTGTTAAGTGTCATTACTAAGTGTGTTCTTGTTTCTTTTAGTCAAACCCAAGGGCCTAGCGGTCCCATTTATGCCTCTTCAAACCCTGAGTATCTCAGCACTAATGATGGTAAGCTTCAGTCTGTTAGTGGCTCCATTTAATGAAAAATTTTAGCTCATTTAGAGCTGATGGCCACGAAAAATGTTTGTGTATTTTCCTCATGTACTTCCCATGATCTAGCCCGATCACGTGACTTTCATACAATCAGAATTGTCCGGAATACATTGGATATAACCTAATAAACAACAAGCACAAGCTTTTAAATTCATCTTGATAGAGATTTTTAAACGTAATGACTAACATAACTTATAATTTTTGTTATAATTTAACAGGTTCCACTACTTCATTGTTCATTGTTGCATGGATGACAACACCATAACATCACACAGTGCAAGAGCCACTTGTAATGTGTACATATTGGACGTGCAACACTACGAATCTGATAAACTGCCATACCAACAAACTACTTTTTCTTTCTCTTTTGGCATTTCCCCTCTGTTGTCGTCATAGTCAATTACCTGTCTCCATTTTTTTTAGTCAGCCATCTAAAAAACAAACACCTTGCTCAATATTTCCAGTCCACTGCAGCTACTCGGAAAAAAACACGGAGCCAGCAGACCCTGAAAGACGTGTTAAAAACAAAAACAAATTGTCTACAGCGAGGAAACAAGGTCACAGCTAAGACGGCAGTATTTATCTCCCTGGATGGCAAATGTTGGGTTTCACAATTTGCTGGAGCTGCTGCAGCTCTACAGGTGTTGTGCAGATAAAAGTTGCATATTACGTAAACAGTTTGAGACACGAGCGACTAGGCCACTTTAAAATAAATTCTTAATACAAACAAGTTTCTTATTGATGTATTTTCTGAACAAATTGTGTTTTTTTTGGTAGATAAATTAAGGAAATAACATAAATACAAAAAGAAATGCATGAAAAAAATTTTTTTTTCATTTAAACATTGATGTATTCACTTTGTAATGTATTGCTGAAGATTGGGACTCTGCATTAAAGAGACTCAAAATTTAATTTGTCGGACTCGGATCAGGGGCAAAAAATATGTGATTCACACATCCCTAATCAATTAAATTTAGGAAAATTTCTGTAATTCCCTGTTTAATGATATTTCAAGGAATGGAAGAAAATGCAAATGTCAATTTATAAATAACTGGATTTTATATGAAAAATAATTGTCATTGTCCTAGAGGCTTTCCTTGTTTTTGTTCTATATTTAAAGCCTCAGTGGATCAATTTGAATTTAATTTGAATTTAAACACTTCCACCTGTCTCACACACGATGTTGAAACGACAGATTCTTGTTTTGATCTACTTTGGATCAAAACTTGTTGGGACTAATTTTCACAACAAAGGCTGCAGCTCTAACGTTAATTAGAATTCTGCTGAAAAATATATTTGATTTATTACATTGAAAATGTGAATCTATTTCCACGTTTTTGTTTACAAAATAACTCGATAAAATCTGATGCTTTTTTTGTATTTTTGCTGTAAAAGAAACCCACATTTGTTTAGTAACCTGCAGATCCTGTTTCCTGGATTTCTGCGGTAACCAGATCTTATTTAAAACTGCTTACAGTTTCAAAATTCAGGATATTCCATACGTTTAATATTTCAGGTAGTTTTAGTGTTTTGAAGGGATAAAAAGACCAAACTGGCACCTATTTTGTCTTTGAATGTTGACTCCTAGGGTTTTTTTTTCAACCTTCTTTCTGTTTGTAAGTCTAATAAAGACAAATTGTACTTGCAGTGTATGAGGAGGACGAGTGGGAGGTACCCCGTGATAAGATCGCCATCCTGAGGGAGCTGGGTCAGGGCTCGTTTGGGATGGTCTACGAAGGCATTGCAAAGGACATTGTGAAGGGCGAGGGCGAAACACGCGTCGCAGTGAAAACTGTGAACGAGTCGGCCAGCCTGAGGGAGAGAATCGAGTTCCTGAACGAGGCCTCGGTCATGAAGGCCTTCAGCTGCCACCATGTGGTAAAAACACTTTTTTCATCTCTTACAGGACATTGTGGTATCAGTTTTTGGTTACTAATGATGGGTGAAAGTACAGGGTGGGGTTTGAGTCAGTGGACCGCAGCCATTTCTTTGAACTACTGTTTGTAAAAAATGTCAAATGTACCCTTATGAGGCTTTAGCTGTGAGGAGCAGCTGCGTAATTGGCTCTACGGGACCAGCTTTTAATGTATTACTGTTCTGATAATGTGATGAAACAATAAATCTAATTTGTTCTGATCACCCAGGTGCGTCTGATGGGCGTTGTGTCAAAAGGACAGCCGACGCTGGTGGTGATGGAGTTAATGACCCACGGAGACCTGAAGAGCTACCTGCGTTCTCTGCGTCCCGATGCCGAGGTAAGGAAATGCCTTATTTTTAGATTACAGCTGCTCCCCGTTGGATCGCAATTCTGGTCTTCTGTCATCTCGCCTCTGCATTTTACTTAGAAAAATAGAACACGAAGTCCCAACCACGTCTTTCTTATCTCTGTGAACATTTCTTGTAGTTCTTCATTTTGCCTGTACTGAGTGTGCTATTCTCAAATTAGGTTGGACTCTGGCATGTTGAGATATGTGATACAGTGTTTACTCACTTTATAAAACTGTAAGTACACTAAGTGCTGATTCCGTTAGTACAGTGGTGTCCAGTACAGGTCCTCGAGGGACAATTTTCGGCATGTTTTAGTTGTTTTATTTTTCAGTCAGTGGTTAAATTTCCTCTTGAGCATGTCCTCACGCTCTCTGCTGGTCACTCAGTGATTCAGATCAGGTATAACTGCCACCACAGAAAGGAATCATAGGATCCAGAAAGTATTTTTGAGGGCTGCTTGAGACATAAAACAACTTTATAGTGCTTACTTTACAGGGTTTAATGTCTCTTTCATGTAAAATGGTCACTGCAGTGGACCGCCACTCAAAATATATATTTTTTGTTTGATCAGCTGTTGAAGACGCTATTGCATTTAAACCCCCCCCCCCCACCACCACCACCACCACCACCACTCCACTGAGGTGGCCATGTAAAGAAAATAGTTAAAATTTATCTTTCATACCTAAAGTTTGAATTAAAAAAATGGTTTGAAAAAATGATGGTTAAAGATTTTGTTATTCATACATGAAAAGGGTTGTAGCTCAGTGGCGTCCAACCACAATCCTGCATGTTTCAGATTTCAGTCTTTGGGTCATTAAAACGGTTCTGTAAAACTAACAGTTATTGAGTCTGCTGTGTTCGAGCAGGGAAGCAAATGAAACTTGCAGGTTTTTGCACCAATGCTGTAGGCCCTTTATAGAACTGCATCTGCTGCATTTTTCAAGTTTTTCATATAGTTTTATTGTTCAGAGGATTAAAAGGAGAATAATGTGGTCAAGTGTGAGTTTGAAAAGCGTAAGTACACCCCTAGTAGAAATTTTTTTTGTAGTTTGTGGCTATTTCAAGCATTTTATTTCAAAAGATGTAATAATTGTTCTCAAGCCTTTGTGAAGGAGTGTGCTAAGGATAAATGACCTTTTTAGTGAGTACTGCTGATGGGTAAACATTTTAAAACTTCTTGATGCAATTGAACCAAGATGAAATAAATTTGCGTCTAATTTGTATTTTCACTCGTGCCAGATTATTAGTCTGGACTAAATCAGATAGTCTTTTGGTTTGTGTTGCCACGGTAACTCGTGATCTTAGGCCTTTTCCAGTGTTAAGTTTTGCTTTTTACTTATATGTGGAGAGATAATCTGCGTGTGTCACCTTTGGAGTAAACTACAAATGACTCTTTGATTGGAGGAGGAGGAGGACTGAGCTGCTGGGTGTTTAGAGAGGATTTAAGCAGTCGGCATTAAAGTCAACTACAAACATGTCAGTTTTCTCAAGCGGGCGTGTTTACTGTCAACCGTTTCAGTGTTTAAACTCGGCTTTATTCTACTCTGTAGCATCTAAGAGGTAGAAGATTTCGTTAGAGCAGATGAGAGATTAAAGAATAATCTGTTTTGTGTCCCTCAGAATAACCCCGGACGCCCTCCGCCCACTCTGAAAGAGATGGTCCAAATGGCGGCTGAGATTGCAGACGGCATGGCGTACCTCCACGCCAAGAAGTTTGTCCACAGAGATCTGGCAGCTAGAAACTGCATGGTAGCTCACGATCTGACAGTCAAAATAGGAGGCAAGTTCAGCAAAGTTCCTGAACTCAGATTATATTTTTACATGAAACAGAAGGGGCTGTTCTAAAGGGCGTTGGAGTGGTGGCGGGGATTAATTGTTCTTTTCCAGATGAGTCTAATAATGATTTTTGCCTCCCAGACTTCGGTATGACCAGAGACATCTATGAGACGGATTACTACAGGAAGGGAGGGAAAGGCCTACTGCCCGTCAGGTGGATGGCTCCTGAGTCTCTGAAGGACGGCGTCTTTACTGCAAATTCAGACTGCTGGTTAGTGAGAATGGATTTCTGACGTGATTATGCACACAAAACAACCAAAGTGCAGAGAAGAGCCTCGAAGACAGACCAGAACAACACGCTGTACACATATTACTCACATTAAGCTGTGACAATAACAAGCGTTTGTGCCGTTTAACGAGGTTTTAATCAGCACCAAAGCTGTTTCTGCTCCCGAGTCTCCCTGTTTGCTTCCTTTAATTGTTTACAGACAGATTTACTCTGTCAGGTGTCTAATCAGCCTGTCCTCGTCCTCTCTGTTTACCAGGTCATTCGGGGTTGTGCTGTGGGAGATCAGCACACTGGCCGAGCAGCCATACCAGGGCCTGTCCAATGAGCAGGTCCTCAAATTTGTCATGGACGGAGGCTTCCTGGACCGACCGGACAACTGCGCCGACAGGCTGTAAGTTCACCAGCAAGAGCCAAGAACATCAGAGTTGTTTCGGAGCAGTTAAATCATTTGCCATACTAGGCAACTTTTTATATTGTTTGGTTAAGCCAGTATGTGCTAAAATTACCTTTTACAAGGTTAATGAAATGTCACCCAGACCCTCACTGCCTCCTGTGGCCAGAATACTGCATTTGCAACTTCAGAGTGCCGGTCCGGTCTGTTGGAATTAGAAAAAAATGGAGCTGACATACCTGGCGCTGCAGTCTGCTTACTGCACATTTCCTGCATGTTTTAGATCATGAACACAGCTGATTTGTTTGATTTAGTGATGAGTCACTTCTGTAGACACTAATGAAGGCTGGGAGACATTTCAGCTGTTAGAGTAAGGCGTTAAAAAGACGAACGCACAGCGAGGAGATACGTTTCGCTTTTGGTTCCACTAAACAGACACTAGCAAAACCGCCAAGTGTGCCTTTCTGTCTTTGCCACACACACTCGTTGTCGGCTCCTCTGTAGAGTGGGGACTTAGTGAGGAACCCTGACTTTACTTTTAGTTTCTATTTTTTTATCACAATTTGTACTTTTCCTTATTTTATAAGTTTTTAATTATTTTTTTTGTGCAGCGCCTTGTGATTTTATCTTGAGAGGCGCTTTATAAAAGATTGTTTCTTCTTCTACTTTCACTTTTCTCTCTTCAAACATTTCCCCCGTCGACTGAATCCACAGACACACACACACACACACACACACACACACACACACACATACACACACACACACGCACACACACACGCACACACACACACACACACACACACACACACACAGGGAGCGAACACAAAAACAGACCACACTCAGTCACCCACACTGGCACCATTCCTGGCTCATACCTGAGCCGTATTATGCATCATTCTTTAGCTATTTATCAGGGCTTCTGGGACATTTAAGCTCCAACTACATTTTGTATTCTTTATAGAGGCTCAAAGATCGGTTTCCAATTTTAACTAAACCCCATTCTACTGGTCCTTTAAAGTGAGGTTCAAGGCCTGGATGGAGACGTATTTCATCCACACTCCTGTTAGGAAAACATTTCTGAAAGAGGCATCTCCTGGTGGACTGAGAGAGTGGCACTGAGGCATGGTAGACCGCGCCCCCCTCAACCCCCTCGCGTGTGCTGTCGGAGTTTCTCAATCTAAAAACTAGCTGTTAACGAGCGCGTGCACGCAAGCACGCACTCACACAAGACACCCCTCAGGAGAAAAGCAGACAGATTCTGCAGCAATCTGGAGGATTTCCTGTTAACCACGATCATTAGATCAGGGCTCAGTACTAGGACCTCTTCTATTTGCCATATACACCACCTCACTGGGCGAGATCATTCGATCACATGGCTTCTCCTACCACTGCTATGCAGACGACACCCAGCTCTATCTGTCAATTCCACCGGACGATCACACTGTCTCAGCACGAATATCAAACTGTCTCTCTGACATATCAAAATGGATGAAATCTCACCGTCTCCAAGTCAACCTCTCTAAAACTGAACTACTTGTCATCCCAGCAAAACCATCCATACAGCACAATATCTCAATCCAAAATGACTTCCTATCTCTGGCTCCTTCAAAGGCAGTTCGAAACTTGGTGTTGTGATTGATGAACACCTGGCCTTTAAAGATCAAGTTGCCTCTGTTGCTCATTCATGCCGCTTTGCGCTGTATAACATACGAAAGATCAGACCATACTTAACACAACAAGCCACCCAGCTGCTGGTGCAATCTACTGTCATCTCCTGCCTCGATTACTGCAATGCCCTTCTAACTAGTCTTCCAGCCTGTACTGTGAGACCTCTTCAAATGGTCCAGAACGTAGCGGTGCGTCTGGTCTTCAATCAGCCAAAAAGAGCACACGTCACCCCTCTGTTCATTGAGCTCCACTGGCTACCGCTAGCAGCACGCATCAAATTCAAATTGCTAACACTAGCATACAAAGTCCGAGATGGTACGGCTCCCATCTACCTGAATCCTCTTGTAAAGGCTTACGTCTCGGCCCGGCCGCTACGGGCATCACAGGATCGTCGGCTAGCAGTGCCTACACCACGCTCAGGACAATCCAGACTCTTCTCATGCATCGTTCCACAAATGTGGAATGACCTACCAAGCACTACCAGAACTACTGCTTCCTTTTCAATTTTCAAGAAACTCCTGAAGACCCTGCTCTTCAGAGAGCATCTTCTTAACTAGCACCCTCCCTGCACCCGTCCCCCCTCTCTACTGTCTACTCCTTGTTCCCTCCTCTCCATGATTGATGTCAATGTTGTTGTTGTTATTGTTGTTGTTCTTAGTCTCAAGGGCAACATGCCGATTATCACTTGTAAGTCACTTTGGACAAAAGCGTCTGCTAAACACATAAACATAAACATTAGATGAAAAGGGGAGGAGGGCATTTTTTTTTTCAAGGAGGTGAGCGGCTCAGAGAGCCAGCTTGTCATATCGGCAGGTGAGTGGCTGAGCCAGGTGGAGGTGCGGCTGCCTCACCTGGAGACCAGTGCAGTGCAGCCACGTAGTACTTTTGCTGACAACGTCCCGTTTTTCAGCTTAGCCATCAGCTGATTCTGCATGAATATGGAGCAGAGTTTTAACCTGAAGATGGAACTATATTAATGGTTTTGGGCTGAAATATTAAATTTAGAGTAAGTTGCACTTAACTGCCATACTAATGATTACACATGCATACAGCACCATTAGACATTCATCTATACAGGTTATCAGCAAAAAAAGTTAATTTAGGCATTACTTGCCCTTTAAGTTGTTTGAAAATGAAGCAATTTTCGTTACAAAACAGCAAAGCTGTGATTTTGCAACTATTGCGTTAAAACTGAAGCAGGAGGGGCGGGTTTAAGGTTTGAATTAGAGAGGATTTAATCAAAATGACAATTAATTTGGTCTCTGCAAAAAAATAAACCGTTCTCATTTTCAGCTTGTCAGCACCCCGAAAGCAGAAACGTGTGTTTTGAATTGTTCTGGAGCTCTAACTCACCATTTCCTCCCGCAGACACAACCTGATGCAGATGTGCTGGCAGTACAACCCCAAGATGCGCCCCGCCTTCCAGGAGATCATCGAGATGCTGAAGGACGACCTGCATCCCTCCTACCGCGAGCTGTCCTTCTTCTACAGTGAGGAGAACAAGCCACCAGAGACAGAGGATTTCGACCTGGACATGGAGAACATGGAGAGCATCCCGCTGGACCCTTCGTCGTACTCACAGAGGGAGCAGTGTTCGGACAGGGAGGAGTCCTCCATGGGCCTGAGGGGGAGCTACGAGGAGCACCACATCCCTTTCACACACATGAACGGGGGAAAGACCAATGGACGAATACTGGCCCTACCACGGTCCAGCCCCTCCTAACACACAGAGCACAACCTGAAGTGTCACCATAGATCTGAATCTATTTTTGGTTCTCATTTTATATAAATCACATTTTTATCATTTTGTCCGCTGAAGCAACTCAATGCAAAACTCAGGACCTTATTTTTCTCTCCAAATGCCACAAACACACTACAGTCGGTCCACACACGGACGTCTCAAGACACTTTTTGTATTTAAGGATGAATCTCCTGCGTCTCTGTTGTTCGTGATTGTACTTTATATACTGTATATCTATACAGATATAGATGAATATCTATATCTGTTGCCAAGTTTGTGCTTGACTGGATGGAAATTGGATTCAACTGTGAAACAAACTCTTGACATACAAGAAAGGCTGCTAAACCTTCTGTCCCTTCCCGAGCCCAGGCCGCGTCCCCTTTTCCCCGACTTTAGGGTTCACCCCCGGATTTCTACATTTTGAGAGGTGGAAAAAAAAGAAAAAGTGCCCTTCTATTTTGTCTGTGGCCTACACCAGTTGTCATGGAAGTGTGTCTGAATCTTTGTATGCAAACGAATGACAAACTGTAAAAGAAGCATTCAAAAAAGACTTTCAAGAATCTCTGGATGGTTGAAGAGGAATCCATCCTCAAAACAGACTTTAATCCACTGGAGAAGCTGGTTGAAGTGGCTTACCTCCTCACACTCTGCAGTATTTCAAAATGGCACACAGGATACACACACAGGACATTTGTTGGGTTCTTTTTCTTTTATTTATTTACCTGTCTTTCTGTTTGTTTCCTCTTTTTGTTTCCCATATTTACAGCTGAAGGATATTTAAACTGTTTTCAAAAACGTGTTGACAAACAGGTTCATCAGATTTACCAATAGCTGCTTTGTTGGTATATTTTAGTGGGTTTAGAAGTTAAGAAATATATATATATATAAATATAAATATTATATTGATGTTTTTGTACATAGTGTTCATTCTCGAGGTATTTCCGGTTAGATAATGTTTTTACATGTTAGTCTCTTATGTTTGTTCTTTTCTAATCCAGAAAATCATATTAATGAGCTTTTTTTTAGGACTCTTGATCAACCAACAGCATCTGGGTCTTTTACAGTAAGCTGCCCAGGAGGAGGAGGAGGAGTGTTGCTCATCATCTTAAATTGTCAGCCCATCATACAAGATCAAATAAAGTAGAGCTGTAAATATTGCAGCAAAGTGCATTTAAGACGAGGCTCTGGCATTTCTTTTTTTACAACAGTTTTTTTCAATGTGACCTGTAAATATCAAGAAGGGAATTCCCTTCACCAATTGGAGAAAATAAGATTAAAGTTGTTTTTTTTATAAAATCCCCAATTGTTTTAAATTAAAGGTAACACAAATTTTTTTTAAACTTTAAGCTAGAGCTTTAACATTCATCTCGGTGACTGTTGAGTTAGAAACGACCAGTAACCAGTTTCATATTTAACACCGTTCTGCAGCAACACTTAACAGTTTTGTGGAACAGTTAGATGCCCTATAGGGGGAGCTCTTTACCTGCTTTATGGCTGTTCGCTAACTGCTAACGTAACAGCCGCTTCAGTTTGTCGATCGTCAATAAAAAGCTCAAAAAGATGGGGGGGGGGGTTGCATCATGGCAGAGCCTGGAACTGAAACAGAGTAATGGTATGCACAATGGCGTGGTATACACTAGTTTAAGGGACTTAAAGGATGCTACAAAATGCGGACTGATGGTGACCTGGCTTTGTTGTTACTCTAAGTAATAATATTTTTTGTTCAACAGTGTGGATCTCTTTACTTTGTGGTTTATTTTAGTATTAGTTGGCCCGTGTTGTTCGCACTAGCTACAGCAGGCTGCAGCAGAGTTGTTTACAGCAGTTGTAATTCCACTCTCAGCCAGTAGGGTGGAGGAGCAGGAAACTGCTCAGTGTTACTTTAACTAGCCTCCCATTAATTTAAGAGGTGGACCATTTAAATGTCCAAAATGTAAAAATTAGCTTTAGTATAACTAAAAGAAATGGTATGTTCTATATTTTATCATTTAAAGAATATATACGTCCAACATCTTCCTGTCAGTAATCATTTGCAGATCATTTTTTGGCATAAACTCCAACAGATTATTCTTGAAATCACTCACAACCCATCTAGATTTTTCTATGTAAGTCATTAGTCTGCAGATGGTCTCAAGAAGTCAAAACTAGAAAAAAAAATCCTGATACCATTGGTTCATAAATCTTAAAATGTGGGTCAAAAGTTAGTGTCTTTAAACAATTACAACCATATAATTCAGTCAACAGTTTGCAAAGCACTATTTAAACGTGTTTTTTTAGATCTTTACAAGGAAATTGGTTTTCGATTCCCAAAGCAGATGTACAATTTCAACTTTTGTATTATCAGACTCAACGTCCCCTTTAAAAAATAAACATAAAAAACAATGCAAAAATTATTAAAGACATGCATACCAGTGTCCTAACATGAATGACTAGTAACACACTGCACTAGGGCTGGGCACTGGCCTAAAATCAATATCATGATATATTGAGGATTTCACTTTGATAATGATAAATGGACGATAACTACAAGTATGCGCAGAAACAAAAGTTGTCCACTAGATGGGGCTATCGCATGTATTAAGCTGAGTCACATTTTTACATGACTCAAGGTAATACAGCTTCTTAAAGGGACATGAACGTTGCCAACCTACACACATCTTTTCGTTTTTCATTTATCAAATTTATTGACGTGGGAAAAACTATCTCGATAAGAGTCAGAAATTTCGATAACGATAAATTTTCGATTTATTGTCCAGCCCTACTCTGCACAAAAACTGGGATCCACCAGCATCCGGACCAGTCTATTCTCAGAGCTCTTCAACCACAGGATAAACTTGTAAATTTCTCATTATAGCTTGGGAGGTCCAGATATGAGCATTGCAAAAAAGTCTTGCACTACAGGACTGAGGCGTGCCTAGTAGAGTCCTAAATGCATCATTATACACTACCTTAAGCTTAAGCAAGCTGGCTTTCTTATACTTACACCACAAAGGTGTGCAGTAGGTTCTAAAGAGGTGGATTTTACATCATCAGAACACGCGTGAAATTTCCTGACCAAGATGGCCTGGGCATACAAAGTGTGATATTGCCGGTAAATGTCATCATCGTCACAGAGCTGATCTGTGATGATGTGACCCAAATATTTAGCTTTGTCACAGACACTTATCTTCTTGTCAGTCAGGCAGAAATCTGTGGTTCTTTGGTTCGACAAATCAGCAGAATACTCTCTTTTTTTTTTCTTTTTTGCATGAATTGCACATTGTACGTCAGCCCATAAGCAGAGCATGTGTTTAGCAGCTGCTGAAAACCAGGACTACTTGGCGAAAAGAGGGCCAAGTCATCGGCATACATGAAATGATTATCTTCATACAAATTATCTTCAAATCGTCCACGTAGAGGTTGAACAGAGCAGGTGACAGTAGCCCCCCAGGCACACCTTCTTACTAACACCAAACGAGGCTGATTTGGTATTGCCCCATTTAACTTGCATTGTCTGATTAGAACACCAATATGCCAAAATCCTCACAATGCTATCAGGGACAGCTCTTTCACTTAATTTACAACAAAGCTTAGAGATCTTGACCCAATCAAATGCCTTAGATGCATCAATAATAAACCCCATCATCACTGAGGAGCTCTGTCTTAAATAAAAATGAGCTGCCTCCTTCGGGCCAATAGATGCACAGATCTGTTCCCAGCTTGGATGTAAAACCAAACTGGTTGTGTGTCGTTACATAGTGACAGTCGATCAAGCAATATGTTTTCCGACATTAGAAATAACACTAGCCAAGACCTGTCGGTGCTCCCAACTTTACCAAAGTTGGCACTAAGGTAACAGACATGAAACCCAGAGAAGCACAGGGCCAGGAGTACAGCAGTCCTGGAGCTTGAGAACTTCAGATGTTCTGCTTTGATACTATCTGAGCCTGTTGTTAGACAAGTGTGCTACGGCTTGTCACACCTCACAAGGAGTGATGATCACTGCATCCCTGCTAGTAATATTTCCCATCTTGTATGGCTCACTTATGACACAGTTATACAAGTCAAAGTAATGTTGTCTCCATAATGCAGCTATATGATCAGCCCCAGTACTGTATCACAGAAACCAACTTCATGATTTCTCTAATAGCAAATAAGCTTGTGAACTTTATTCGTATAAAATGTGCCCTTCACAGGTTAATATAGGAGGTTAACATACCAGCCCAGAGTAAGAATAATGTACTGCAAGTATTTATTTGTTGGCCTACTGGAATGATAATCCAGTAATCCCAAATCAAAAATCTTAACCTTAAACGAAACTGCCGCCTGGATATTGTGGCTAAACAATAAAACCACCACTGTCCTATAGGAAGATAGTTTCATTTGATTTATTTTATCTGTTGCTAATACCTTTTCATTCAGGTCATGCTGAGTAAGGTCGTTTCTGCAGTTTGAAGCTTCAGTGAATGAACAATGAAAGTATTCTTTCTATGAGGTGCAGTGGCGCCACCTGCTGTTTAACTTTGCATGATGCAAGCATCAGGGGCTGAATCTTTTCAAACCACAGCCTTGAAGCAGTAAAAGATCATCGTCTTAATAAACTATATCAAATTCAGCCATCAGTGAAACGTTGCACTGACTTTAGAATTTTTTTCTAGAAGCACAATTTTATTACCACAGGATTTAAAAAAAATTAGAACAATTTTGGGGGTCGACTCAATGATGTACAATACTGTCTTTCAGGTAATCTTGAACTACAATCAGCACTAAGTGGGTTTAGAAATACCAAAGAATGGGCAGAACAGAGATTGATTTTAAGATTAATGCAACAAATTTATTTATTTCCCCTCCCTATGTACCCGATTTATTCAGAAGTTTAGAAATTCCTAAATAATCCACTGTCAGTGCAGATCTCTGCATCAAACTCTCCTGTGGGGCGACAGTTTTAGTGCTTACTGTTTATGTTCTGACCTCAGCCGTTTTAGTCTAAAAACTCATTACAAAGCACTCCGACTGATTCACATACACTTTAGTGTGCACTGATGTCTCCTGATGCATGTTGACACCTGTATCGTCACCTGTATTGCCCAGAGTTGTCTACACAAAGAAAACCTGCTTCACCGTTTGCATTATAGCTGACTCTGGATCAGGGTTTGTGATGCAGAATGTCAGATTAAATCTGCAAGGCTGGGCGGTGACATTTCCTTTTTCATAATTATCTAGAAAATAAAAGGTTTATTCTACCGTCAGAACCTATATATTCTAATATATAATTATTTTATATAGCAACAAATCCCTGAACAATAAAATGCTCTTTACAGTATACTTAAAACTTGTGTTAAGTTTCAATATTTATCATTTTAATTTGCATAAATGTGAATTTGAACTAAATCAGTGCCGTTATGAAAGCATAATTGAAACTTTTTACTGTTTATTTTTGTATTTGGATTCAGTAACAGTAGCATAAGATTCTTCTTGTCTACATTTATTTAAAAACTGATGAACTTCAGGAATGTGCTACCTTCAATAAACAAAGTTATTCCCTCAATGCTTAGAGGAGGTGTGTGGCAAGCTAGTTTATCATTTAAAGGCTGCAAAGTCTGCTAATGCTCATAATTCAATTCGACTTTCAGACATTCCAATAGTCATTCTTCTTTTCCATAATCATCAGCCCTGTCCACTTTAAAGAGCAAGTCATCCCCTACCAGAGTCTTATTCCGCTCCCACTTTGTGTTTGAAAAATGGAACAAATGCTGTTGCCTGATAGACCGAGACGGCGGAGCCGCTAGCAAACACAGGCTCACAACGGCATTTGTGACATCATATGGTACCAGCTTACATCATAGGGTACCTCTTGGCCAATAGCGATGGCAGATTTAGGTGCAACACTGATCATTTTAGGTAGAAAATTAAAATTTTAACTAAGATGCACTGAAGTCCCAAATTATTGACTACACATGTCTACGGCACACACACACACACACACGCACGCACACACACACATTATTATTATTATTATTATTATTGTTTATTTATTTATTTTGTCAGCCAAAAAAAAGTTGATTTAGGGAGACTTGCCCTTTAAAAACTAATTTTGATGTAATTTAAACATGAAAAGGTAAATCAACTCCAACAGGTGATCACATCTGAATGATAATTTTTGCTATAAATAATTTCATTTTGAATATATCTAGAGTGTCATTTGAGCTAGAAAAAATGTACCTATGACAATATGGAAATTATTGTGCATTACTTATGACATGTTTGGATTATTGCTTTGATTTCAACATGTTTTGTTTGTTCTTGTTCATTGTGTTTTTTTTCTGTGTTTTTAAACCGTTACATGTAAAAGCAGACTAATAAAAACTGTTCACCTATCTGATTTATTTTTCCAATCAATCTATAAGAATGTGATTTTGACTGATTCGATGTGAAAGATAAACAAATTTTATTATATGCAATAACGGCTTGCCATCTAAAGAAGAGGCTGGGATTTGTCATAACACTCCTCCGCCTTCCTTCCTCTTCTAGCCACACTAGTTTTTCTGTGTGCACTTGTTCCTCTGGAGGTGTCCACACTTCTTTCTTCTTAGTGGAAAAAAAAGGCCTAATTGACTTCCTTATCTGTGCCTGGGAGTAAACAGAAAGTTGTGGTTGCTGTTGATACATCCTGCTGCTGATTTATAACATCTCCCGGTAAGAATTTTAACAGCTCCTTTTGTAAAAGAAAGTCTCAACTTTTTTTTTTCAAACGGCTGCAAATAGCTATCATACCTCAGCTAGCATACAAACATTAGCTAGCTCACAATATGTGACGTCGCTTTTATAAAACGGTGGCAAACTTTCTTTTTTTAACGTTTACTCTAGATTCAAAATTTAAAGAAAAATTTAATTAACTTTTTGGGTGTATTTCGTTCACTTTCCATTTAATTTGTTCATATTAACGCCAGTGTTGTTGCTGCTGCTGTCACTTTGAGTGAAATGACATCAAGTTTAGCTAAATATGCTAAACAACCGTTGGGCGTATTAAAAAAAATCACAAAAGGTCTAAATATCAAAACTCTGCACATTTAAGGCTGGTTATCATTTGTTTGTAGATGTCCACCTAGTGAACTAGACCAAATTCTTGCTTTGCAAATTTTAATTATATATATATATATATATATATATATATATAATATTTGTAATAATAATATTTATTTATTATTTATAAATAATAATAAATGATATATTTATTTATTATGGCTTGCCAGGCTATCATTCCACATATTCAGAATTGCTTTATTCTCACCTTGATTCCAGATTTTACACTAATTTTACTAATCTAATTTTACATTTTACTAATTCTTGAGCCTTCATATTCAGATATATTTATGAAAGCAAGTCATTATGAAGTTGCTTTTTTACTAGCCATAATGTGAATTCAAGTTCATTCAGGTTTTCCTGTCAACTCACAGTGACAAAGCAGGAGCATGGAGGTTTTAATAAAAGTAGATATGCATTAGTCCAAACTGATTGTTGAAGGAATTTGAAATATATATTTGTATGCATATTAGGCCATAATTAAAAATTTAATACACATAACGCTTAAGTATTTTTAACAATAATTAACGTCCTTTGCCTGTTTTATATTGTTGAAGGTCATGAGAGGTGGGTCCCTATTAAAAATTATGAATAAGGAGTAATTTTGCCATAAAAGCTCTTCAAATTCTTGTTTTTCAAACAGTTGAGCTGCCTTTAAAATACATTTACTATAAATGTTGTTGTTTCTGTGTTTGCCCTGTGTATTGTAACAGGAATCAAAACTTCAGGCTGACCAGTCAGCAGGGTATCCGCGGGTCCTTAAAAAGTCTTAAAAAGTCTTAAATTAGCTTTTCCAAATTTAAGGCCTTAAAAATCCTTAAAAATGACAAATAATCCTTAAATACAGTTTCCAAAGGTCTTAAATTACCAAAGACCCAATAAACAAGATCCTTTTGTTTTCCTGAATTTCTAGTTAGTCTTCAGCATTTTTTGTGTATAATGGTTTGCATAAGCGGAACCATACACATTCAGTTGGTTGTGAAAGGGGGCTATTTTTAGATGAGCACATTAGCTGGTTAAGCTAGTGGGAGCTTGCGCCATGGGGAAGGGCAAGTTCCCACTAGTTTAATGGTAACTGGATGGCTAATCCTACGTTCGCCACGTGGTTAGCACCGGTTCCAGGCAATAGCTGGAAATTATAGCTTAAATTTAATTTTAAAAGTAGCTTAAATTTGGTCTAAGTGGCCTTAAAAAGGTCTTAAAAAGTCTTAAATTTGGCTCCCTTAAACCTGCAGATACCCTGAGTCAGGAAGTAGCGTGGGTTACCTGGGGCTGCAGGCATGCACACACGGGGAACATTTACTTGGTAATAGAAGGGTTTACCTGCACACACTGACAGATGCACAGAGGCATGCACTCAACACCAAAGATAGAACTGTCAGTCCATTTTGGTTAATAAGTAAACTTAGTCTCAAGGCTGTTTGAGGTGAGACTTTGATGGTCCTCCTCTCCTCCAATCTCTGACTGCTGGACTCAAATGGGCTAGAGGTCCATTTTTGCCCTAGTTTTTGTTCCCATTCACTGACATTTTTAATTTAAACATACACAACATCAGGGATATGTACCATCTTTCTGTAAAGACACTTCAGCCTTTCATGTTTTTGTTTGAGACACATCACATGATGACGTGAGACGTCCGAGTTTGGGACAAACAACAGCAACATGGATCACTGGTTTATTTTCCTCGTGCCAGTCAGCTACGAAGACCCACTTAAGGAAACAGGTGTCTTAAATCTGTCAGAACATCGATAAGTATTATTATTAATGATGACTGTATTAATGACAGTCTGGGTGTTGCAGTGGTTTGAATCAGGGAAACTACTTTGCACACATTTTTTAAACCATTTCCTTCCATCTGACAGGATACTTCACAGACTCGCTGGTCTTGTTTTTGGCTTCAAGGGTATGACCTGTATTTAATGCTGCTGTGCTCTTTCTCCGCCCATGTGGGTGAATCGTTTGAGGTGTGTCTGTCAGTGACAAGAGCCTATAGGACACAAACACAACGTGGATTATAACGTATCATAAAAGTTATGATACGTTACATGATGCAAAATGTGGACAAGGTGCTCCATTAGATCTAATATTTTGCTCCTTTCACCTTCGTTTACAGTTCAGGAATTTTCTAGAGCAACACGAAACTGGCAGCTGAAAAATGACCCTTTTTTGTTTAGATCTTGATCTCCACTTGCTTTTATTTTAGTTTAACAAAAGTTACTGCCAGGTACTTGGATGGTTTGCAAAATATGTTTTGTTTTGATACAGGATAAAGGCAGACATTTATCTTTTTAAGGTGTAATTGACAGGAGAGTGTGTGTGTGTGTGTGTGTGTGTGTGCGTGCACGTGTGGGTGTGTGCGCGAGCGTGCATGCGTGCGTGGATCTTTTCAAACAGTCTTGTGTGTTTTAGGTGTGTCTGACTTGAAACAGCAGCTGATTTTCTGGTGAAACCATATGGGCACATTAATAGAACATAAACGTTTAACAAGAGTCGTAGCATCTCATCTTTTTCGATGTAAACATTTTTGTTTGCGTTGTTCGGGGGAACTCCGCCCAAGCTGTGACGAGGAGATTCCACCATGTGTTCATCCATACCAGGACAGGGCATTCGTGCACATCAGTGGATCACTCTCATCTGCCCTTTTTCCATCAGCGTGTGCACACAAATAAACGCTGATCATAAAAACAAACTCCCATTGGTGATCCAGGAACATTTGTCATGTCTTTTCCTTTGTTTTGACCTTGTGTTTTCATGTACTGGAATAACAAGTTTGACCTTTTTGTGTCATCAGGAAATTGTTGCATACATAAGTTGGAAAAAACACCCTCAAAAGGTTAACCTGCCCATGAGGAGGGTGAGTCATTTTGTTTAACTTAAGCAAAATTGTTTCTAGAAGCAAATTAGGAACAGAAATGGAAAAAGATGGATTTTAAATTCAATGTTTTTACAACTTAAGAACAGAAAAGGCATGAATTAAGAGATTTATTTAAGGTAGAACAATAAATACCGATCTGCTTGTTGTTAGTCTGCTGTACTCGTATAGCTGCTTTTTCTACTGCTACCTGTTTCCACAGGTGTTCTCTGTCCTTAGTTGTATTTTTCCCCATTCAGCTGCTGCGACTTGAGCTGTGGTGTCACAGTTTGTCAAACCAGTTTCCTCTATATGGGACCAGTTTCTTCTGGCAGCAGCTTGTTTTGGTTCATTCTCTCTTTACACTCTGTTTTCCGTATTAGAGAAGGTAAATCTGTTAGAAACCTGTGTTCAGGCTTACTTTAAACACCATCAGTAACAGCAATGCTAATCTAGTTGAATTATGATTTAAATATGACACGAACGCTTAAATACATCAATGCATTTTGGTATCAGAAAGTACTCTTAATAGTTTCAGTCATCAAAGCTGTTAGGTTTGTTGTGTTAATGATATGGACCTCATGTTTGTGTTATTTACAGTTTGTGTGTTTTGTTTCGCAGCACCGGGAAGATTGTTTGTCCCCCAGCCTTCCATGGCCTGCAAACCAGTGTCACTAGGCCAGGTATGACTGTCACCCCCCAAAAATCCAACAATCAACCTGCGTCCTCTTCACACGGAGTCACAACTTTCAGGTTGGTGATCCTTCAACTTATCCTGGTAAAAATAAACCAAAACATGGCGGTGATTTATTTTCCCCGTCACATAAAATGTAGAATTTCCTACTCTGGGTTTGTTTAGGGGCAGATGAATCTGATTCTGAGCCGTTTTAGTTCCTTTTTAGTCATCAGGGTTTTATTTTACTTGATACTGGATAAGATGCAACCCCTTCTGTTAAACAGTCACACTGAATACCTTTTTGTTTGCATGTTTTTGTGCTGACATCACATTTGGTTTACTGGTTGAGCCTTATCTCATCACATACCAACTAGACCTAGCGCTGCACAGATGGATGAGCCTGAAGGTGTGTGGTCAAAGCCGTCCTCAGAAGACTCGGAGGCAACTAAGCCCATCAATCTAGGAGGTCAGTTAGCAGCTGAAATGTTTCCTCTTTAGTAACATTTCCTGAGGAATGTTTAATTAAAACACCACAAAATTATTATTTTGATGATATTTTTGTCTACATAAAGCAGGTAGTCTAAACCTAAAACCCCAAGAACACATTTTCCAGAGACGTTTTTGTTTTTCAAAAACAAGAATGAAATCACTGAAACACTCTCATGTGACTATGGAGCACAAGCGATGTCTGGTTTTTTCCAGTCACATTGTGAAATTCTTACGTGCCATTCAGATTCCCATTACGCTGAGCTGGAAGATGATTTGAAGTCGGACGCCCAGAATCTGGAGAAGGAGTCCTGGAGCTCGGCTGTGGGCCCAAACTACATAAAATCCCTGAACAAAGAGGCCGTCAAAAGGCAGGATGTCATTTACGGTATGCTGAAACTGAAACTGAGCCTGTGCCTGACTTTGTTACCCGAGGTGTGTCTCACTCTAAGCTTCTCAAAACCGGCACATCAGCTTTTTAATAGACATGTATAATTTTAGTCGAACTGTTTGCTCATGTCAATCACTTTCTTCAGCTGAGTCAAAATAATCACCTTTACAGCAATTAAAAGGATTTTTTATCAATTTCCCAGAGCTGATCCTGACAGAGATGCACCACGTACGCACCTTAAAGATCCTTCTCAATGTCTACATGCATGAGCTGAAGAAGTCTCTGCTGGTAGACGAGGCTTGGATGGAGCAGCTCTTCCCAGGAGTGAAAGTCCTGCTCAGCCTCCACCAGCACTTCCTCAACAACCTGAAAGTGCGCCAGACCCAATGTCAGGTGGAAGGAAACTCAAAAATCTTCCACATCACACAGCTGGGGGACATCCTTATCAATCAGGTAGGAGAGGACAAATCAATCCCAGTAGCAGTGTTATTTCCACTGAAATCTAACCATTTGCTTCTGATGTATTTGGAGCGTACTCGCGTTCAACGTAACTTGTTTTCTTTTTTACTGATGTCAGTTTTCAGGCACGTTGGGAGAACAGATGATCGGGGGTTACAGCTATTTTTGCAGCCATCAAAGTGAAGCAATCGGCTTCTACAAAGAGCAGATACAGAACAACAAGAAGCTGCAGAATCTTATTAAAGTAAGAACATTTACGCTAATTGATCTTTTATTTATTATGTAGTCTGCAGAAAACACCTGGTGTACTAAAATTAGTAAAATGAATGTCTGGAACTGCTGAAACGTCTGTAAGGATTAAATTTACATATTATTTAATGAACCATAAAATATGAGATTCCATATGAAATATGAAATCAATCTTATGGATCTTTGGATAACTTAAACCAGAAGATTGGAACTTTTTATTGCAGGGATTATGTAACCACTTCGTATTAACTCAGAGATAACAGAGAGTCAAGTTTTAAAAATTTAAAGATTTATTACTAAACAAATTAAAACTAGACTAACTTTAAACACTAAATGTATGGTGTAACTAAGGTGAAGTGAGACGGAGAATGGTGTAGTGTGGAATGTTGTTCAGAACCAGCAAATCTGAAGAAACGATTAGTTCTGTTGGGAGTGAAGATGATGATTTCGCGCTAAGCTTTGGTTTGGAGACTTACAACACTCATTGAGACGCCATTCTACCGGCCTACGTACCCTTTCAGTAGTCCCCGTTAGATCAGGAATGTCGAGGTCCAGCTTGACCTTCTCTGGAACTGAAGCCGGTAGGAAAAGCAGCAGTTGCCGACTCAAACCAGTCTTGAGATACTTCCGGGTCACGACGGTTTATTAGCATCTAACAAGACCCAAAACGGGGTCGTGATGGTTCAGCTTTTATTCTGAAAAGAACCGTTGCAGCAGGTGGAACAGCTCAGATTTTATCCAGCTTGTCGTTGGTTCTTTCGGCTGAAGAGGAAAGTTACGGATTGGCCACTCCGACAACTTCTCTAGAAAGCTTTGAACTGGAGTTAAAGATGACGTGGGCATAGTTTTATAATTTGGATGTTTTGATTTACGGTCAAATCAAAAGAGGACAGATTTACCAAGCACCACCAAAACCACGCCTCCGTCAGATCTGGAAGATTCTGACTGGATCAGTAAAAGCAATGTGTGATGTGGCTTAACCTTACGTGTAATAAGTCTCTAGTGGAAACATTTAAAGTTATATTAATTATTATATTCTATAGGATTATATCAAGTAATTAATATTTTCATTTCACAAATTGGTTAATTTTATTATTGACTAACACTTTGTTTGATTAGCTTATTAAAATAGAGATCTTTGATTTATTAAAGGGACTTTACGGAGTTTTGAATTTTTATGCTCGTGATTGCCCCCTCAGGCCAAAAGCGTAATGGCAGCTTCAATAGTAGGCTCGTGCACGAGGCGCGCATGCTGTACGTGCACACTCCTTAACGAAAATAACGGATGAGACAGTCAGCTCCGTGTGTGTGGGGCCCGGAGGACAGAGGACAGGAGAACGCACAGCTAATTAATTAAATAATTTGGTTCTGTACGTTTATCTTCAGCACAGCCGACAAAGGTTTAAGATGGGTCAGTCTGTCAGCTTCACAGATCATTCCCTTCCCTTGCTTGAAAAATTGTTCCAAAATGAAAGTTGAACCCACATCTTTTTTATCTGTGAATTCAATGCCGTTCGGCGAGTCTCAAATAAAAATTTGGGCATCTTACTGTAAAAAAATACCATTAATGTAAAAAATAATCACTAAATAAATTTTGCTCACATCTAGATTCAAACCCGGATCTTCCGCATGGAAGTCCATCGTCTTACTAAGTGAGCTAAAGCACCCGTAACATCTTCTGTATCTGTAGCTTTTATATCCTTGATGACAGCTGAAATAACGTTCAAAGAACGGTTCGGAGCGAAAATGGCTATTTTGTTGCTAATTTGCAGGACATATTTAGAAGAAAGTAGCTAAGGGTCCTCAGAAATGTAGCTAGGTTCATCACTAGGCGTTAGGAACAGCAACAAAGTCGCTGAGTTGGCACTACCTCACTCTCTGCTGCTAAACCTACGGATAGCAAATGCTACGGGCTATGCCTGAGCGTGAACGCGCATGAAGCAGCCTGCTCGACCCGAGCAGCTTTCTTTTTCTGTGATTTTACAGAAAAGCCGAGATAAACAGGCAATCACAGTAAAAATGCCAGGGCTCATTCTACAGGACCAGGGCATTGCAGGAGAATGTATGAAGAAGAAATTTATTATTTCTATACATGTTTTGGCTGTCAAACTTCCATAATGCCCCTTTAAAAAGAAAGAGTCCTTTGTCTTCATTCTTCTCTTGGGCTGGAAAGGAAACAGTTTAGAAGCAGAGCATGAGACCTTGAGAAATATCTCATGCAGATTAGTTCTTGCTGAGGGGGGGGGGGGGGGTGACTTTTAGGTGGAAAACAGTTATTTCATTCTGTTACACAAACAACATTGACATATTAGCTTACTTTGTATCAGGTTGATAGAAGTGGGACTTTCTTTTTTTTCCCAGGACATTGATCAGGTCTCTCTGGTGCGACGATTAGGAATCCCTGAATGTTTCCTGTTGGTGACTCAGCGCATCACCAAGTATCCTGTTTTGGTGGAGCGGATAATCGAGAACACTGATGGTAGAATCTCCTTTTTTTTACACGTTAAACAAACCTAACAAAAAGATTGCTTGGTAATTTGTTTCTCTGTGCCCTCACAGCTGACACTGAGGATTATAGGTATTTGATGAAAGGTTTGGAGCTGATCAAGGACACCATCTCCCAGGTTAACTCCCAGGTCTGTGAATACGACAAGGGCGCTCGACTGAGAGAGATCTACCTTCGTCTGGACCCAAAGAGTCATGTCCGGCTAAAGGATGGCCGGCTGTTCCGCAAAGAGGATCTGATCCAAGGCAGCAGGACGCTGCTGTGTGAAAAAAACGTCACCTGGAAGACCTCCAGTAGACAGAAAGGTTTGGGTTGTGTTTATTGATCTAGTGATGCTGCTGATGTTGTGCTGCAGTTTCAATGTATTCTGAAAGTCAGCAATCTGAGATCTTTTCATTACCTTTCGTGCGTTTCCGGCGTTTTCATGCTCCCCCTGCAGAGGTCTTGGCTGTGCTGCTGTCAGATAAGCTCATCCTCCTACAAGAGAAAGATCAGAAGTTTGTTTTTGCCTCCATGGTGAGTCCCGTTTATAAATCTTCATCTTACATCTTTACACACGAGACTTAATGATAATTAATCTGTTCTCTTTGCTGTAATGTTGGCTTGTGTAGGATGGCAAACAACCAGTTATTGACATTCAAAGAGTGATCGTTAGAGAAGTGGCTAATGAGGATAAAGGCCTCTACGTCATCTGTGCGTGCGCCTCCGCCATGGCGGAAATGTATGAGATCCACGCAAACTCCAAAGAGGAACGCAACACACTGATGACCTTCATACGAGAATCTGTGGAAAGGTGTGGACTTTTACAGAGAAATTCGTGCTAAAAATTCATGCAGCACTTGTTATATATTAGCCTGAATGAGAAGCTATTGTTTAATTTACTTTAGAATATTAGATGACCAAAAGGACTGAGAAATGTTTGTGTTTCAGTTGTCAAGAACAGGAGCTGTACTCCAAACTGATTACAAAGTTGCAGCATTATCAAAGTAAGAATGCTGAAATTATTACAAAACTAACAAATCCTATACCCAGATTAACAAACGGTACATCCTGGCACAGATAAAAATAATCTTAAAGGTTCCACATGATGCCACTTTAAACCTTTGAGAGCAGGCGTAAGCACAGAATATGATAAAATATTACCGTTGGCTCTGTTAAGATGTCATTTATCTTAAATACGAATTATTTTTGTCAGCCTGAATTTATACCTGGAAATAAAACACTTTGTTTTAGTGAAACTCCGCCCACGCTGACAAAATGTGCTTACAACAGCGTCTTAGGCGAGTCAGTTGCTGTATTGTCTATGGTCGTCCAGTGGTTAAGGCATCCAGCCTGGCACTCTTACCAAGTCTGCTAAATGACAGCGGTGGCCTAAGCCACAGACCCTGTGCTGGCCAGGGGAGTCAGGTTTCAGACCAGAGACTAGCTTCCTGTAGAGGAGCAGGGCCTGATGACGAGATTAGAAAAATTCTAAATTTGCAGCTGAAACAGGAAAATGCATAAATGCAGCCAAAATGGGTTTGTGTTTTTCATGAGGAAATAATATCACATGGTAAAAAAAAAAGTGATTTTTTTCATGATATGACCCATTTAAAATGTTATTGAAAGAGAAAAGGGTTAGGGTGTGATGTGGAACATTATTTTTTATATGATTTTGTATTGAAACAGATCCACTTTTCTGCAGATTTGCTGCAGGAGCGGGATGAACTGATAAGACAAAGTCTGACTCAGAAGCAGGAGGTTTTTGCTGCCTTGTATGAAGAAGTGATGGGGCAAACACCCCCCCACAAAGGGCTGCTGCTGCGAGGAGATGCTGCTGACCTCCAGCAGGGGGAGACGCTGCTCAATGAGGCCATTGAAGAAGGTAGCTTGCTCTGAGTTCTGAAAAATGCTTTGATTCTAACAGCAGATACAGAAAAATGACTAAAGTTACAATTATATTTTTAAAGTGGAAATCCTGCAGAACATGCTCTATATAAGGATTCCTTCAGAGGAGAGTGAGATGCAGGGAGCACTGGTCAGGAGGGCGCAGACGTTTCAAGTGGCTTCCAACAGAAAATGTAAGACTTTCCTCTTATTTTTTTTATTGAAGATCTAGACACATTTAAAATGCGGGGAACAGGAAGTCTTAATGGAACTGGTCTGTGACATCATCTGCTGATGTAAAAGCCGTCAGTTGAAAACTGCTCTCCAATAACCTTGTTTAAAACAAAAATTTCAAGCATCAACATTTTAAAAATGATGTTTCATTGATCTCTTCATTACTCAGCCTTCATTGATTTACAGGTAAAGCTAAAAAATTAGGATATGTTGAAAAGATCTATTTATATACCATTATTATATGTTTAAATGTTTTTTATTTATTTGTTTTATTTTCTTTTTTTTCTATGTTTTTGCCTAATTTTTCCTGTGACAGTGTACATCAACTTGGGCCACTGTAAAGGTAGTGGAAGGTGCTATAGAAATGAAATGATGGTTATGATGATATTCAGTAATTCAACCTAGTCATCAGCAGTGATGGGGATAACGTTGTTTAAAATAGGGTGTTACTAAAAAAGAATTTTTTCAGTAATGAGTAATCGAATTAATTACCGTCTTCTTTTATCATAACGCCGTTATGGACCTGGTCAGTTTGTCTCTCAATGTGATTGACAAGATTTTTTCAACGATGAAAACGGGAGAAGGGGCTCCCAGTTGCCCCTCTGGGACAGAGCCAGTCGGGCATTTCATGGACTCCTGGAAACAGTGGAACCTGATCTGCCCATCTCAACTGTCTGTAGAAGATTCTGAAGACGCCTGGATATTCGTGGTGTTGGTGTTTGGTTTCCTGCTTTTTGGCCTGAGTGGTTACCGGAAAATTAAGGAGCTGTCGAGGAATATTGGCGCTCTCCCCGAGCTCAGGGATGGATTACACCACGCTGTGAATGCACAGACTCATATAATTGTCGAGATGAGTTGTAAGCTTGGAACTTTGGCTGAGATTCATGCATTGGCAGAAAAGATAGATGCAATCAAGGAGCGAGTTGATGGGTCAGCGTGGATTGGGATAGATTAATTATGCCATTAATGGATTAAGAGGGGTTGAGGACCAACGTAACTTTAAGACAGAGTGGAAATTTTCTCTGTCTAGCCCCAAAACAAGTTTTTATCTGAATCTGGTGCCCTTGAGCCTGTCAGGCTGAAGCGATTACTCCCCCTCAGAAGAAATGTGGAATGCTGCCGTCGCCATGGCAACTCTGTCTCCCTATCCCTGCCTGGGCAGGACTGCAACCGAAGGCCGTTGAATCGTTCCAGGAGTCACTGTGCTCTCTAAAACCCAACGACCTCCTCCCCCTCTCCAAACGGAGGTGACGAGCGCTGCTTATCGTGGCTGCATGCACTGATGTGTGGAGAGTCCCCAACCCACCGCCCCACCTAGTGGACACTTATGTTGTATAATGTCTGAAGTCTGTTGCATTTCTGTCTGAGGTGTTTTTTGCATAGCAAAGCTGCCCTCCCTGTGGAGGGTAACTCTGAAGTGCCTTTTGTTCCTCCACCTGACTCTATTGTCATATATAAACCCTCTGATCTCTATTAAGGTAGCGCGACTCGGGTTGCGAATGACCATAGTCACCAATTCTTGTCATGTGTCTTTATGTATGTATGTCTGATCTCAGAATTGTGTGTATTGAACCTCTAATTTCCCTCTGGGATTAATAAAGTATCATTGAATTGAATTGAATTGAAGCTGTAGTATATTAGTACATGTAACTTATTTGCATTGATTTTTCTGATATTTCTGTGAAGTTATAGAATTAAATTGGATGAAAATCTTGCATACAACCCTGTCAAAGTGCTGCATGTATATCAAGCTGCAATATATGAATACTTTCTACTAAAAATAACCATATAAAGGGATTGTGATTGAGTTTATTTAAATGTGACTCTTTTCCAGATGGAGATGCAGGGGAAACGCCTGATAGAAGTGTGGGCATGTCTCAGAAGAGCAGTCATATCAAGTCTGAGCTTTTAAAGAAAGCATCCTTCTCTGAGGTTCCAGAACTGTTTCTGAGTGATTCTGGATCTTTATCTCTTTATTAAAATTATCCTATTTATTTTGTGCTATTTTTTTTAAACAGACTGATGACAAACCAAACACTTATTCATTGTTACATGGAAGTTCAAACTCCAGTCATTTCCCTGAGAAAGAGGTAACCCCAATCTATCCTGCTTTCCCCCCATCTGTATTCATTTATGCATCAAATATTTTATTTTATTTTAAATTTCACTGCGTAGGTGTGCGATCGGGTGTTGAGGCTTGCAGAGCGGCTCAACAGCTTAAAGGTAAGACCCTCTTTCATCTGTATTCTCTCGGCAGATATTTAATATTCCCTAATCCCGTTTCATCCAGATAAGTCACATGTTTATTTTTCTCTTTTTGATTCCAATGTTTGATGGCGTAGGCAGTCATCGCCCAGCAGGACAGCAGGAATGAGCTGCAGAAAGCCTTCCAGTCCAGGAGCAAATATCCTGCTCGCCACTACAGTGACGTGCTGCTGGAGCAGGAGAAGCGGCGCAAACTGGAGAAGCAGAAGGAGGAGCTGGTCATGCTGCAGAAGCAGCAGGTTCAGCATCAAGAGGAGCAGCAGCGCTGGGAGAAGGAGAGGGAGAAACAGAGGATCCAGATGGCGGTTCTGGAGGATGAGCTGAAGCAGAGAGAGCACGAGTGCAGGAAGAGGGAGGAGAAGGTGAAAGAGGAGACGGTTGAGCTGGAGAAGCAGTTGGAGGACTACCAGCAGGACCTGAAGAGACTGAGGGAGACTATAAAGATGGTGGACAGAGAGAGGGAGCATCTTCTACTGGAAAAGGAACGTTTGGAGAAGCTGAAGTTGAAGTTCTCCATTGATGATGATCCTACACTAGTGAGAAATGGGAAAAGAATTATTATAAGGACTCCTGGAGTGGCAGTAACTAGTTCATTTTGTTCTTTTCTTTCCAGTCCGCGTACCAGTCATTCAGGGGGAGTGTCATAAATGGGGGAGGGACTCTGCTGACTGTTTCAAAGCAGAGAACTTTGCCTGTCAAGCACTCAAATCCAAAGGACATTCCTCCAAAGGTTCCACCTCGGAGGGAGAGCATCAGCCCACGACCGATCAAACAGAAGCTTCCTGAACACCTGATCAGCAACACCAACCAGGTGCAGAAGTCTGCAGTGCAGCAGATGATCCCTCCCAATCTGGCTTCATCTTCTAGGAGAAAGCAGAGTCTCTCAAAGGGGAGGCACAAAAGAGCCTACAGCGCAGGTCAGGAATTGGGTCACCTGGGGGATGTTAAGATCCTGTTTTTAACGAAAAAAGTGCAAAGTCACCAACTTTTAGCTCTGGAAGACTTTGTTTCTACACTAGTGCAAATTTGCTCTCTAAATAAAAGCAAATCAGTCGTTTCAGTCACACTCAACAGCCTTAATCATGCTATGAATCCTTCCTTTACCAGCCAACATAGACGTGAGCCAGGTCTTGCCGATCCGAGTGACGGGGAAGGAAGGAGGCAGCCTCAAATCCGTGAGCAGCAATACTTCTCAAAGGGCTCTAAACTCAGGTACGCTCTTCTAACTCTAAAATATCTGGATCCTCATCAAGAGCTTTGACTTTATTAGGGCTGGGTACAGAAACTCTACCTCTTTAGGATCAACCGAACACATTCAGTAGATACTGATACCCTCCAAAAAATAAAAAATTTAGAAGCTACAATTTGGTACTTTCCCAATAAAATGTTCTCATTTATGAACGGCTCAGCTCTGTTTCTTTTACTGCTACGTGTTACGTGACCAGGGTATCGCTCACACACTGCCCCGCCTCTCCTTCACAACACTTCTCTGAAGACATCAAATGGTTTGGCAGCAGTGTTGGGAGTAATGCGGTACAAAAGTAATTAATTACTGTAATGCATTGCTTTTTGCTGTAATGTGGTAATGTAAGGCATTACAGGGAAAGAAAATGGTAATATTTACTCGGTACAATTGTCAGTAACGCGGTTATTACAATGCATTTTTAAACCCAGAATCAAGATGTGTTCCTTAAAAATTCAAATTGCGGGAAACCCGAAGAAAGATCCAGTATCTGCATATATGACGTCATTTATGGACTCAGCTTTGCGGGCAGAGAGGACGCAGCGGTAACGGCTCAAATACTCCTGCTGCTCCTGCACGCGGCCGCTGTAACATTCACAAAATCGCTCCACTAAAACAAAATAATTCACTTGCGATCGTTCATATCGGCGCATATTCTCTGGTATTTTGTGCTTTTCTGACGTATTTTGTCTCAGCTGAGTTCATAATCTGTGCCCCGGTGATTTCAACTCATTACTGCTGGAGCGCCGCGCATGTGAAGATCCCTTTGGCTGATAGAAAGTAGGAAGTCTAGGAAACAGTTTTTTCTGGAAGACGGAGAAAACATGCAGCGTGCAGGAAGGTAAGAGAGAAAAAGGGCCGGAAATTATTCTAATAAAATCAAGAAAACAAAACAGAGTGCTTCAAAAGAAAAAAGTAGGTAGATTTATCCCCAATACTCATTTTTACCAGTGAAAAGCAATAATATATAAGCATTTAATATTTATACATGTGATTGAATCAGATCACCCCAGAAGTCAGTCCCACATCCAGGGCCGTATCAAGGCATTTAGGGACCAAGGCAAATATAGGCTTGGAGCCCCCATCACCTCACTCCCTGCTCAGATGGCCCTATAAGATGGCAGCGTGTTGAGAGTACAGATTGTTGTTGCTTTTATTTAATAAACAATCATTTTAAAGCACTGTTATTATATCTGACTGTTTTTCACAGCAACCCTAGCTCAGACACCACATCACCTTCCACGTATATGTCATGAGCTCACTGAGCGTCACATTACCAGATTCATATTGAAGTTGTATTGGTAAAAGTAACTTAAAGTAATGCAAAAGTAGTGTAATGCCTTACATTTTTAAATCAGTAATATTGTAATGTAATGAATTACTTTAAAATGAGGGTAACAAGTAATAAATAATGCATTACAGTTTTGAAGTAACTTGCCCAACACTGTTTGGCAGCATTTTGTGAAGATAAACTGTAACAGAGCTAAATGTAACATTTGTAATATCATCATATTATAAATATGGAAATGCCATCAATTTAATTAATGGCCTCGTTGTTCATGCTGAAGCAGGACTGCTAATAGTAACGCAGACCCGAGTCTACAACCTTCCTCCTCCTCTGCAGCCACACTGGAGGAGTCATACTCACTTTTCTGAAGAAAAGCTTCTAGGATTCATGTTTATCATTGTTTTTTATTCAGATTCTTCCCATTTATACTTGATGTTGATTTTTTTTGTTTGCTACACACCAAAATATACCACAATTTCATATTTTTATACAAATATTTAAACTTTGGGTAATGAAAGATGTTTGTTAAATTATAGTTTGCTGAAAGTTTGCTGTACTTTTGCCTAGTTTAGGAATGCTTGATATTGGCCTTTTTACCAATATTGTCTGACTCTTAATTTCTGATACTGATGTGTGCTGTGTCCCCCTCTCATAAAACACTAAAACATTTTAGGTTAGGTTAGGTTTAGATATCTTCGGTCATGTATGCTTATTTTAAACATTTTCAGTGCAAAATGACTATCTTCAATTTAAGTTAGAAACAGGAAAAGTGTCATGTTTATTTAGTCTCCAACAGCAGTTGAATCTCGTTCTCCCTAAGCCCGACACTACGATGTATTAGTAATGCATTTTTTCTTATCATATATATTGCAGCTATGGGGATAAAACATTTATAAAGATCTTCAGATAAGAAAAGCAAGCCTTGGGTAAAGATTCTTGATTTTGCCTTAGTCGTTTGTTAGCTGGCTAGCTACACAAAGTTATGTGCCGTGAGGACTGCGTACGTTTACAACACAGGACAAATTTTTACTTCACAATTTGTGCCAAATAAACTAAAATATCTCAGAAATAAACCTTCAGATCTGTCATATTTCGAGTGAGTGAGTGAGTGAGTGAGTGAGTGAGTGAGTGAGTGAGTGAGTGAGTGAGTGAGTGAGTGAGTGAGTGAGTGAGTGAGTGAGTGAGTGAGTGAGAGAGAGAGATTTTTTACCATTAATTTCTGAGAGAGAGATATTTTTTTACCATTAATTTCTGGAAATATCCATCAAAATGTTGTTGAAAATTAATGAAATGATGCCCAGTTGTTGAATAGTATTGGCAGTTTCGTAACATATAACCATAAAAATCAGGTCTAAAATACACTCCCCAGGGCTTTTTGACCCTAATGGGCATCCATTGGTAAGGTCTTACTCCAACACAAAAATACTGCTTGTTTGCAACAATTTAGGTATCTACTGCCCCCTATCGCCAGGGAAAATACACACTGTCACTTTAATATGTGTATGATATGTAAAAGTTGTCATTAAAAAACTGATTGCTATTTTTTCTGATAATAAATTTTAAAGCTCATATCGGCTGATATTAGTGGTAGACAGATAATATTGGACATCCCTATCAATAACCCAAAAACTGTAGAAGAGTATTTTCCCTCTTTAAATCGAACTTGGGGTAAGGGTCAGAGCGTGAGAATTTAAGCAAAGACAGGTCAGAAAAAGATTGATGCAACATTTAACTTTAACTGAGTGTAAAATCAAATATTGAGGGATTAAAACACAAACCTGGAGAGAAGTTACACAGCTAATATAAGACTATTATAAAAAACAAAATTATTCAGTGAGCAGCAACTAAAACAAAAGCACTTTTCCTACATCAGCAAAAAGTAAAAACAACGGTTTAACCTAACTTTCTCCACACGGGTGGGTGTTTTACATGTTTGTTATGTTTTCTCTCCCCCCACAGACACATTCAGACCACCAGGCCCTGCTCAAAATGTCAAACCGTCTCAGTCTTTCAGCACAAACAAGCAGGACAGCAGCGAGTCTTCTCCACCTCCACCACCTCCCTTCCCTAAAGAGGTCCTTATGAACGGAAAAGAGCAGGAAATCATGGTGTGATGTTCAAATAAAGGCTGGAGTTTGGGATGCATCCATAATGGAAACTTCCAAAAATACAGAACTGAGCTGACAACACATACACTTTTCACGTTAAAATTTCAGACAGTTCAAAATTTTAAGGATTCTATGGTCGGCAAAACTTACGAAAGTTTTTATTTTGTTATTTTTTTATTTTAAAACATTGTTTTCTGTAATCATTTAGCACTCATGTTTTAAGCCTCCTTTATAATTTAAGTCGCGATAAGTGTACAGTTTAAGTTTACGTTTTTGTAAATAGAAAGATCCAAATGATGTTTAGGTTTCTGCTGCGGGGCTGATCCTCAGTGTGTAAAAAAAAAAACGGGGATTGTTGAAGAATTAATTCTCAGTGAAATCAAACCGTGTGTGTAAATTTCTGCTTTGTTCAATAAAAAAAAGTTTTTTTGTGGAAACGTATTAAAACCCTCGTTTGTGTAAAATATCAAACAAATCCTAAAAGGTGATTTAATTTTTTACTTTTTGTTTTGTTTTGTTTGTTGGTTTAATGTGGTGCAAACACTTTAAAAATAGTCTGAAAATGATTCATATCCGAAAGGGATTTAATGTATTTTACAACTCTGGTCACACTGTAATGTGCTCTTATATATATCTGTCAGTTTTATAACCATCGGCTTTAGTTGGATTGGCACAGAACTGGTCAAACATTTACAGAATGTTCCTTTTTATTTTTTGTGTGGCATCTTAATATACCGGGGTTGCTGGTGTCAGTTTTATTTAACGTACAACAGGAAGAAAAGTGTTATTTTTAGTAGAAAGTTGTACTGTATTTATGTTAGTAGCGTTTTAGTTTTCAGCATGCCTGGGAGCCAAATTTACCAACACAAGCGCTTGTTTATTTCCTTTTCCCATCTGCAGCTGGTTTGATTTGTTTTCCTGGAACTTTTGACCTCTATCTCTAAGTTTTTATTCTATGAATGCATACACGATCACCAAACATGGTTTGTTACATAAGAAGCGGCTGATGAAAAATCAATAGTTGCTTATAAACTGTTTTTAATCCAAGGAAAAGCAGTTTTGTAAATAGTTGATATGAACAAAGCATCATTACCTTCTTCCATTTACAATTGTATAAAACAATTTGGGCATCCCAACTGCTTTTTCTGAGTTTGATTTGTTTTTATTTATCAAGTTAAAGCAACTTTTGTTATAAACAAAATCCCCCTTTTGTCATATTGGTTAATGTTATTATATGAGGGAGATTTTAATACCCAAAGACTAATTTATTCCCTTAAGTATGGAAATGTAGAGCGGCAGCTCTACCCACGCAAGAGCGATTTCCCATTATAACATAACTTTATTGTTCCAACAATATAAGTCTTACATTTGTACAAAAATATCATGTTCTTACAATAAAATGTAGACGTTCATACAATATATTTATGTTTGTACAATATAATCTAATGTATAAATATGTTGTACAAACATGAAAATTATCTTGTAAGAACATAATATATAATGACGTTAAGATGTTATTTTGTGCTCTCTAATTTTGTTTGTATGGGTGGCACCTCTACGCTTCCGTACCTGTGTGCATAAATAGATTTATTAAAAATCCACTTATTTCCTTTGTTTCGTATCTTGCTCTGGAAATGTTCAACTTTACGCGTTAGGCACTAGTGAACTGTAAGATAAGAAGGGTAAAACATTACTGTTAGAGGTTTAATAAGCAGAGATGATGAACTGTGCAGTCTTTTTGCAGAACTCAGAAGCAGACGTTGTTTGATCAGATAGAAACTCAGTCTTGCAGACGAGACTCGTCAGACTGACGCTCAGCTCTGCAGAGCCTGAAAGGGCGCATTCAGGCTCAGAAATCAATGCAGGAGGTTGTTTGCTATCCTTAACTTGAATTTAGTGTTGTATGCATTAATAAAAGAAAAACAAATATCAAATACAATGTTCCTTTATTACATATAATCATCAGATGTTATTACATCAACAGGTGGTTAACTTAAAGGTGTGTCATGTCCTGAGTGTGATCAGGAGTCAGCGAGGGAACAAATTCAGACATTTCAGCTGCCAAATCCTTTTGTACACAAGGTGGTTATTCTGGATTATAAACTGATGGATTCTGGAGTTTAAGGTCGTGTCGTTGAGTTAACAAACTAAAGAAAACTGCAGAATACTTAATAATTTAAGCATCACATTGGTTTCAACCTCCTAGAACCGTCTAATAGATAAACAGAGAAATGAACGACCAGACAATCTGTCATGGAAATGAAAACATGAATTAAAATGTGTAAATGCTTTTCACAAACTGCAGGTAACAAAATAAGTTGCTCGCTTCTTGCATTAAACTTGAAACTGCAGCACGTTTTGAGTACAGTACTTTTCTTTTTTTTGTTTCTACACATTCCACTGCGCCTCCCAACACGAGCATGGTAAGGCCGGAAACAAAACTTAAGACAATTATTAGACTTTCACCTCGTCGTTGACGCCACTGTTCACCACATGCTAGTTTTTAAAAAAATAATAAAATAGATCAAACCAAAACCCACTGCATGAATAAATAATATACCTAAAGTAGGATGAATTAAATATGTCAATAGAAAATAAAGTTTGGTAGGGTTGGGCTCAAACACAACAGCATCTGATTTTTAAAGGGTAAAAACTCGCTGCAGTTTTAGATCTAAAATGCAATCTAAGATAGTGTTTTTGTGTATAAAGAGTTAAATCAATTCAGATTAAGTACCTGAAAGATTCACAATATTTTATGTCTTTTCAGTCCAGTCAGTTATGCATGTGTGATTAAAAATGACAAAGTGCTTCTTTACACGGAAAATAAAATAAATAAAAACATTCTATTTAATCTAATTTTTGGTATCCCATCCATTAGAAACGGGCCTCTGATCAGCAGCTACATCCAAAAACACGAGTAAAACTTCACAACAAGGGTCCCTTTATTAACAATACTTAGTATGGGGTGCCATTTGTGAAGTTGGATAGTTGTATTTTGGGTTATTTAACCTATCATAAGAGAAACAAAATGGGAGTTAATTTTTCAGTCTTATTTTAATCATGTTTTTCATACATTTATAAATGTTAAAGAGCCCAGCCACGTATTTAGTTAGCAAGCTAAACATTTAATTTAAAGTTAAATATTTTACAAACAAAATATTAAGATCTGACTTAAATATTTAGTTTAAACATTTAGTTAGAAAAATATTTATTTTATAATCTGGAGCTAAATATTTAGTTTTCAAGCTAAATATTTAGCTTCAAATTAAATATTTTCCAAAATAAATATTTACATACCAGCAAAATATTTGTTTTGGGGGTAAACCTACATATTAATTTTGCAAACAAAATGTTTAGCTTCAAAATAAATATTTACTCTGGATATCCAATATCCAATATCGATATAAACCAATACCGATGTAGGCTGTGTCCCCTCATGCTGTTAGGACAGCATATGTTTACTAAACAGGGCAATTTCTATTTCACAAGTTGTCCTAATTAAACAAAAATATCTCAATAACTTTACCTCAGATCTGTCATGTTGACAGAAAAGGTTTTGAGAGAGAGAGTAGCTGAAGAGTTTGATATGTAATATATGCATGGTATGTAAAATGTACTTTTTAAACTCAAATTAAACTTAATAAAAAATTTAGATACCCAAAAAAGTACCATTCATGTACAATATCGAAAGCGAGGAATTAAAGTATATAGTAAATATTTAGCTCCAAATTAACTATTTTCAAAGTAATTATTGAGATCCCAGCTCAATATTTACTTTGGATCTAAATATTTAGTTTTCAAAATCAATATGTAGGTTTAGCCCCAAAATAAGTATTTTGCTTAGATCTAAATATTTATTTAGAAAAATAAATATTTAATTTGGAGCTAAGTATTAAGCTTGTAAACTAAATATTTAACTCCAAATTGAATATTTTGTAAATTAAATATTTGTTACAAACTAAATATTTAGGTCCAACCTAAAAATTTAGTTTGTAAAATAAATATTTAACTCTAAATTAAATACTTAGCTTGCTGACTAAATATTTAGATTTTATAATTGTATGATTAGCATGGTGAAAAAAGACTTAAAAATGAATTCCCATTTTTTCTCTCAAGATAAGCTAAATAACCCAAAATACTGCTGTTAAATTATGACTTTACAAATGCCCCCCATATACTTAGTGCATTATTAAGCATTAATAAATAAAGGGTCCCCTCATTAACATTTATTAACTATTAAGTCTCCTTAAAGTTGGGACAAAGGGTTGGGGGTAGGGTGTCTGCTTAGTAATGCATTAAATAATATGATTAAGCAGTCGTTAATACTGTATTTAAGAGTTTAATAATGCACTAATGTTAATAAAGGGATCTTTATTGTAAAGTGTTACCAAAACATGTCCTGCTGAACTAAAATAAACTTTAAAATCTGCAAAACTTGATTTTTTTTGGCTATATTTTTAAATAGCCAAAGATGATTGACCACTTTGTTTATTGCAGCTTAACAGCGACTGATTCTCCACCAGCGGAGGTTAGATGTAATGGTTTAGGTTGCTGAATTCATAAACATGCTGGTGTGACTGGACCTTAAGAAGATGGTAGACTTTAAGTGTTCCAGCCTCTTTACCACTGACCCAGCCACAAAATAAACAAATCTACGCAGCTCCTCTCTTTTGCATTGAATGCAAACGATAAACATCTGTGCTTGAAGCGTCCACTGAGACATGCTGCAGTAAAAAAAAAAAAAAAAAAACTTAAACATGGAGTGAAATGAAAAGATTATACTAGTAGTCGGTTTTCTCTTCGCTTTTCTCCAGCGGGGGCGTGTCCTGAGGCAGCTGTTCAGGTGTTTCATTGCTCTGATTGGTGGCCTCTGTGGTTTGTGGCTCCACTTCATTTGAGTGCCCCTGCAGCGGCAGGGGTGTGTCCTGAGGCAGCTGTTTGGGCGTTTCTTTGCTCTGATTGGTGGCCTCTGTGGTTTGTGGTTCTGCTTCAGCTGAGGGCTCCTGCAGCAGCGGCGGCGGTGGCTCTGCGGTGTGCGTGCAGTTGATTGGTGCGAGCACTATGGGAGGCTGCAAGGAGCAGAAAGTAAAAAGTGTGTGAAATGGTTGAAATGTGATTAAACCAAAAAAAATATGAAGACAACACAGAAGATCTGAAGGTAACAAACAGGCGGTTACAGTAATTCCTCTGTTGCATTTCAAGACAGGTTTGAGTTTTGTGCGCTGATGTCAGAGGCATTGCTGTATGCATGGACACAGAAGTCCATGAAAAGCTTTTTCTAAGGAAAGCCCACAGAACTGGATTATGATCGCTAATTTATTGCAGAAATAAAAGATTCACTCTTGAGGGAATAATGACAGGAAAGAGATTAAAAGATGTTTTAATGGTCAAGCGTAAGCCCAGATGGAATACCTGCAGTGACATTCACAGACAGCAAAGCCACAGTAAAATAAGGTGCAGCAATGGAGGGGGGCAATAAAAACAGTTGAAATGGATGAAATTATATAAAAGGGCTTACTCAACTTTATCTTCTACTTCACTCTGCATGTTTTTTTAAACGCTAAATAGTTTTATTGTCTTTTTTAAAGTCTTTTTTTTTTGTTCCTCCACAGCAGGCAGTCATATCAAACTGGTATTCACCACAAATCCACTTCCAGTCCAGAACTGGGGCAACTCTCTGCGCCACAGTGCTACAGCAAGGCTGGTGAGCAGAGTGCAAGGCACCAGGTAGAGCAGGGCAGGCTGGCCCATCTGCATCACAGCCAGGGCCACGAAGGTGATCAGCAGGCCGATGCCATACGCTGACGGGGGAGGAGGGACAAAAAACAGGAAACGAGTCAGAATCGCAAAACGCGTAAAAAAAAAACAGAAGCTTTGACTCATTAGAGCCACTTAGCCTGAAGATTTCTCAGCCTCAAAACTGTCAACAAGCAAACAGTCAAACGGTGAATTTGCTCTCTGCTTAAGAAATTTTCTTTCAATTTCTTGGTAAAGAATACTGAAAGCAGGAGTTTGCATGTTTCTCATCTGCAGATATTAGAGATTCAACCTCAAGCTGTTGAGTTTTTGGCATTTTAATTCTACTTAGATTGTTTAGAGCTCTTACCGATCGTACAGGCCATGAAGTAGATCCTGGAGGATTGTGTTAAAATGTCAAACCGATGACAGTACACAACGAGCAGGCCTGAGACAGAAAAATAGAAACACCCGAGTCTCTTTCTACAAACCTAATTATTAACTTAATTTGAAGGAAGAGCTAATAAAAAGACGCACCTGGTACTAGGATGTCTCCAAATCCCAGCAGGGAGAAGGGTCGGTCACAAAGGGCCAGGGGGGAGGAGTTTAACCTCGGCACTTTGAGCACCATAGGGAGCTGAAGACACACAAGTATCAGCGTCACCGGAGCTGCTTTTCTTCTGAAAATGCCAGAATATTTAGACCAGACTCACCTTTTCGTGCGGGGCGGAGTCCGACGGTCCAGCTGCTACCTCCACCATTATACTCTCCCCGCTCTGGGAACGGTAAAGATTAGAATTATAAGAAACCAAAGCAGAATCTGTGGATGTTTACCAGCCCGTGAGACCCTACCGTTGTAAAGAAGGGTGTGATAAACACAAAGAAAACGTCGTAAACAAACAGAACCGTCAGAAGTAAAGTGCAAGCCTGAAGGAGATAAAAGAAAACCTCAGTTTAAAGTTTGCTGATTGACATCCAAAACATTTGAAAACTGAGTTTTTCTACACCTTGAATGTGGGCAGCCGGACTGTTTTGAGCATGTAGAGACAGAAGGCGATCCCCAGGGCGTCCTGCAACACCCACGCCCACCTGGATCGCACAAAACGAGAACATTTGTCAGCCAAATCTGTTGGTGCCCTGACGTGTCTCTGCACTCACGCAGGGATGTGTGCATCCGGCAAATCAAATTCCTTTTAGATCGGTCCACAATCTAAAAGGAAACGTCTGTAAACTCACTGGTCCTCGTTACGAAACACCATCCACACGATGCTGATGCTGATGCAGAGCGCCGACAGCAGCAACATGCGGATCTGTGGTCGCTTGTGCAGGTAAGGAAGGTTGTTCTCTGGGATCCTGTTGGTAAAACAGCTTCAGCTAATAACTACTGATCAATCTGCAAATGCTCTTGTACATTATCCACAAACAGAACTCCTGCATTCAGTATTTAATGGTTTAATAGCAGTTTAACGCTCCAAAACTCCTGATGAAGTTGCTCCTAGCGACATGAGGAAGTCCCACCTGCACTTGCAGAAGGGAATTCTCCTAACGAAAGGCCACAGGCAGCTGTGGAGGCCGATGGAGGAAGCCATGCAGAAGATCGCGATGACCCAAATGGCTGAATGACACAAAAGAAGAAAACGGGTTATTTTATACCACAATGTGACATACTGATCATAATCTCCAAGTTTGTGAAAACATTTGTTTCTGTGCAGGGTTCCCCCTGGGTTCCTCGTACCCAGGTAGTCGTAGAAAAAGTAGAGGAGCACCAGCATGCTGCAGCACATGACCACAAACACACAGATCATGACAGGTGTGACGTCCACCGTCTCCTCGTCCTGCTTCTCGGCGCCGTCGTCCCGCTTATGCTTCATGTAGCGTCTGCAAGAGGAGAAACGGAGGAGACGATCGTAACGAGCACCACTTCTGCGCGGTTTATTTACCACCAATCGGATCGCATCAACCTCACTCTGAAACTCTTGTTTCCAATCTGTTATTTATTTGCCTGTTGGGGCTTTTTGCATCAGAGACCCCTTCAAAACTTCCCCACAGTCACCTTGGCAACACCATCAGAAAGGAAAGAGTCAGACTGGCGAGTCACTCGTCTGGCCTCTAATAAACAACACTGCCCTTTAGCCGAGAAGGTGCTATTTAATGTAAGCTGCTTTCTTTAGCGGTTGGAAAACTAATTTCCTCTGATGAAATTTAACTCGGAGCTAATATTAGTAGCTGGGATTTAAAACATGAGGCAAAACGAGGTTTTCCATTCATCCACGTGCAGCTTTATGGGTGCTCAAATCTCTCATTTGACATTTTTTAAATAAATATTGACTTACTTCTTGCTGTCTCTGCTGCCGGCCCAGTAGCCTCCTACAGCCACAGTCCCCACAGCCATGAGGAAGATTATCACCATGTTATAATCCAGCACAGGCTCATTGGGTGCGTACATGGCAACAAGCCTTCCTTTTCCAAAACTCTGTTAAAAGTTAAAAATGTTGACATTATTCTTGGGATACTAATTTGAATTAAGCAGAAAAAGAGCAAGAAAGAAGGAACACTACTGAGCATGCTCACCTTGCTGATGTCCAACATGTCTGTATAGCTCAGCAGTGCTACAGGAATGTCAATCTCCTCATACTGAGTTTTATTTCCTGCTGGTGGAGTCTAAAAACGACACGTTTTCTCTATTGAGATGAACAACAATCTGCTGAGTAATAATCCACACTGGGTAAATATGGATTTCTCACCAGTCGATCCTTGCTGACGATGAGTAGGCCCTTGGCGCCGTTAATCTGGGCCAGGCGAACCTTTTCATAGAAAGTGCAGTTGCCCCTCATCACCATGGGGATGCGGTTCGGGAAGCCTCCCTCTGGGACGTCGGAAGGTGAGCACAGGACCGAAGTTGTCAGGTCGTAGATCTGAAGACGTGACTGCAAGAAAAATGTTTGTAGATTAAAAAAAAAGGTTTTATTTGTAAATAAAGTAAAAAATGAAATGAAAAAAAAGCAAGTCCCCTCCAAATCAACTTTTTTTTCTTGATGAACTATATAATGTCTAACTCGTGTACTCAATTTGGCAGTTTAGTGCATCTTAGTTAAAATTTAAATATTCTGCCTAAAACTGTCAATGTTAAGCCCTCTTCAGGTAAAAACTCGGCACTATATTTTAATTTATATCCTGCCATCGCTATTGGCTAACAGGTACACTGTGCTGGTACATTATGATGTCACAATGTCACAAGCCTGTGTATGCAAGACTGGTAGGGGTGACTTGCTCTTTAAATGTGATCTAAAATATGACATTTCTGCATTTATTTCACATTTCTCTTCTGTAGCCAATATTTTGTGTCACATGCTTAAGAGTGATCCTTGTGTGTGTTTCACAAATTTAAATCCCATTTATTAAACAAATACTGTGAATTTAAATGAAACTGTTTATTTTTAATAAATTGTAAATATTAAAAATGTGTTAGAGCATTTTTCCCCAATAGTTGTCCACACTTTAAAAGACCTTTAAAAGGCTGTTAGTTACTTACTGCCTTGTTGAGGTCCTGAGGTAAACGTGCCCACTGGGAGTTGAAGAATATGCAGTAATCCTTCCCTTTACTCTTGCCCTTATCACTGAAATGGGCCATGCCATACTCTCCCACCACCTGCCAGGATAAGAACAATAATCACATCAAACTACTTCAAATATTAAACATTTTTGCAGTTAGGCAGCATCACAGCCTCCAAAGCAATGCCAAAATGACTCAATATCTAGCCAATAAATCAATGTTAAGGTTTAGAGAAGACCTGGAGGACATTCTTCTTTGTCAAATGAGATAATTTCCAGTGGATCATTTAAAAAAGACACAACGACCCAAGGAAAATCACTTTAGGTAATGATTTGTTTATTTATGTTAGAGGAGAGAATGATCACCTGTTAAAAATGACTATCCCATTCCCATCCTTGGTTAAATGAGTTTTTAAGTGTTTTGGGGGTCAGAGGAGCAGCTGCCCTTTAATTAATCCAAGGCACATTGTGGAGCATGGTCTAATACCTCTGGCTTCGTTTTCTAAGTCTGTCCTAATCAGTGAATCAGCAAAAATCCTTCATAAATGTCATACCCACGACTTGATGTGTGGGTGATATCCGCAAGCTAATAGTCATAGCATTTTAGGCTAATGCCGAATAGAACGGGTGGAAAATACCTATTCGTACTTGTCACCTACCGATTGCAATGACAGGCTCACATGCAAAGAAACAGTTTTCGATTCAATACAGGCGATCGCTCTCACCTTCTGGATAAAAAATGCGGCCCAAATCAGTGTTTCGGGGACCCTCATATTGCTAGCTTGTTGTTTCTTCCCCCCATCAACCAACCAACCGATCAGAATGAGCATTCAGCAGCTGTAATCTTAAACCGCACCCATTTTCATTTTAGAGTGTTTTTCATTGGCTGATTTTCTATAAGGTTAAAGAGCGCCATTATGATTGGTTCAAGTAAACGTCAGTCAAACTCGCTTTTTCTTCTGTTTAAAGCTAATAAAAGGACACATAATACAGAAGTGTTACTGAGCACACACTCAATGTAGCTCTGAAGTTTGAGATTGTTACACCACAATAAAAAGTAATAATATTATTATTATATAAAAATACTTACGACATGTATGTGTACATCCCTGGTGGTCTAGTGGTTAGGATTCGGCGCTCTCACCGCCGCGGCCCGGGTTCGATTCCCGGTCAGGGAACATGTTTTTGTCCCTAATCCTTTAGATTTTTTGGAAACAACGTAAATGAGTAAAATGAAAACTGCTGTCAATACAATCAACGTATTTAAACCTTAACCCCAAGCCTTCCTTTTTCATTTCCAAGTGAAACACATCTAATTGACTGAAAAGTTAAATCACTGCTTTGCAACGTCATCAGTCCAGAATTAACCAAGTAAGTTTGTTCAGAAATGTTTACAAACTTCGTTTAAAACACATAATTTTAAAAATGCATTGTGTTTTTTAAGATTTTCTTGATTTCCATAAAACCTTCAAAGTATTTCAACCCAAAACCTCCCTTTTATTTTCCAAGTCTAAACTGAATCCAATTTTCTGAAAGTTACATTTGGACAAGTTGGCTTTTTACAGGACGGATACGGAGATAGAAATGGATCCAAAAACCTTTTAGAGCTAGAGCATAAGGAAAACCAAAGCCGCAACATATGTCTTGTAATTTCCTAATTTTTGTTGTTGTAATGTCACTAAATCACCACCAGAAAGCGACAGATGTCCAGCTGCAGCGTTAAAATATCAAAAAGAGAGAGAAGTTGTAGTAGTATGACCCGATTGTAGTACCTATTTTAAAGGTGATGATTCTGATCTGGTATGTACAGTCTATGGTATGGACCAATAAGTATCCTTCCTGTTATGTCCAATATTATAGAAGAGTTAGTGACTGAACATTTGTATTCTTTTATTTTATTTTATTTTATTTTTAACCAAAAAATAAAAAGGTGTTAAAATGGTTCCAGCAAAGAGGAAACGTGTTCAAAGGGAGACAGATGATTCTCTGTGGCGAGTGCTGAAAGTAAAAGATATTGAATTTTTGAAAATGTTGTTTAATACCAACACATCGCCACAAGAGGGCAAATGAGAACAAATAAACGCAGCACTTTCTGTTGTCATCCACAGAGCAACCGATTAAGCCAAACCGGGGATGGAAATTATTTCTCATGACCACATAATAATTTCCCGTCTGACTTTTTATTTGTACCAAATAAAACATTCAAAAACTAAAAAGTAAAAACTACGAATGCTGAGATGCAAGTGCATTCCGGGCCAGCAGGGGGCGTCCGTCTGACTCATTAACAGCCCTTCCTTCTTCACCAGGCGGGATTTCCGCAATAATATCAAGTATGGCCAAAACGTACGACTATCTGTTTAAATTACTGCTTATCGGGGATTCTGGTGTCGGGAAAACCTGCGTCCTGTTCAGGTTTTCAGAAGACGCCTTCAACTCAACATTTATCTCTACAATAGGTGTGTTTTAAACAAACTGTGGCGGTTCTGTGTGTTTACAGCGATGGGTGCGGATACGTCTACTTTCTGGAAAGGCACCGGGAAATCCGCCTTCCAGCTTGTAGTTTATAACCTCTGTAAAAAGCATTGCATTGTCTTACACGCGGTTTGCTTCCTTTTACTAATCGTTTCTTTCTCAGAACGGTTCCTTTTGTGTAATATTACAGAACCAGTTTGCGTTTTGAAGGTTAAACGGAAGCTTAAACGCTAACTGTTATTTTTCATACTTGGTTCTTTTTACTGTTGCAGGTATTGATTTCAAGATTAGGACAATAGAGCTTGATGGCAAGAAGATCAAGTTACAAATATGGTAAGAGTATTTCATTTAAACTCTTTAAAAATATATTAGATTATGTTTGTAACTATTGAAAAGTTTGATTGGCTATTCACGACCAGCAAGTAGCGTTTCAACTCATGATTGTCGGTTTTGCATGATTATTATTGATTAGTTTTGGCTTTCTCTTTGACCTTACAAGCCCTGGCAAATGGAAACAAGCACCAATCTGGTAGCATGTTTGTTTATAAAGCAATCTAATGAATTTGATTTAATTCAAAATACTCCTCAGAAAATACTCCTGTGTCACTAAAATTAAGCTCAAAAACACTCTTTTTATGATTCTGATTCCACTTATTTACCGTTAGGTTAACTTTAAGTTACTTAAAGTAAGAAAACAGCCACATTAGTGACTTACCAAAATAAAAATAAACTTTTATTACATAGATAGATAGATGGATGGATGGATGGATGGATGAACACTTAATTGATCCTGCAGGAAATTGCCTAATGGCCAGCTGTCATTCCTACAGCACATGCCACAATAAGTTACTAAACCCCAATCAAAACCGTTCACAACTCAATCCCAATCAAGCACACAGTACAAATGACCTGGTCAGGCTGTCAGTGGGCCAGCGCAGGGACAGCAGTCTGCTAATGAACACGCTCCTCCTCTCCTTGGGTGTGAGGCGTTGTTCATCATGTCCCCAAAGTCCTCTGCTCAGCCACCTCCTCCCCAAATCCAGAGTCAGCCCCGCCACAGAGCTGGCCTTCTTTATGAATTTCTTCAGCCTGGAGTTGTTTTTCTTACTGGTGCAACTCCAGCCTACCACAGCATAGAGGAGTGCTTGCTACCACTGACTGGTAGAACACGTAGAACAAACTAGAAATTTTATCCTGATCATCATATTTCACATTTTCTTAGGGATACAGCTGGCCAGGAGCGCTTCAGAACAATCACAACAGCTTACTACAGAGGAGCAATGGTGAGTTTATTCACATGCAAAGGTGACTAAATTTCACTTTCTTCAAATGTTAAGACTCTTGAAACATCAAATTTACTGTTCCTTCCAGGGCATCATGCTCGTCTATGACATCACAAATGAGAAGTCCTTTGAAAATATCAAGAACTGGATAAGGAACATAGAAGAAGTGTGTACTGGTGCAGATCATTGACATGCTCCATTTTGAAATCCCGTGAAAGTTTAATGGCTCCTTTTAACTTTGTTTTTCAAAATTCTCTGTTAATCAAGCATGCATCATCAGATGTCGAGAAGATGGTCCTTGGCAATAAATGTGACATCAATGACAAGAGGCAGGTATCCAAAGAGAGGGGCGAGAAGGTGAGAATGGGTTGAAATTAAATAATTATGTTAAATTACCCATTTTAAGCAATAATGTAATATTAGCGGTGGTATGTGAGTACGTGTAACTTGGGTATTTTTACTCTTTGTCTTTCAGCTTGGGCTGGAATATGGGATCAAATTCATGGAGACCAGTGCAAAGTCCAACATCAATGTTGAAAATGTGAGATAATTATTCTGTTGCACATTTCAATCACATTTAACTTTTTAAGCTCCAAAGTCACAATATTACGACAAGCGTCATTACTGACCTTAATGAGCCATAGCTAGGGATGGATACCTTTGACATTTGAATCGATCCGGTACTAATTCCCGGTACCTAGGAATCGACACCGGTACTTAATGGTACCAATTTTCGATACATTTGAGTGTTTAATATTTTTAATTCTCTTTTATAATTAAATATATATTTTTCTCAATATACACGATAAATAACATTCAACTGTTTGTATTTGAACATCGTCCTTGTAGTTTTATAAGCTGATAATTAAACTGAAGCAAACATCTTTACTGTGAACTAAATTTACTGTGTATCTTCATTCCTTTTGCCGTCCTTTTTCAATTGATTTTTCCTACTGGGAAGTTAGAATTTCCGAGGAGAAAGTAAACGCACCATTAGCTGATAACAACGGTGGCAATGGAAGCTAACATATCAAGTTAACGTTATCTTAAACAGTTTATTTAGCTGCTGGAGCAGATTTAAACGATGATGCCTCACACTTAGATCGTTGTCGCTGGTTTCATCTTCACCCAATCACCCGTCGCATTTAGTAAAGTGAAGCCAAACTTTAGAGCGCGTTCATGTTCTTCTAGTCAGAAAATCGGAGTTCCGAGGAGAAAGCGAACGCACCATTAGCAAAACAGAAGCTAACATATCAAGCTAAAGTTATCTTAAACATTTTATTTGCCTACCGGAGCAGATTAAGATGAGGATGTCTCACTTAGATCGTTGTCGCTTGTTTCATCATCACCCAGTTACCCATCACATTTTGTTGGCTGATCTTTGTCTGGTCATGATTGACTCTGATTATGAAGCAGAATATTGACTCTCTAATGAAGAAATTCACTCATCCAGCTGCAAACATTGATACTGCTGCAGTGCCCAGCAACAGACAGCTGGTGCTGCACTTACAAGCTCCAAAACGTTGGGTTTGAAGTTTGTTTCACCGTGTTTGGGCAGACGGCTCCTCTGATGGCGTTTCCTTGCGTTACCATACTTGGCACATCTGGACTCTAATATAATTTTTACTTGTGTGTGTGTGTGTGAGTCTGTGTGTGCGTGTGCGTGTGCTTGCATATGTTTGTAAATGTTTTTAACCTGTTATGGGAATCTGGGGTCATTTTGTAAAGCACTTTGAATCACACTTTGTTTGAAAAGCGCTTTAGAAATAAAATTTGATTGATGGTGCAGAAATGGTGGTTAAAAACACAGCTGATGTTACAGACGTAGCGGCAATGTAAAAAAATGTGGTAAAAGCGGCAGTTGCATTCACTATGTACGGAAGTCAACGTGTGCCGTAAAATTAAAAATTAAAAAGAGCTTTATATATGTGTATATATATATTAAAATAAAAAGATATAAAGAAAATGTCAAAACAATATTTAAATAACAAAAGAACATCTGTAAAAATGATGCATTCCTTTAGGACAGCCTGATGACATCATAATATGCAAATTAGATGAGTGAAGTTGCTCCCAACACAAACTTTGGGTCCTATAGAAGATTTTTCTCATTTACAGTTTTATGTTTACCTTCATCTCTAACCACTTCCAAGATACAACCTTTGAAATAGTCACATCACAATTGAATATTTTCTTGAAAAACTCTGGTGGTTTCTTTGTCTTCACTGGTAACCATAAAATCTTAAATACTTCTGCTTCTTATATATATATATATATATATATATATATATATATATATATATATATATACACACACACACACACACATTGTTGATATTTCTTTTGCTTCCTGTTCACAGGCGTTTTTGACTCTCGCCAGAGACATCAAAACAAAAATGGACACAAAAATGGTAAGAAAAGGCCGTTCCTGTTAATTATTATTTATGACAAGGAGAAAAAATAGTCTGTGTAACATTTGAGGCCAGCAGCTATTTCAAATTCAAGCATTCATTTGTAAGATTTGTTTTTTCCATGCAGGAAGCCAACACGCCACAGAGCAGCGGTCACGGAGTCAAGATCTCAGAACCTCAGAAAAAGACCAGCTTCTTCCGCTGCAGCTTGCTCTGAGGACAGATGGCTTTGTGGCTGCAGGCTGGCAGGACACAAATAAACTTCCTCGTCCCTTTTCTCTTTGCTTCCCAGCACACGGCCTGTCCTCGCAATCTGCAAAAAACACTATTGTCCGTAAGTGGAGGACCTCCTCTCTCTTCCTCTTCTGAACGCTTCCAGGGGTGCACTTCTTCCACGTTTAGGGAATAACTTGTCTTCACGGGTCAGGGGGCTTAGCTGGCACAGCCGAAAGCATGATCCAAATGTTCCATTCCACACAACAAAATGGGCTTTTACCCACGCACTCGCATTTCTGGTAGCACAGCCAAGCATAAAAAAGTGTTTTTCATAGTATTTTTTGAGCATAGTTAGATCTATTTTTAATGGCATTTTCCCCTTTTTGTGTTAAAACTGTCAGCCAGAGACTGATGAGCTTGAACTCCAGTGAGATGTGGTTGCACTTATTTTAATTAGAGAAACGTGTAACCAAGTTTGAGTCATTAGGAGAAAAAAAAGTTGCTCATATTTCTTTGTGTGTGTGTGTGTGTGTGTGTGTGTGTGTGTGTGTGTGTGTGTGTAGTCCTGGACAATCATTACTGTGGCTGAAGATGTTTCATCACATCCTGATGTCTTATTGCACAAACTGAAGTGACGCGTGGCAGAAAAATGACTTGGAATGTCGTCCGCGTTTTGACTCGAGGTTGGCTTGTTGCTGTTGATGGTCTCTGAAGTAATAACTCTTAAATTGGGGTAAATTGTGTGGAAGTTTTAATACTTTTCCCACCTTTTTGGTACCCGTTAGTAGTCATTTTGGGGAATAAAACAATATAGTAACAAAAGCCAGAAACATTCAGTTTAAGCGACTGAAACATTGATTTATTTCATGTTTCAGCTCTCAACAAAAAAAAAGTCATTAAGGAGTTAAAGTTGCTGGTTGATGTGGACCAAAATGTGAAGTTTTTCTAATGAGTGGTTAGAACGTGTTTGTTAACAAATTAAAAGATGAGAAATCCCAAAATGTGTCGGTAGAATATTTAGAAATCCTCCAATAGTGTATCAGAGTTGTTCTTATTATTTAAGCTAAAGTTGGGTTTCAAGGTAGGATCTGGGTTGCTCTATGCTATGTGTACTGTGAATGAATAAGACTGAACAGGTGCGGGTGCTTGTTGTGTTGCTTTTCTTTATTTAGTTTGATCAGAATTCCACCATAATCTATCAACTAGAAGCCTGATCTTCCATCTTTAAGGAGAATATTAACCACTTGTGATAACCGATAGTCAAGATTTTACTTTTAAAAGGACCTCAAGCACATTTGATTAAAAAACTGAAAATGTAAAGAAACCCAGATTTAAGTATTTAAAAACCGTTCTGATGAACTTTTAAGCTAAATGACGTCTCTGGTTGTCCTACTGTGTAGCTCCCATCCCACTCCTCTAGCACTTTAACCGTGTCGTCTGCAGAGCGATGGTGTCACTACGGACAGCGTATAAAAACAAAAGTTAACCCTTATCCCTCCTGCCTTGTCCCCATAATGTATCATTCTGAAGTATTCGTCACTAACCTTGTAGTTTATATAAACAGATATATTTACTGTATGTAAGTGAAGAATTTGAACGTCTAAGCTGCAGCCTGACAAACGGCTCTCACGTGAAGTATTCTAGTTTTACCCTCTTGAGTTTGACGCTAGGTGGCGCTAGATACACAGTTAGCCTCTTCAGAATCCATCCAAACTTAAAACTGAGTCATAATTTAAGTTTGAGAACAAAAGCTCAAGTTTATTTTCTAAAATGTGCTCTGTAGTCTCGCTCCTTTTCCATTTTTTTGTCTGAAAACCAGAATTTTCTATCCACGGTTTGGAGAGGATGTTCTGCACCTTTCAGCAGCAGTTTGGGACCTTTAACGTGACCATTTGTCTTAACCACCAGTTGTCATAGCTGAGCTATGCATTGTGAATTTTGGACCTGTGTGTAATTTGTAGTTGAATATGTGGATCTTTGTTACTGTGTGTGTGTGTTTGTGTGCGTGTGCGTGCGTGTGTGTGTGTGGCTCAACTTTAACACAAACATAAGCAGATTATATTTTGTTTTGAATGAACTTGTTTGACTTTTTTAAACATATCTTTTTCTTAAGATTCTCATCACATGTTACAGTAAACATACATTTATTTTAACAGCCATCTTTTAATTCCATAGCGTGACGTTCAAGGGAGAGTGAGAAAGTGGGGATTGTAAATATCACTTGAAAAAGAAAACAAATTGGTTAAAGTTTACTTTTTAAACCTATATAAAGAATATCTACAAGCTGTAGGTGTGTACTTCTGATTTATTAATAAAAATGGAAATAAAACTTCATTTGTGTAATTTATTTCAGTGTTTTAATTGGCTGGATGGCAAAAGAAGCTGCTGTTATTTCAGATATAATAAATCAATTTAGCTGGTCTCCTTTTTTTTAATAGACTCAATTTTTTATTTCTGCAGTTTAAAATCTCTGGACTAAATCCCCAAAAATAAAAAAATGCCATTTTCAGTCCATCAATTACAAGAATAGGATTCAACCTCTTTGAACTCCTTAAATCCGTATGTGGAAAGTGCTGTGGACAAGAAAAATTTAACATGAATGCATGTTTTTACACGTCATTTTATGTATCACTATTACGATACCTGAGGAAATCTGGAGCTCTGACAATCATGTGCTGGAAATCCTCCAGTGAAAGACGCCCGTCGTTGTCCAGGTCCGCCTCGTCGATCACCTTCTCACACACCATCCTCACCTCGTCTTCTGTCAGCTCGTTACGAGTCAACTTGTTCAGGGTCTTCTCCAGATCTGACTTGCAGATAAAGTCGTCGTCGTTGAAATCTGATTTAAAAAAAATAAAGAGGAACGGTAGAAAAATAACACGGATTGATTTAAACATTCAAGATAATAAAAACATTTTGTTGAATATAATCCAAATTATCAGCTCTTTATATACATTTTAAAATTAAATGTATTAATTTTTTAATTGAATTAAATTTTTATTAATTTCACATTTAATATATTGCTAATTTAATATTCATGAAATTAAAACCCTTCATTTTATATTAAATAATGGAACGGATGAATTTGATGCTTTATTTCTATGACTATATATTGGATTATCTTAAATATAATACATTTTTTCTTTCCTTGATATAACCAAAATCTATGAAAAACAAAAATCTTTATGCAGTCTGACGTTTTACCATAAATCTTGAAAGCGTAGTAGGCTTTGAGGTCTCTAGGCGCCATCTCACTGAGGACTGAAAACATGTCCAAGAAGTCGTTCAGAGTCATGTTTCCTTGTCCGTCCTCGGAAAAAACCTCAGCAATCCTCTGTCGAAACGGGTTATCCTGAACAGACACCAACCAAACTTTCGATTTTCGGCTAAAATATTAAAACGTTAACAAATTTTATTTTATGGTATTATTATTATTTAGATATTTATGTTCCAAAAGTAGCTTTAAAATGTTAAGCTTGAACTAAATAATGATTTAAATACTTCACAGTTATGGGGTGTCATTTGTAAAGTCGATATAATTTAACATGAGTATTTTTGGTTATTTAGCCTATCAGAAAGGGAGTATTTTTTTAAAGTCATATTTTCACCATGTTTTTCATACATTTATAAATGTTAAAGTTCTCAACTAAATATTTATTTAGCAAGCTAAACATTTATTTTAAAGTTAAATATTAGTTTTAGAAACCAATTATTTAGGTCAGACCTAAATATTTAGTTTTTAAAACAAATAAGTTACTAACTAAATATTTAATTTCCCAAAAAAAAATGTAGTTCGAAATTAAATATTTAATTTCCAAAATATATATCTAGCTCAAAATTAAATATTTAATTTCCAAAATTAATTTTTAGATCTGCAGCTAAATATTTATTTTGGAGCTAAACATTTAGTTTGCAAAATCAAAATTTTGGTTTAGCCCCCACAAAAAATATTTAGCTGGCATCTAAATATTTAGTATGGAAAATAAATTTCTAAATAAGTATATTTATTTTGGAACGAATATTTAGCTCCAAAATATTTTGTTAGTAAAAGAAATATTTACATCTAAATTAAATGTTAAGCTTGCTAACTAAATATTTAGTTCTCATTGTAGTTTTTCTAATGTTGGACACCCTTCCTTTTTTCTTTTTTTGGTATTTTATTATCCTTTTCTTTTTTTCTCTTTTATAGATTTGTGTGATGCATATTTTCATTTTTTTTCTTGTGAAATGCGTTAAAGTTGAAAATTAATAAAAAATTTGGGGATAAAAAATTAGTTGGGAAATTTAACGTTTATAAATTAATGAATCACATGGTAAAAATATGACTTAAAAATTAACTCCCATTATTTTTTCTTATGATTGGCTAAATAACCCAAAAATATTAAGATATGTCTTTACAAATGGCACCCCATAGAGTGTTTCCTTTGCAATATTTTGTGTAAAGAGGCATATAATTGAGTTATTTCTAACAAGGGTGCCCTCAGGCAACCCACCAGCATCCTTCAAGTTTAAAGGAGTCGGGTAACATACAACCTTCCAGAGAATTCTGTCGATTAGTTGGTCATCAATTATGAATTGGGAACAGAGGAGTGAGTGGGTCTGCAGGGCTTGTGTGGGCCTACCTTCAGCTCTGGCATGCTGCCGATCAGCTCGTATGGTAACTTCACATCTGGGTGGTTGGTGTAGTCGAGAGGAACGAGCTGTGGAGCCAAATCCCGATAGCGGTAGAACAGTCTGGGGACGGTTCCAAATGTCACTTTCAGTGTTGAATTACAAAATATCCTTCATGTAATGCAGACTGTGAAAGGGCAGCTCCTGATAAAGGAAAGTTATGCAACTTTTCTGCAATGAGAGTGAAAGTCAGATGCATCTCTGAAAGTTACGCTTCAGAAACCTAGAACCCACAGCAGGGACACGGTCCGTTCATGGTGTAGCTTGTGGTTTCAGTTTGGTTTTGTGCAGACCTGAATAAAAGTATCTTCTGTTTCATTGAGAGTCACAAAAACTGATTGTCACATTAGTACTTCTCAGCAGTGGAAGCAGGAAAAATCTGGATCCTCACCTGAGAATTTCTTTCCTTGTGAAATATGTACAGTCCTGCCAAAGCAAGCAGATAATGGAAACAGCTGTTTTATAAGCATTTGAGTATGTTTATGTAAGGAGGAATTATTTAGACCGTCTATAAAATATGTTCAAACGCTGATCAAAATGAGAGTTGACAATAAAGGAACCACTAAGTTCTCACAAATAAATTTGGTTGCATCATGTTCAGTCAGGATTTATGATAACTCGTATGGTTATAAACGTAGCATAAAGTTCACCGCATGAATCACTTCAAGCTTTAAAGCAAAGTGACAATGTTTTTGTTTCTGCAGAAGTCAAGTTATAGCAAATTAAAAAAAACAATTGCTGATTATTAAATATTTGACAAAGTCTTTAACCATTTAAAGCTGGGTTGTCCAAACATTTCAAGATGTGGACCAAAAGCAAGTAAAACATCCTCATGAACTGTAAAAAATTTGATTATTAAACTAAAAGAATCCAAAAATGTATTTATGGGGAAATCCCTTTATTTGTACTGCTCAAAATAAGACCTTTTAATAGATATTTTATTAAAAACTGCAGTTATAAAATAATGTTAATGCTGTCATTTAGTTGTTTTCAATACATTTGTTGTGGTCTCTTCTATGATTGAATGCCTTGTGTGTTGATCTCTGTGTGAAAATGTTCTGGTGCTTTTATTTCAGGAAGTAGAAGTTAGCTAGAGGAGTGGGGGATGATGCAAATAGGGCAGGGGTGTCAAACTCATTTTAGCTCAGGGGCCAGAGGGAAATCTAGTCCCAAGTGGGCCGGACCGGTAAATTAAAAAAAAAACTTCAGATTGTTTTCTTTGTTTTAATACAATCAATATAAAACAAGGCTGGAGCCTGAGGACAGTGTAGTACAAGTGCAACACCTGAAGTGTACTTGAAAATTAAAAAAAAAAAAACCATTCCTTAGTGATTCAAAGAGCTTACAGATCACATGGCAAGATCAGTTTCATGCAGCACTTAAAGTATATTTGACTCATTTTACTTTACATATTTTAGCTTTCACCAGCACATCAATATCAGAAGTTATGGAACTAGGATTGGGACAAGTTACGAATCCAAAGTTACATGTGATGAAACATGTTCGAAGTTACAAAACTTGGTACAAGTTACGCTGAATATTGTCCCAAACCTAGTTCCATAATAAGTCACATCCTGAGTGGCAGCCAAATTCAGGATGTGATTCAAGTTCTTGTGTGAGCCTTGAGCGCAGCTTTGTTTTATTTATACTCATTACAGAGAAAACTTGCTCACAATGATAAATTTATTTTCACCCTACATTGTAAAGTATGAAAATAAAGTTTACACAACCATCTCGCGGGCCGGATGTTTGACACCCCTGATATAGGGAGTCTTAAGTCTCGCCCATCTACTTCCGGACCATGGGTCCCCGGAAGAACGAAAAAGTTAATGCAAGTCAAACGGGGCTAAAAACGCTATTTTCTAATTCCGCTCGTTGTGTGCCATGGATTTCACATATGATGCCCGTGAACTTTAAAGAAGCATTTTGATGCCAAGAAAGCACTGATTCTCGAACGGGGGTAAATGTTATTTTAGGTTTTGTGTGAAAATAAGTCCAGGACTACAAATGCACTTCACGAAAGTGACCTAATAGAAACCGACACGGATAAAAACAGAGGAAAATGGCTGTAAGTTCAGCAAACTTGAAATCCTTCCTTCAGGGTGAAAAAACCACCATACATCTGGGATTAATAAAGTAGTTTTGAACCGAATTTAATTGAATTGAATCTGGCCATGTGTTAAGTAGCAGCTACGCTAGGAGAGGAGATTCTGTGGTGACGTCATACATGCGACGTACCAGCGTCTGATTTGTAGTCATGCTAATTAAGAACTTTTACAAGCTGATAAATCTCAAAGTACGTGACAGGCATGATTGAAACACCCATCATTAGTTTTCATTTACATTGCAGTACAACATCTGTGCCATCCAGAGCGTAAGGCAAGGCGGACAATAGCTCTTTTAGCCCCGCTGACTTGCATTCATTTCTTCGTTCTCCCGGGGACCCATTAGCCGACCGGAAAAGGACGAGACTTAGGCTCCCTATTGCTTATTATGATATTTGGATATCTCGCCTCTGATTGGCTAACAGCAGCATGAATCTACCCCTGATTAATTCTGTTTACTTTGTAACGTTTAATGTTTTATCTCCACAAATACCACAAGCCTGGTGCAGTTCTGCCGTGTGATGGAGTTGCTAATGCTAACAGTTAGCTTCTGCGAGCTGAGACGTGCTCTCTCCTGGATGCAAAATCAACAGCCTTTTCTGTTGTAGCCTCTGTTCAGCCTGCATGTGACACCCAGAGTGATAATCCTATTTTTTAAATACAAGAAAAAAAAAGATTTTCTGTGAAGGTGGTCTTTTAAAAAAGTGTCTATATCAAGAGACTACCCCAATATCCTGTCTTATTCATGTCTACTGCCCTCTGGTGGAGGAGCCACAGGTTGAAAGGGTGAATTTCATTTATTTCTATTCTATAGTAATATAACTAAGTAAAGCTGATTATTATGTGGTTTTCGTAATATTACACAACTAGTAATTCAGTTCTACATTTTTTGGAGAAATAATTTCAAATAGGAAATTAAGAGGTTAAAGAAAAAGGCAAAAATATGGATTCAACAAACTCAGGCTCACACTGAGCTCAAACACACGAAGAGCTGCAACACATGATGTTTTTAGATCCCACGGGTCCAAGTCAGATTGAAACCAACACTAAAACTGACCTGATAGGCGTCTAGCTGCTGTGCTGTGAAGATGGTTTGTTTATTCCCCATGTCTGAGCGTCCAAACGCCGATCCTCAGATCCATCGCTGCTCCAGCACTGAGTGAATTTTGTTTTCCCCTCATGGTGCCTGAGTCAGATATGAAATACTGGGACAAAAGGAGACCAGAGCCAAAGGGGAGATCGGGTTTCGGGCCACCATAATGGCAGCATTTCATCGTTTTCTCCATTGTGAATAGCAGCCCCTCTGACGATGAATAAGGGCTGTCGTCCAGCATCGTGCCAAGTGGTTTCAACCCCCTTTGATGCCACTCTATGGCCAACGCCTCGCTCGCTGCTCAGGTTACAGCCTTCACAGGCCAGGTTTTGTAAAGTGCAAAAGAGTTGTAATGGGAGATGACTTTTGTTTCAGCTAAAAACCAAATCATTGCTTGATAGCTCATCTTAATTTTGGTACTCAATTACCTATTTAAACAAAGGTTTGCAGTTTCTTGGAAACGTTTAAGATGCAATTGTAAATTTGGGAATTAAAAAAGAAAATTCCAGATTGGTGAATTAAAAAATGTATTCCATTTTATTTTCCTTTTTTACCAGAAATTTACCAGAAAATGCAAAATGTACACATTTACATGTTATTCCAGACACCACTTCCATCACAGTCATATATTATTATTTATGGATATTTACATATATATATATTACAATGTCTAGAGGAATTTGGCACATTACTTATTATTTAGAGGTCAAAGGTCAAGTTACATTTGGTCAATGTCTGCAGTCAGTGGCAGCCGCAGCTTCCAGCCACCATGTCGTTGTACTGCTTCAGAACAACATTCTCATCATCGTCGAAGTAGAGCAAGTTGATGGAAAACAGCTTGTCCGGCACGCAGCACGGCGTCTGGATACCCCTCATCAGCTTCAGGGCATTGATGATGGACTGCACGGTGGCGTGGTTGGTCGGTCTCATGTTCTGACCCAGAGGGAAGGAGCAGGAGCCCTTGCAGTGATAAGCGTTGTAACCCCTGGGAGACACGATCCAGCCCGACCAGCCGATCTCCTCGAAGTCCACGTAGAGAGGGAGGCGCTGGCAGGGCCTCAGCTGGCCTTCCTCATCCATGTGGTCCAGGGAGCGAGCGATGCGGAAAGATGGGGCTGATGTGGAGATCTGAGGTAGGATGGAGGTGGAAATGGCCTCATGTGTGTCTAGGAGGAAAAAAAGAGTTTAAAGAATTTAAAAGGTGGTACATTTTATTTCCCAAATGCACTTTCAGTTGTAGAAAAGTCTGAATTGCACGAGTGTCCCCTGACCAGATCAATATGGCACAAATCTCACCTGCACTCTCCAGTGCAGCAGAGCGACGGCCATCATCAGTGAAGAGAACCAACATTGGCTGTTTGCTCTGATGATGGTGGCGCCCTGAAGCAAAGCGGATCACTTTCAGGTCCGCCTGGCTCCCTCCCAGAGTTCGAACCACCACATGGAGTCCCAGGTTACTGGCTTCATCTTGCATCCAGTGACGGACCTGCGGGAAATCCACCACTCTCAGTTAAAACAGCTTTTAAAGACCGAATGAAAATAAGTTTAAAAAATACTCACGGCTTGTGTGACCGTGAACACTTCCCAACCAGAGGAGTGGACTGAGACGAGTCTAGAAGACAGCAGCTTCCTGGCCTGACTGCTGTTGGTTTGGCTGTTGTCCAGGAGCTGATACACACTGACCTGAAGAAGGCAGAGGCATTTCCGTTGAAGACCCACCACGGTGCATTTCATTTCAGCCAAGAAATTTGCTGATTTGTTTTACCTGACAGAAGTGATGCCTGCTGGATGTCAGGGTCACCTGAGGGCGCAGCTTGAAAAGATGGAGCTCTGCAGTGAGAATCTTCTCACTTTTTGCAACAGTTGACAAAGTGAATTTGAACTCAACCAGCTCACTGCGCACTGCAATGGAGAAATCATCATTAGAGACCAGAATAATGCACGCATTTGGAAAAACTTGGTAAAAAAATACCAGTCGGAGCTCACATTTGTCAAAGAAACTGCGCACGGTATTCCCTTCCAGAAGATTTGGGTCCTTGGTCACACCGTCCACGTCAGCCACCGTGTTGAACAGATCCAGCATGTACTGAGGTGGCTGCATGTGTCCGTGGACAGCAGGGGGGTCCTCCATTCCAAAAACCTCCAAAAGCCTCTTGATGGCAGCTGATCGGACCTCCTCTGGCTCATCCTCGGAGGTAAAATGAGTCTCCCGGCCGCCGAGGGAAGGCCAAGCAGCGGTGACGCACAAGAAAGCAGCGAGGTTGAACACAAACAACATTTTAGGGTGAAAGATTCCCGGTGTCCTGGATGGTTCGTGGGGTAGAAGTGAGTCTGAAGCCGCAGAGGCTCGACTTCTTATATCAAATGCGCCCCCCCCACCTACCCATTTCTCTCTCCGGGGCCCCCAAAGCCTCAGTAAACAGCAGTAAAGATGCTATTTGGCCGCAAATGTAAATCACCAATCAGCGAATGTAAAGGATGACTAACGGCGGCGTTAACAAGGTGCTACAGGTCGGACATTCAATTGTCTTCGCGTCTGGCACAAATGAACCGCAATAAACTTTGTTTTAAGGAGAAAACGGGAAATGTAAAAGTAAAAGAGGGTTTTTTTAATAAAGCATTTTGTTTTCTTTCATATATGAAATCACAAAAGGCAGAAAGGGTGAAATCTTGCGCTGAAGAAGACGCGCACAACGCAGTGGGGGTGTGGAGGTCATTTCAGCCCAAATGAATCCATTAAATTAAAATAATGGGCGCATTGTTTCTACATGGATTCCAAAGTTACTGGTGTCACTGGGTGCGACTGGAATACACTCCTCACAGCGGAATTACCACATTTGGAGCTTTCTAAAAGGCCTTCCTAGAATTTAGCTGCGTCACGTGATCGAACAGATGACATCTTTCTCTCATCGCTAATGTTTTGCTCTTGTCTAAATTTTAGACCACACGCAGAAATTTGAGTTAAAGTGGCTGGTAATTGCACATTTGCACATATGTTACACATGAGAGCTTTCGAGTTTGTGCCATTTGTGTTTTTTTTATCTTTACGCTTTACAGACCACCAGAACGCACTTGGACTGGAGACAAAATGTCTCTCTTTGATGCAACAAACATTTAGGAAATCAAAGCACGTTTTCCCACCATGGCACCTTGCAGACGAGCAATAAAACGTTTTCTGTGGGTTGAAACATGAAAGAGTGACAGGGAACTGTTGTTTCGCGTGTCAATATAAAAGACAGAATGACCTGCACGTGTGTCATTTCAAAGTAACTTATTTCTGTGTCCCTTTTTCTACTTCAGCGCTTAGATTTATCTTATAGCTTAACTTACTTCCATGACAGAAGAAAAGACGCAGACGAGCCTGACGCTGCAGGGTGACGTTCAGTTTTAGACCGTCTTAAAGTTTAAAACGTGGTTTTATTTAATTTAAACGTATTCTTATTTAAAACAAGTACATTAAAAAAACAATAAACAGAGAAAGTACACATAAACCACACGCACAATGTGTTCATCCAAATATTTTATCATCCACAAACACATCTAACATAATTAATTTGCTGTCAGATCTGTCTCTCCAATTAAATATTTACAAATCCTTACATTAGTAGTATTTATACATATATTACATAATATAAACTATTTTGGTTGGGTCGGTCCTAGAGGGAAGGTCGGGGGAAGTTTTTCACATCCAGTAGAGGTCGCTGTGTTTAGTTTTGGCACATGCAGGAGGAGATGGAGAGGATGGTGCGCAGCTGTCCATGCTGGCTGATGAAGCTGTGGCTTCCATATCCTTGAGGAACACAAGAGCTGGTGTGGCTCTCGCTCCACAAGTGGCAGTTTTCTGGGTCATCTGGACTCCTACAAAATAAAAGCAGCAATGCGCAAACATTAAAACCACTTTGTTTAAACAGGTATCAAGTTTACACTGAACTCAAAGGGATTTGTATTTTATTAAATGAAAACAAGTATATTTAAAGACGTTAAGAACATAATGATTTACCGTTTAAACAATCTAAATCTAAAACGTTATAAAAGGAAATAGTTTGTGTTGCAAAAAACAAAACAAAAAAAAAAACCATTTCGATATATAACTCAAGCTGATCATTTAAACCTGCATTAACAGCCTGTATCAGTGGACCTAGATTCCACCATTACTGAATTACAATCACAACAGTTCACTCTAAGGTTCACAAATGTCCCCTGAGCCACCCTGATCTAATGGGTTTAGAGTCCGTATCACCTTTCAAAACAGATGAAAGTATTTTAAAATCAGTTTGAGTGTTGTTTCTTTCTTTTAAGAATTCTGGCTGCAGACAGGATAAAAGAGACAGGCTGATCCCCAAACAAGATCATTTGTGTGGTAAAATAAAAGTTATTATGAGTTGCTGTTAATGCCACGGTCAGCAGCTGCAGCAACAGGGGAGGCTTTAAAAACACTGTAAAGATTATTTCTCAGTGCTTTAATGCAAGTTTCCCCCAAACTACTGAACACACTTAATGGTGCATTAGTCCTCTGGTCAAATTCACAACGTTTCATTTTAATACTTTTCATGATTAATAGACCTATAAATAGACCTATGTACAATGTAGATTTGTTAAAAAAAATAAAAGAGTCAAAAAATAAAATAATGAATCAACCATAGACTTTATTTTATATGTGCTGTTTGGTGTTTTTTTAACTAGTCGTGAATTGAATTAAGATAATAGTAAAAGTTGAGTTTTATTGTTGGATTGCAATTTTAAAAAGATGACTTTTAATTAAAGTTGCTTGACTAAAATGCAGTTTAAAGTAGTAAAAGGAGCATCTGGTCTGTTTTAATTTAAAAAAATGCAACATGCGGAGCAGAAGGTGTCAGAGCTCACAGGCAGTTGTTAGGGGAGAAGCTGTGTGTGTGTGTGTGTGTGTGTGTGTGTGTGTGTGTGTGGCAGCTGCATTCGTACTTACCTGAGAAGACACCGGTTTCCTGTTGAGCAGCCTCCCAAACATCTGCCTACGTCTATTTCCTGGAGAGAATTAACAACACAGAGAGGGAAATCAGCTCCTGGCTGGTCACAAATATTGACCAGCTTAAGTCGAGGCGCAGCTGCTGTTTATCATGTTAAAGGCTTTGATTTAACACCTGCAGGAGCCATTTGTGTTTGAGCTCTCTTCACACTCCTGGTGCTGAGAGGCAGCACGCAGCTCAGACTCAATTGTAGGAATTCTGCCTAAATTCGTTTTAGCAGTTGCAGTCTAGTCACTCTTTGATAAACAGACAATCTGCATGAGTTTGGCTCAGATGGGATATTTGGGAAAGGGTGAGTCTGAATTTGTAAAATAATAATCTTTGGACTCACTCTTTCCCTTTTTGCTGTTAAACCTTTGCTAGAATTAAATACACAAAACAATTAAAAGTTTTTTTTTCACCAAATAAGATTTCTGAAATGTGTGTGGTACACTTATGTGTTACAGAAGTTTTGGTTATTTGGAGCTTTTTTGAATGATCATTATTTAAAAAGTCTACAAATCTACAAAAACACAGCAAGTCAGTGCTTTTGTGTAAATAAGAAAGCAGCACATCCTGAAGTCCCTCGCCTCCCCAGGATGTTCGGTGCCAGTCAGAAGATTAGCCTGACTGAATGCTGACTTCCACATGTTTGCATAATGAATAAAGACTGTCTGACACCCAGCTCAAGCCCCGTTTCCTCCACATTTGACTACAAAAGGGAATGGGAACATGGCATCCTTAGCAGATTTATTCTAAGTGTTGATAATAAAACAAGTAACAACCCTGATTTAAAAGTCTGCAGGTCTATAAAATAATGATTACACTTACTTTTAGCCTCTCCTCTTTGACTCCGTCTCCATGGAAGACAGTTTCATAATAATACTCCACATATGGGACCCTGTAGCAGCTCTCCTTCAGCTCACAAGCCACCACAGTCTGGATCAAATCCACTTGGTTTGGAGTTTCCAGCAGCGCTGAGTCAAACTTGGTGGGAACGCAGGAGAATCTCTCTGTGAATGATTCGAAATGGGACCAAATTATGATGATAAACTGAGATTTGTGGAGATTTTAATGTATGACAATAAAGTGAGCCTGTTAACTGATCAAGCTACACAAAGAAGATATTTAAAATAAAAATGAAGAAATAAAATAAAATTTCCTAGGCTGGGATAAGTAAAGTACATCTATAGTCACACAGATTAAAGTCCTGCTTTTCAGAGTAAACTGACCACATAACATTGACTCTTTAGAACATATACATTAAATAAAATTTAATTTAAAAATATTTTGCTAGAAAACGTAAACCTATCCTGGCGTTCCCACTTCCAAAATAAAAGTTCTAATTGTTGTAAGCAGCTCTATTTTAACATAATCATCTCTTTCTGAAGTATTACAGTAGTTTTTTTGCAATTGGCCTACATTTCCCATAAGCCTTTGCTCCCAGACACACACCTGTGGATGCTTTGGACCGGGAGCATCCTCCCACGTCCAGCACCGTCTCATACGGTGTTTCTGAGTAGTACGTCTTCAGTGCTGGGACTCGGAGGCACTGGGTCAGCTTTATTTCGCACTGACACTCCTGGATGACCTCCACCTCTCGGGCTCCGTCGAACAGCAGCATCCGGTCCACTCGCGTCGCGGTCGGCTCACACACCTGGTTCATCCCGCACGAAGGCACCTGGCTCAGCGGCACCGAGCTCTCCGAGGCAGCGGGTCCGTGGGTCTTCATCTTCAATAACAAACATGTCAGAGTTTATCTGTCTTTGAGCGCGTGCTGGTGCAAAATAGATACACGGGCGCGTGGGTGGTGAGTTTGTAGCTTTGTACATATTAGTAAAAAAAGTTAAAATATTGTATATATTAAACTATAGATGCATTTATAGACACGTTTAACTGGAATAAAAGTGTTTTTTTTAACAGACAGCAGTGTTTGTCTGTTAGCATCCTCGAGTTCATAATATCACAGCGCCCCCTTGTGGCAGAATGAGAGAACTGTCACAACTCACCCTTTTGCTCCTGAGGAATTCCAGCATTGAGGCATATTTCACGTATTCCTGCTGTCCTGCGTCATGTGAGGGCCTTATTGTTGTTCCACAGTGTGTTTTGCACATCCCCACGTCTACATTTACAGGACTACCAGAGATGTCTAAGAAGAAACAAATAAATGAACAAAAAGACGAGTTTCAATTTTACCTAAGAAGTAATGAAGTTGTTGTCTAGTATTTTTTATTTAAATTTAAGGATTAATCTTGTTCATGCCTATGGCTCAAAAATCCTCACTTAGGGCATTTTTCCTGGAGTAATTAAAACATGTCTCACCTTTTCCAATGTACACAAAGTGACTCTGTCTTCTGCAGCACAATCGTTGCGTGAACAGGTTTCTTTGAATGTGCTTATTTGAGACTCCCCTCACTGGAAAACACAAAAACAAACACTTTACACGAGAGATTATAGAATGAAAACACTCCAATAAATCCTTAACAATCTTCAAATTTTACTTTACGTATAACAGCTGATGTGCATGAAATAAATGCAGCTTTTGTTAGGAAAATTTTCAATTTGCAATTGCAAGATAAGAATTAGAAATTTGGATAAACTGAAGCTTTAAATTGAAATAAAATAAAAGTGTGTGTGTGTGTTAACAACTTCTCATGTTGCTGTTTACATTTTATGCCTACAAGATGAAGCAGTAGTAGAACCGAATAGAGACTTGGTACTTACAGATAAGTTGGATTACAAAGAGGGGAAGAAGAAACTGTTGGAAGATGGTCATGACTTTGCTGTGAATCTGCTCCTCAGCTGCCAGAATGTTAGTGCTCCTCTGGTCTCTGCTGCCTCATTTATACAGGATGGAGCTTCTGCCCCAAATGTCAGAAAACCTGAGAGCTAATCAAATTTCCATGCTGAATGCCTTGCAGGGCCAGGGGCCACATCAAAGGAAGACGCAGCGTCTCTCTTCTTGCTGTAAAAGGAGCCAGTGGCTCCGGCGTGAGTTAACCAGGCCTCGGCTCACCCTAGTGAAGAGCTTATAAAGGCCCCGAGCCATTTAAAGCATCACTCAATCAAAGGTATCCATCATCTTTTATCTCTGGGGGAAGGTGTTGAGCACCTCTGACTTAAAACAAAACCTGACCTGAACACGTAAACAGAATCAGCATGGGGGACCCTTAATCCACCCCATCTGACAACTCCAGCACCTTTTGTGTTTATTCAGAGCGACACCAAATGGCTAGACGCCCTCAGAGCTTTCAAACCCTCGCTCCTTTTCCCCCTTCCCACACAAGATTAGGAATGGCAGTAAAACTGTTGATGTTCTATAGTTTTCCACGTTTACTTTGGAGGTTGTACCGAAAGTTAACTGAACCCTTAAAGGAGCCATAATCCAGTTTGTTAATTTTGACCAGAAAGGGATTAGTTTATTTACAGACAGAACCGTCTCAAGGTTCTGTTAAAACTGAAGGGGGGACACGTTGCAACTTGTAATCCTGACATTTTACAGGTTTGCCAGTGACCTACTTTGATGTGCTCATTTTCAGCGGGATTAACGGATCATCGCTCAGAGTCATCAGACTTGATGATTAAGATGATGTTCCTTTATGCTGCTGCAGTTTTTGTTGTTAATTCCATTCATAAACTGTCCTAAATGTTACAAAAACCTGTGATGACATGGTAATTACTTGAATTAATATTGTAAAAAAAATCAATTTGTTATTGTTTATATAATGACTTATGTCCGATTATGGATTCTGAGGCTCATTTTCACACCAGTTCTCAGAATCGTGATGCATTAATCCGATGAGTAGTTAACGGATTACACTGTAATTTAGAAATCTGGTACTGACTATTTTGGGGCGACGGTGCCCAGCTCAGTCTGTCGTTATTTCCTTGGGAAAGACTCTTAGCCCACCTCGCCTGCTGGTGGCGGTCGGAGGGACCGACGGTGTCTGTGTACAACATCCTCGCCTCTATCAGTGCACCACAGGGCAGCTGTGGCTTCATCAAGGCTCATCACCTCCAGGGTGTGAATCTGTGTGTGCATGGGTGAATGACTGATTGTGTTGTAAAGCACCTTGGGGGGTTCGAGGACTCTAGATGGCGCTATATCAAATACAGCCATTTACAGTTTCATTTAGGAGGATTTGATCTTGTTAGATCAGGTTTTGTTTCTGATTATAAATTTAATTCATAAATCGAGATGAGCCAGTTGAGGTGGCTCGGGCATCAAGTTAGGACGCCTCCCTGGTGAGGTTTTCCGTGCACGTCCAACTGGGAGGAGAAGACCCAAAGGAAGACTCAGGACACAGTGGAGGGACTATGTCTCTCAGCTGGCCAGAGAAGGAGCTGGCCCAAGTGGCCGAGCAGAGGGAAGTCTGGGCCTCCGTGGCCCCGCGACCCGACTCCGGATAAGCGGCCGAAAATGGATGGACAAGCAAGAGAGATGGAAGGAGAAACTTTGAGAGTGGTTGCTGTGGTTCTTGTGGTAACTTTGTTTTAGCTGCTGCTTCAAGCATCGTAGATCTTGATTGTATTTTTTTCATCCATGTTTTTAAATTTATCTAAGAAATAAAGTTCATTTTAGTAAGTTTTAAGTCTAAAATGGTTTTCATGAGATTTTTAAGCTTATTTTGCTGTTTAATTGTAAGTTACTCAATTTATAAGTTAGTATTGTGAAATACGTTATATATCATGGAGAGTTCCTGGTCCAGGAATTTGTAAACAATTCCTGAAAAGGACAAATTTGTATGGAGACACAACGGCTGAGAAGACCGAGCCAGTAGATTTTCCTTGTCACCCGTCACCTTTCCTACTCCGACGTTTTCCGAATCTCCAGCTACCTTAAGTCAAACATTCATCCTGTTTTCCATTCCACTGTACAAAACCCTGCTTTACATAGAATATAAACATTCCACCGCTGAACACCACACAGTCACATCATCACATGCATTCTGCCATTTAGCAGCACCTGTTATGCATAAAGGTCTCTGTTTTTATACCAATTTGTATCATTCTCATTGATTTTCCTGTTCCTTGAAGCTTGTGGTGCCTTCTTCCTCTCCGATGACCCTCGCCTCCATAAGGGCCTTTTACTTTGGCGGTGCACGTGTCGAGGACTGGATTATAATGAGTCATCTGCGACATGAGCAAGCGGCTTATACATGATGACTGCTGGAGACAATCCTTGTGGCCAGCAGAGGTTGGTGAGACTGGCGGAGAGACATGGGTGAGTTTGTGTGAACCGTCTGGTGTCACAGCCAGTGTCTGGGTCAACTTACTGCTGTCTCACCCAGACACGAAGCATCGCTACGTCCTCGCCTCCTTTAGATTCTGGCTGAACTCAAGTGTGGAGCTATACTTTACTTTGTTTTCAACAATGTTCAGTTTGAAAAATGTCTTTGTCAGCATTAATTTGATGAAAAATGTTTGTTTATTAGAGATTTCATACAACTAAACCTATAGATGAGTTATGACCTCATCCCAGCTCATCGACCCCAAACTATAAAGATGCAGGATGATGTGGGTAGTCTGATCAACGTCCAATTCAAGGACCTTCTGTAGATCAGGTGGTGTGTTTAAATGTAGATGTTAAAGAAGCCTCTAAAGCCGGTCTATTGTCCGTCTGCATGGGAGGAGACCAACACGTAGGGATTACGGCGCATTATGTAGCAGACGCGTTGTTGCACAAACGCTAGAGGAGCCAACGTGCAGAGGCAGTGTCTGGACTCACAGTTGATCACTGAGCCAGGAAGAGTGCTTCATAAAGCTTTATTCCCCTCAAGTTTTGTTATAAGAAATTTAGATTTTTGCGTATTTTGCATCGCTTTGATTTTGTAAAATCTCCAAGAAAGGGAAGCAGCTCGACTACGCAACGGAATCATGTATTTAAACAGAAATAAAACCACAATCGTAGAGAAGAGCAAGAAGAACATAAAAGGGAAGACATGTGAGTACAAACATGCTACTTAATTTTAATTGTGTTTTATTTGAGCCTCAAAATGATGCAGAGTGTGAATATTTCACGTATTTCTTGTTACTTTTCATGCTAGATTATAACAATGTCATTTATCCTCTCAGGGGCTCATTTTAAGACAAATTCCTATCAGGAAGAAATCACCTTGGTGACACAAAAGGAACACAGAAAGGCGAAGACCAACGAAAAGGAGGCGGTTGAGGAGGATATGCGCTGGACGGTCTTCAGGAAGGCCTCGTATGATATGACCCATTCAGAGAGGGTGATGGATGATCTGACCTTCGGACGGCGGGTGGGATTTTACGAGCTGAGAGGGGAAATCGGCTCTGGTAACTTCTCCCAGGTTAGGTTGGGGATACATGACTTGACCAAAGGTGAGATTTTGGATGCTTTTTATTTTAAATATTCGTTTTTTGATCAGGGCACGTGTACACAAGTTTTTAATCACTTCCTTTCAGTCAACTGATTAGTTTCCTCGCTTTTGTCCATACCACATATATTCATCAGCATTTAAAAATGTTATTTAGGTTTATTAGGGTTGTAGAAATATTTCAGTTTAATTGATTAAGAGTGATATCCAGTTTAAATGCATGTTAATTTACAGAAATGAGTGATGTGAAAAGGCTCAAACACTAAGTTTTCCAAATGGAATTGCATGCAAAAGCAGCTTGGGAATATAAATGTGCAGCTTCGCAATGCAGAAGCTCCACTATATAACCAATCTGACTTTTATGTACAAGTACATCTGTAGTAGAAATGAAAATGTTTCTGCCTAATGGTCAGAATCTTTAAGATGAATGAACGCATATCAGATTAAGCCCATGTGACAGTCTGGGTCATTCCACGTGTCAGAAGACATGGCTAATCTCATCAGCCAGACCCCACTAATCCATAATGTTTCATCCTTTGTTTTTGTTTAACACAGCAGCTATGATGTTAACAGCTACACCAACACATACAGGAAGGTTAAGCTAATCAATAGATAATCCCTTTTTTTAGGACAAGAAGCATGTTTTTCCCTCTGATCTCACCCAGCTTTCTTTGTGTTCACCTGATAGAGAGAGTAGCAGTAAAAGTCCTGGATAAAGAACGTCTGAGCAAACACTCTCAGGCTCTTTTTGCATCTGAAATCACCTGCATGGAGAAGCTTTCCCATCCCAACGTAGTGCGCCTGTATGAGGTGGTGGAAACGCTCAAGCGGCTCTACCTGGTAATGGAGTATGCCAGTGGAGGGGAGCTGTACTCCAGAATCACCACCAGGGGGCGCCTGTCTGACCTAGAGAGCAAGCTTGTGTTTTCTCAGGTTCTGTCTGCAGTCAAGCACATGGTGAGAAAGCTTTTGTTGCCTTTAGGGGGCGGTGAGGGCGATCTATTTGTCTGGAAAACAAAACTAAAGAGGGTAAAATAGAGATCTGTTGTGCAACATGTGGGACAATGTAGTATTTCTTACTAGGAAATCGTTTTTAAGAGGAAAAGCTGTTTTTATTGTATTAGAATAATCTTAATCATTTTAAACGTGACCCGAATCCATATTTACAATGTTTCATGTCTATTTACACTTAATCAATAACACGTATACTAATATTTACACATCCCAACAAATCCCACACTGGCTACCTTTATTATGAGACCAAAGTAATCAAGTAGTCCTTGTGGTTACAGAAATGCACTTAGTAAAGTGTGTGTGTGTCATCTGTGTCTCGCTAAAATCATTTTTAATAAAAACAAATTGCTTGGGTGCAAATTGTCTCGAACGATTAAAAGTGATCAATCAAGATTAATTAATTACAAAGCTTCTAACTAATTAGATCATTTCTTTTAATTAAGTTACGCCCCTAATTAGAAATGTGTCATGATTAGCTGGTAGTGTTAACAGCAGTTAGCCTGGATACTGAGCACAACTATTGTAAAATGCCATAAGTTTTCTCACTAGCAACTAAACCCCAATTCAATCAGGTTATTCCTAAATCATATTTCTGAGTTAACTGGAGCAAAGCATTTGCTCTGGATCACCAAAGAGTTGGCTTTATGCAGCACCGAGTTTTCAATGCTATGATGCTTACGCTATCAAAACAAACACTCCTCTTGGAAACTCCCCAAAGTGCTTGGATGGGAAGAGCAGGTAAGGGGCAATCAGATAGCCACAGTCTGCAACTAAAACACTCGGCCGTTTGCTCTATTTTAGATTACTTTTCTGCATTTTTGAGCCGCTGAGTTAGAAGTTTTTTATGTGACTCACTCTGACGGTTTTTCTACGTTATAACATGTCTTTGTTTTCTCCTTTTCCAGCATGATAATAACATTGTCCACAGGGACATAAAGGCTGAGAATGTGTTTTACACCAACACTTACCATATTAAAGTGGGAGATTTTGGTTTCAGCACATGTTCTTGCCCTGGTGAGGTGCTTCACACATTCTGTGGCTCCCCACCTTATGCAGCCCCGGAGCTCTTCAAAGAGAGAGGCTACACTGGACTGTATGCAGATATCTGGGCATTGGGCATTTTGCTTTATTTCATGGTGACTGCCACAATGCCGTTCAAAGCCACCACCACCAGCAGGTTGAAGTGTTGTATTCTGCAGGGCTCCTATGCCATTCCTTCATATGTGCCCCAGTGCTGCCAGGATATCATTAAGGGCCTTCTAAGGCCAGTTCCAGTCGACCGTCTTGCTTTGGCACAAATAATGACAAGCAATTGGATGAGAGGCATTGACTACCCTCAAGCGTACCCACCCTACAGACCTACACCTTCCCACCTGGCGGAACCCAACAGCATTCTCACCTCAGATGAACTAAACGTGAAGGCTGCCCTGGAGGATCTTGGCATCACCGACGCTCATGTGCTCAACAACGGCCTCGACTTGAAGAGCCCCATCACTGGAGCCTATCGGATTGTGCTTCATCGAATCCAGAGAAGGAGATCTGTAGAGGCCGTTGGTCATACCAGTACATCCCTCAACAGACTTCGACAGAGAACGGGTTCAGATGGTCTGCTGGTAAAACGCCACTCTGTGGTCTGTGCAGTTATGTAGACCCATTTTTCTGTTTGGAAATGTTCAAACAGCTAGTTTGTATCACCTTTCTGAGACATTCAGGAAAGGATGGCAGAAAACTTGCATGTGATTTGGAGTTCGGATCATCACAGAGGCACAGGTTTTGGTTTCATAATAAGCAAAGTTGTTGTTCCAGCAGGAAATGAAATCTTGTCCTGCTGTCATGTGAGGACTGGTGCATCGTGAAGGTTTCTGTGAGTGCAAGGCTACAGTAGCAGGCTCCGAGTCCAAACTTGGCACCTACTTGTCCACTAAAATAACATCCAGTGTTTCTGCAACAAGAGCTCTATCAAACCAGCTGAGTGTGAAAGGAGTTCGTTCAGGGCTGTCGGTGACCCTCCGATTTCCTCCTTGAGTGTAAATACGAGGATTTAGAAAATACTGAACATGAGATGTTTTTGTTCATTTGAAGTGTCATTCAGAAAAAGAGCATGTTTCAGCCTGATAGGTTTGGAAAGGTCTGGATGTGTCTGATTTTAGAAAAGATTATTATTTTAATGAAACTACATATTAAAACTGGAGCCATAGCTGCTAGTAATTGACTTAAAGAATAAGCTGTATTGAAAAAATGTAGGTAAATTGACTAATTTGTTATAAATATTAACAAAACATTCATTGTTAGCTTGAGCTTTGTAAGTATTTTTATGCTGTTTGTAAAAAAAAAAAGGATGTGTTAAACACTATGCTGTTGGCAAAAGTTTGAATTGTGTACTATTGGTCTTGTGTACAATAGATTTTTAAATAGCTTGTCAGAAGGTCCTGAAAAACATTTTCTTCTTATAAAAATAAAATGTCACCCAAACAAAATGCAATTTTTTCCTGTCTGTCTTTTTATTTATTTCTTAAGACCTAAGTGGAAACCAGTGAATATTTTTTATAACCACCCATGCAGTCATGCAGCTTTTTGGTGTTGATGCTGTGGATTTCTCTTTTGTTGCTTTCTTCAGAAGTTTCCATGAACAGAATTTTTATTTTTCATATTTTTGTGTTTATTTTTTCCCACTTTTTTGCATAAGAACCAGAAAATTAGAAATACTTTTGTTAATATGCAACAATTTCATTCGCTTACGGGTCAGCCATAGAACCTTTAAACAATCGTTATGGTAAAATAGTACTTGTTAAACTTGGAATGTGGTTTGAAGTCAGCAGAGCAACAAAACAAACACACCAAAAAATGAAAATTAAAATAGACGTATGCAAAATGAGAACTAGCACACAGCAAAAATGCGTGATGGAAGCTAGACCAATTTTTTACTTTCTCAAAAGAATTCAGAGAAAAAAAAACTGCTTAAATAATTTTTTGTTCGTGTTTTAGCAGATAAGCTAGCGCATTGTAAGAAAGCTGACCAATGGGTGTTTAGGATGATTGCTTGTGTTTGTATTTAAGAAAGTCTCAGGTTTTCTTGACCAGTAATTTGAGTAAAAATTTGGTTTTCAGATAATGACTCATGTGAGTGATGTATTTGAAACTTGGTCACTCTACTCTTATACGACCTTGGGAAAATGATAAAAAAAAATTCAAAGAATTCAGCAAAAACCAAATTCAGTTTTATATTTTTCCAGAAAGAAAATTTAAAGGTCATTTTAACATAAAAACAAATTTTTAATTATTTCTGATTCTGATCAGTCACTCTGAGTTTGTCTTGCAGGCTGAACATGAAAATGGATCTCCTACACCTATTAGCTTCTGATAGAAAATAGAAGGTGAAACTCTAGGATTATAAAATCCTGACAGTTAACATTTATGGACTCACACATCTTGGCTCACAACGGGGAAGTTCTGTTGTTGGTTTAATGTTCGGGAAACAGCAGAGAACATCTTGGCTAGTAGCTAACCATTAGCATCAGCAACTCCACACGACACAGCTCCTTCAGGCTTGTGTTATTTGTGGAGATAAAACATCAAAAGTTGCAAGTCAGAAGTAGAGTTGCGTAGCTGTTAGCAAATTAGAGGTGAGATGTCCAGATATGAGGAAATAAGACTCTGTCTGAAGCTACTTTCTCCTCCAGCTGACTTCTGCATCCTGAAATAGGTGCACCAGAGCTTTTTTTCCCCAGAGTTTGACTTAAGCCTAACTTATTTTCTCCGTCTACATCGGTACGGAGACACGCAACGTCATTGTGCGTCCACACAAGAGCTCTCAGACGGGCTCGCAGAGGGTAACGGAGACATGCCCAAATTTTTAACTATCAATTCATGTTTATTTATAAAGCACCAAATCACGACAAGAGTCGTTTCAAGGCACTTCACATGGTAAACATTCGAATACAGGTCAGTTCATTAAGCCAATCAGTAAAAAGTTTCCTATATAAGGAACCCAGCACTTGGCATCAAGTCACTGACTAGTGTCAGTGACTGTACAGCAATCCTCATACTAAGCAAGCATAAAGCGACAGTGGAGAGGAAAACTCCCTTTTAACAGGAAGAACTTCCAGAGGATCCTGGCTCAATATAAGCAGCCACGACTCACTGAGGATCGAGAAGACAGAGCAGACACACACACACACACACACACACACACACACACACACACACACACACACAACATAAATACCAAGTAGTGTTTCTATGGTTACATTGTGATTTCTTAGTTAATTTTCTATTTAGTGAAAGGTAAACTTTATTGTATTTATCCTAGTGAATCTATGATTCAACAGGTAAACTAGTAGTAGCACATTCAATGTCAAAGAGAGTAAAATGTTATTATCAGGAGAGGGAGAATGTTTAAATGGTTAGCAACAGTGTTCAAGCTGATGGCCCCCTCCATGAGGCCACCACAGCTCAGTAGAACATCATTCACTATCTGTCAAAAGTGACAGAGACCGCAAGCTTGTGATTGGTCAGGATGCTGCTTCCTGTAAATTTGCCAACAGCACTGCTTTTGCCCCTCAAAATATAAAAAGATATTTAGCAGCAGACATAGAACAGCGGGCCACCGCAGAGGTGAAGGCTAGACTGTCCGAATTCAGAGCCGCCGGGTTCTGGTCTTAGCGGTATTCAAGGACCCGGCCTTGCTAGACCGGCGAGGACCCGTACTCGTAAACATCCTGCCTGTGGATTCGGACCTCGGACACACCCGCTGACTGCTCTTTCACATAACCACGTTCGGCAGAACAACTTCCGGTTCAAAAGGCCAACGGATCCATCATCCAATCAGTGATGCCTGTTGTTGCAGCGTTGGTACCTACCTCTTCCGGTTTGTGTTTTCAATTTGGTTTTTTGTTTAGTGATTTGTTTTTGTGTTTAGTGAATTTTTGTTGCATTTAGTGAATTTGTTGTTGCGCTTTTCAATTTGTTGTGCGTTAAGTGATTTGTTTTTGTGGTTTGCACTTCAGGGCCACCGTATGATGGCGACGTCCAACAGAAAAACATCTTTGTCAATGCGACTCTTCCTCGCGGAGCTGAAGGAGAAGTATAAATTAATCCTTACAAGCTGTTCATTCCTACCACAGACCACTGCAAATGTAAGAAAAATATGAGTAAAGTTGACATTTAAAGTTTTCATAGAAAAGCTCGTGAAACCACAACTCCTGTTGCCAAATGAACACAGGAGGGTTTCTATCTTTTTCTATAGATCCAATCTTTAGTATTTTCTGTGATTATATTTTGAGCCTAGTCTGTTTCACCTTTGCTCTTAGAATATTTACTAGATGTGCTTTATTGAATCAGTCCTTGGCAAAGATTAGGCCACCCTAGAAATAAACATATTTTCCTCTCACATTTTTGCCATATTAGAAGCAGATCTACTGGGTCACAGTTCAGGATGAAAGACAGTTAGTATGACAGACTATAAATCAAATGAATGAGGTGTGAGTTTAAAATGGCATCAAGGTGTGAAACGTTTTACAACTGCTTTTATCTTTTAGTCACTTCCCTTTAAAAAAAGTCATGAACCATAGCCGCCTATTTTGGCAACAACCTAACACAGAATTTTGGATCATAAAGGTGTCAAACTGTTCACGTTGGCCTCATAATTTTGGTTTTTCAAGCCCGTCATTTTCACACCTTTTAAGCCACCAGAGTGTGTTTAAACATTTGAAATCATCACTTCTGTTTTAGAGTAAATTTGCTCCTTTTGTTTTCATGTTTTCCCTCACGGATCAAAGGCAAAAGCTACAGTTTCTTCTTGTGAAACACTTCCTTTTGCCCCGACATGTAAAACCCAAACTTTTATTTCTGTTTTGCCATAAACAAGAATTAGAGCGTATAGACTTCTTCAAGTTGCAACACAATGCTGACCTATGAGGGTGGCAAATGTATGAGTCATACTCAGCATGGTGTTGGACGTCCACCAATAACCTATAGGCAATTAATGTTTTGGTAATTACGTTGTATTTGTCAGGAGATCCATCACCTTTGTCTCAGAGCAAAGTTGGCATTGTTTTCAAACAAAACTGACTTTAAAATCTCAATCGCACGACACTGAAAGAGTTTTAACAATGCCTTTTCCCCTCACACCTGTTTTTTATTTGCTAGAGGCAATCTGACAGGAGCTTAAATGTGTTTGTGCCTTTTCTTTAATAAACAAACATCACATTTTTATCATATTAGAGCACAGGCCTGTACGGGCAACAGTTTCCCCATAGAGATATGCTCTATCTTAGCTTCATCTTGCTGTTTGCAAGACGAATCCTCTGCAAGGCACCTGTGTGGAAGTCATCAATTTCTTAAGACAGTTAAGTCAAACACACACAGGGAGATTTTATCAGCTGCAAGCCCCAGCAGTTCTTGTAAATGCCGACAGAGATGAGAGGGAGACATACAAATCACTCGGATCGTCCCATGAAAGATTAGATAGTGTTGTTCATCATCGCTTCAGCATACGCTTTCACTAAAGCTGTCTGCGCTTGCTTTCTTCCTACGGATTTGTTTTATTTGATAACCTAAGTCTTGGGCTCAATTTGTCCATCGTACATTAAAAATGCACTCAGTCATAAAAGCTGGGCGGGTTCAAAGCTGCAGTTAAATAAAAAGCTGTCAGACTGAGGAGAAACGTTGCAATCAACACTCGCCCACTCGGTCTCTGTCCTGCTCAGGGTCACGAGGGGTTAGATCAAACCCGTCATGGACAAGGCTAACCAGTTAACTCTGAGGTTAATCAGTGGTCCAAACTGACCTGTCTGTGGTAGGAAAACTAGACTATCAAGTCTTTCTAGCTGTTAATGCTAATCATTAAACTGCAATGGAGCCCATGCTTATCAACATTTTCTTCCAACTGGGATGTCTTATTTCCCTAATAGCTCTCATGAAACTGTTTACATAACATTATGCTGAGATTTGCTGGAAAACGATCCAATCTGGTAATTTAAAAATGTTTAATTTGTCTTCATATGGACATAAAAATTACACATCAACTTGAATAAAAACACAAACGATAATAATTAGGATTTGATAAGATTTATTATTGTCTCCACATCCTTAGAACACATAATATCTGAGAACTTGTATACAAAATGTATGAAATAACACACTGTCATTTATGTGACACAAATTACAAAAAGACAAATTATTGCCTGAAATATAAACAGTGAAAAGTACCTAAAGACATTAAAAAAAACAGGAATCACATTATTATTTACTGTTTATGTTTTATAATCAAACAGCCAATTCAATATCTGACATCCTGAAACCAAATGTTTTCTCTGAAGCAGCCATACATTGAAAAACTTAATAATAAAAAGTGGTCTGTCAGTTTCAAGGGTTGAACCCTCGAGCAAAACGCCGCTGCTCTAGACTAGCTTTTGACCTTTATCTGAATGCTGAGTGAAAGCAAAAGCAGTGCTACATTTTCTCGGCCACCATCCTCGGTTGTCTTCCTGAAAGACGCCATTAAATTGCCATAAAACTGCTTAATTACTCAATAATAAGACTGCAGAAAAGTGAAGGAAGGCTTTTTCATCAAGCAGTCATCTTCAGCCTCTGTATTGATACTACGGAGAGAAAAACAGACGCTTAAAGATCACTGCACAAATTTCTCTTTGGAAAATGTTACATTTCTTCTTTATTTACCTTTCTTTGCGGTTTCTTGGCTTTGGTCTTTCCATCAATCATCTGCATCAGATCCTTGACCCATCCTTCACTGGGGTCTGTGCAATATTTCTTTCCCTTTCTCATTTTGAAGCTACAAAAACAAAAAGAAAATCAGGGGGATTCAAGTGATCTGCTTTCGAGTTAACTCCTCTAATGCTTACATCACAGCTGGGATGTTGCAGCTGCCATCTGTCTTCTGGTGTGTGTATCTAACTGCATGTTTTTGCACGCGTTTCTCCATTTTTCTCACATATCTCAGACAACAGTCGTCGTAGGACACTAAAAAAATCAGACATTCCGTTCAGTTTATTGTCACCATACCATGGATGCCATTTTTCTCTAGTAAAAGTAGTTTATTAACTGAGACAGGTATCAGGTAAATGTATCATTTTAACAGTAGTAAGCTGAGTAGATACACTGATCAGAGTCAAGTCAGCCCTTTTTGGCAATGAACCAAACTTATTGACCCTGATTATCTCCTTATTGACTACTTCCACAAACTAGGAGGATCCCCCCGTAAAGCATTACTTTGTGCCAAAGCAAAGCAGACACACGAAAGGATCAGGAAGAAGAACAGCGTGTTGAACTGCATGGTGAAGTCTTTGGTGATCGTCCTAAAAAACAAAACAAAAAGAATTACTAAATGCTACAAATCTGCAGTGAGCGTTATCTCTAAGAAGATAGCACCTCCCACACCTTTTCCTTAACTCACCAACCCTTGAACTTTGAACAAATATGTCGTATTGTATCAGTTATCTTCCTGGTAACAACCCCCCCAAAGGTTAAACAGAAAAACATCCTACAAGTTTAACATATTAGCATTTAAAAATTTTTTCTATTTCTGCGTTTTATTTTAATGCATGTGTGAAATAATTCCCTAAAAGATTTACATAATTAACATAAAGCTACACATTTGTAAAACCGCACTTTTACATCCCATGCATGTAAATTACTAAGTTTAAATAAACAGATCCACTAATTTATTTCCAATTCCTGAAAAACCTCTTTGGTTCCTCACCTGTAATCCTCTTGACTGTATGAGCTTTCCGTTCTTGAGTCTGCTAACCTGTACAGACAGCACTCTCTTATAAAGCACTCGCGACTCACTGGCATCCCGCCAAGGATTATATTACTTTGATGCACCTTACCTTTGTACCTAATCTTATCTTTCTTCTTGCTCTTTCTGTTTTAAAATTTGGCTTAAAGTTTTTATTTCTGTGCACTTTGAAGCTTCCCTCACTAAGTTGAAGATGCACATTAAAAGAACTATGTTTGTTACTCAATCTATGAATTAGTTTCTGGTGAAATCTCTCCACCCTTAACTCCAAACATGTAATACATTTGAAGGGAGTGGTAAAAATGTTATACATATATTTCTATGCAGATGATACTCTGATATGTTTATCCAAAAATCTGGATTAAATTAAGCTCTTATCTGACAGCAAACATAACACACACAGAAATGCTGTGCTTTTACTAAGCATTACCTCTTCTCAGGTCATAATTTTGAGATCAACACAACCCCTTTTTAATGGTCCACTTTGTTCTTCACAAGTTAATATGGCGAGATTACAGAACTGTGCATGCTAAAGGAGGATCGCCTATTCCCAGACATCAACACAGTCATGATGGATGAGGTCTTTGTCGTGACGCCCAAGTGTGCTTCTAATACAAGCAAAGTAATCTTCAACATGTCTTTATCCCCATTAGATTCTGCTCCTCTCCTTTCAGAATTGTTTTTTTCCTGCTGGTCCTTCTAAGAGTTCTTGCGGCTGGCTGGTCTCACAATTACCCTTTGATATTACTTTCTCTGTCTTTCAGATAATTATAGTTGAACAGAACACATTTAGATTGTGGAGAAATCCGAAGAGGGCTGCAAACAATGGTAAATTATATAAAAAGGTGTCAGTCCAAGCCCAGGAATTCCTTGGTCAAATTATTTTAACAAATAATAATTTACCAGGTTAGGCTGGGGGTACTCTAGAGGTATGTGGTACCAGGCCTGTGTGACTGGTGTCAGAGCTTGGTTTGCGGTGTTGGACTCCTTCAAGGCTTTCCTTTGTCACTGATTCTGTTCATAACTTTTATGGACAGGATTTCTAGATGCAGACAAGGTGAGGTGATCCGTTTTGGTGACCTAAGGATCAGGTCTCTGCTTTTTGCAGATGATGTGGTCCTGTTGGCTTCATCAGACCGTGATCTCCATCTTTCACTGGAGCAGTTTGCAGCAGAGTGTGAAGCAGCAGGGAGAATCAGCTCCTCTAAATCTGAGATCATGGTTTTGAGTCAGAAAAGGGTAGAATGCATTCTCCGGGTCAGGGACGAGGTCCTGCCTCAAGTGGCAGAGTCTAAGTATCTTGGTGTCTTGTTCATGAGTGAGGGAAAGATGGAACGCAAGTTCAATAGTCAGAATTGTAGCTGCATCTGCAGTGATGTGGGTGCTGTACTGGTCTGCCGTGGTGAAGAGAGAGCTGAGCCAGAAAGCAAAGCTCTCGATTTACCGGTCGATCTACGTTCCTACCCTCCTCTATGTTCACGAGCTTGGGGTAGTGACCGAAAAAATGTCATCGTGGATACAAACGGCCAAAATGAGTTTTCTCTGCAGGGTGGCTGGGCTCTCCCTTGGAGATAGGATAAGAAGCTCGGTCCTCTGGGAGGTGCTCAGAGTAGATCCACTGGGAAGAGGGAGATCTGGGCGTCCCTACCTAAGCTTGGTTTATGCTTGACGCATTTACTTTCCGCTTGGTGATGCGGCTCGTGGATGGAACGCGCTTCACAACTTGCAGCGTTTATGGTTCATGCGGCTTGTCTCTGCGGTGAGCCAATATTCTCCCAAACTGAACGGGGCGGCATGGAGCTCTACGGCATGCATCCAACACTACACCATAGTAGAAGTAAAAATTACTGTTGTTTACAACATGGCATTCCAGCATTTTTTAACAGCGTCCTCGTCTTTTCCGACAGTGCAAGCTATTTCTCTCCAAGAATTATTAACAAACATGTTGATCATGGTAATCTTTGAGAGCTGAATCATACAAATGTCTGTATTTATGAACCTCTGCCATACTAGTTCTTGTCAGTCCGCCATGTTTTTCCGCGTCCGACCGTCCTCGTGGTTAGAAAATTTCCTAGGTGAGCGGTGTGGAAAGTTTGGGCCGTGCGGAGGCGCGGTGGAGGGGCGTGGTTGTTAAAATGACGCAATTTTGCCACGTGGAGCCATGCGAACCTCGCGGACGCGTCGAGCATAAACCAAGCTTTAGGCTACTGCCCTGTAACCCGACCCTGGATAAGCAGAAGAGAATGGACTGATGGATGGTTGGTTGGTTAGGGGCCGCTTTGTTTAATCACAATATGAATCTGTTACAGATTGTTGCAGTCGTATCAAAAATATTGTAGCCTGGCAAGCCAGACTAAATAAATGTATTATTTAGTCTGGCCATGCTCCATTGACGGCTCTCGGTTGTGGGGCGGGTTCTACCGTTGTCTTTCAAATGATCTCCACATTCCACTGGACAATGAATGTGACATACTCTTGTTACACTCTGTTGCATCATCCCACCCACCAGGCATATAGAGTGCCCTGATTGGCCCACAAAGCAGATAAAGCTCTGTGATTTGTTCACTAAGCAGATAGAGCACTATGATTGGCCCACCATTATGGACCAATCACAGCTCTTTATGTGTTTGAAACCCCTCTAGAGAGCTGTGATTGGCTAGCCAGAGTCCTGGTAGGAGCTGCTGAGGTTCCAATGGAGCATGCCTAGACCATTCTTTGCAAAGCAAGAATTTGGTCTAGTTCACTAGGCTAAAAATATTGCAGATTTGAAATAAAATATTTCAAACCAAAATAAGCTTGTTAATCATTTTTATCAACTGTTTCTGAACAATATTGCTAATATAAAAAGAATGTTGTAAACTAAATAAAAAGTGTTACTAGATTTAATTATTGTACATATAACTGGATCAAGAGCAGGATGACAAGTTGGAAAATCCAAATATCTGTTCTGCTGATCTTGATGCTGTTTTCCTGGTTTTAGAAGACGATTAAATACAGTTAATTTAGTTGGATTCTATAAAGGTTAATGAGAGTTTCTCCATTCACAGTGGCTGGTCTCTATCAAACCTAATTTATTCTCTAAATATTTTCTTAATTACATAATTTGCTAAGAATCTAGTCTCAACTTAATGAGGGTTCAGAGGAAGCTATGGGGCCAGCATTGTTTTTTCAAAGCTTTTTATTATTTAGAATTTATGAAGTTTGGTACTCCATAAAGAATAACCACACTCTCTTAAGCCACTATTGCCAAGTTTTAGTTGCACCACAGTTGTTCAATCTGCTAATTAAATATAAATCATACTGTGGAAATAAAGTACAGAGGATAGCTACAGCAATACTAAATGTGCTCACCGCTTCTCCCACCAACTGGTTGAAAGTGGAACAACAACTTGTTGTAAACAACGTGGTCGCTCCTTGCTGCAGCTAGCGCTAACAACAAGCTAACTCTAACATGAGCCAACTGATACTAAAATAAGCTACAAAGTAAAAAGAGTCATACTGTTTGACGAAAATAATATTATTACTAACAAGTCCAGTATTAACAAAGCCAGGTCACCATCACTCAGTGGCTTCATATCAACCATTTGCTCCCTCCAACAAGTGGTTCACTGTGGTTTTAGCTCTTTGATTTACCTTCAAAAATATTACTGTCTTACTTTTACTTCCAATATCTGCTACGATGCCAACTAAACAGCAAATTCCTCTTCTTCTTGTGCTTTTTATTGACAGTCTGCAAACTGCAAAAGTTAACTATATTAGCTACCAACACGGTCAATAGGGAGCCTAAATCACTTCAGCATCTTTGGTCCCCGGAAGAACAAAAACATGAATGCAAGTCAATGGGGCTAAAAACACTATTTTCTAATGCGCTTTGCCTTACATCCTGGATTGCACATATGTTGTACTGCAATTTAAAATGAAAAGTAATGATGGGTGTTTCGACCATGCCAGTCACGTACTTTGAGATTTATTAGCTTGTAAAGTTCATAATTAGCATGACTACAAACTGGATATCGGCATGTCACAAATGTGACGTCACCACATGATCTCCTCTCCCCTAACGTAGCTGCTACTTACCAAATAACCAGATTTATGGTGGTTCTTTCCTTCTGTGGGAAGTTCGCTGAACTTACAGCCATTTTCCCTCAGTTTTCTCTGTGTCTGGTTCGATGGCGTCACTTTCGTTAAGCGCATTTGTTGTCCTGGACTTATTTTCACACAAATCCTAAAATATTGTTTCCCCCGTTCGAAAATAAGCACGTTCTTGGTATCAAAATTAATCTTAAAAATTCACGGACATCATATGTGAAATCCACAAAACAAGCGGAAGAAGAAAATAGCAGAGGACAGGAAAACACGCAGCTAATTAATCAAATGATTTGGTTCTGTACCTTTCTCTTCAGCACAGCCGACAAAGGTTTATGATGGGTCAGTCTTCCTGCATGCTCAGATCATTCCCTTCCCTTGCTTGAAAAATTGTTCTAAAATGAAAGTTGAACACATATCTTTTTTATCTGTGAATTGAATGCCGTTTGGCGAGTCTCAAATAAAAATTTGGGCATCTTACTGTAAAAAATAAACTCTAAATAAACTATGATCACACCCAGAATCAAACCCGGGTCTCCTGCACAGGAGTCCGATTTCTTACTAGGCGAGCTAAAGCACCAAAGAAGTCTTTTGTATCTGTAATATTTATATCCTTGATTACAGCTAAAACAACATTCAAAGAACGGTTTGGAGTGAAAATGGCTATTTTGTTGTTAATTTGCAGGAAATATCTAGAGGAAAGTAGCTAAGGGTCCTCAAAAATGTAGCTAGGTTCATCACTAGGCGTTAGGAACTGCGACAAAGTCGCTGAGTTGGCACTACCTCACTCTCTGCTGCTAAAACTACTGATAGCAAATGCTACGGGCTATGCCTGAGCGTGAACGCGCATGAAGCAGCCTGCTCGACCCGAGCAGATCTCTTTTTCTTTTTCTGTGATTTTACAGAAAAACAGGCAATCACAGTAAATTGCCAGGGCTCATTCTACAGGACCAGAGCATTGCAGGAGAATGTATGAAGAAGAAATGTA